AGGACACATATAAATTTATCACAAATAAGCGGAACGGACAGACAGACAAACAGACAGACGGACGAACCCATTTTAATAGTTCCCTGCTTTTATCGAAAGGCGGGGGACAATCAAAGTAGGAGAGTTATTGTTTTCCAAAGTCTCGACCAATCAAATTGCGTATCGCTCTGCTTACCCTGAGCAGAAAATGCTCATTATCAAACTTAGTCAAGGTATTACTGTAATGAAACTATACACCAAGTTTCATCAATCTCACTTAATTAGAACTAAAGTTATCGTGTCCCAAAGCATCAACCAATCAAATTGCTTATCTCTGCTTACCCTAAGCGGAAAATGCTCATCTTCGAACTCCATCAAGGCATTGACCTAATCAACACATACACCAAGTTTGAACATTCTAGCTCAATTAGGAAGAGAGTTATCGTGCCCCAAAGTATCAACCAATCAAATTGCTTATCTCTGCTTACCCTAAGCGGAAAATGCTTATCTTCGAACTCCATCAAGGCATTGACCTAATAAACACATACACCAAGTTTGAACATTCTAGCTCAATTAAAAGTTATCGTGTCCCAAAGCATCAACCAATCAAATTGCTTATCTCTGCTTACCCTAAGCGGAAAATGCTCATCTTCGAACTCCATCAAGGCATTGACCTAATCAACACATACACCAAGTTTGAACATTCTAGCCCAATTAGGAAGAGTGTTATCGTGTCCCAAAGCATCAACCAATCAAATTGCTTATCTCTGCTTACCCTAAGCGGAAAATGCTCATCTTCGAACTCCATCAAGGCATTGACCTAATAAACACATACACGAAGTTTGAACATTCTAGCTCAATTAGGAAGAGAGTTATTGTGTCCCAAAAAGTGTGACGGACAGACAGACGGACGGACGGACAGACAGACAGACAGACAGACAGACAGACAGACAGACAGACGGACGAACCCATTTTAATAGTCCCCTGCTTTCTTCGAAAGGCGGGGGACAAATAATTAACCTAGAACTGATAAACTATCGAGACAAAAAATATTCACATTTTTGCTCAAATCAGACGACCTGTTAACCCTGGGTAAAATGCCATAAAAAATTATTCATTAATAAAAAAGTTTTTTGTCAAAATTTAAATTTTCAAAATTTGGCACCTAATATCTCCGAAAATTCGTCGAAAATCAAAAATCTAAACTACCGTAGCTATGTCAAAATGTATCCAATGTTAAAATCTGACGATTATTGTTAATATTACTGCAATATTTCAAAAAATGATAACTTTGGAGTTTCGGACATTTCGCATTGTCGCAGAACGTTCGAAATAGCTTTAATCTCTAAGTCACACCCACTTTCCCAGTAAAACCAAAGACATCAAATTAATCCGACAAGTAGTTTCTGAGATATGCTCAAGTGGAAAAAAAAAATAATAATAAGAATAATCTTAACAAAAACAATGGTGTTTCACACAAGCTATGCAGTGTGAAACCGTAAATATAGGTGGCTCTAGCCTGTTTATATCATATTCAGTTTATATCAAATACTGAATGGAACTGGGCCATTTTTGGACTGAAATGTATTTTATTTGCAAAGAAAAATCACTCAATGAATCACTTAATGAAACAATCAGAAAATTAACAACAAAACACATACTTATGGAAAACAGCTACTAGTGTATTTAAGGCGACGTTTCGTAGCTTGATAACGTTGAGAGAATACTCTACGAAACGTCGCCTTAAATACACTAGTAGCTGTTTTCCATAAGTATGTGTTTTGTTGTTACTCTATCCAGTTACTAAATGCCATTTAAAGAACAAATCAGAAAATTGGAACTGCACATCTTTAATGTGTAGGTAAAAACAATGTTATACAAAGTTCTTGTGTGAAAATTGTGCATTTGATTTAAAACTAAAAGTTTTGGCCGTAAATTTCAGAGTTATCCCCCCATTTGCAAAATTTTATCAACACGATAACTCTGTGGGATTTTTTATTAACATTTAAGGAAGAACCCGAATGAATTTCAAAATTTTTGGCGTAAATTTGGTACACATTTTGCCGATGGAATGTTTTCAAATTTGGTTGTATTGTTCATTTTTGGACCTTAGATACATGTAGAACCCTATCGACATTAACAATTGCAAATCAGTGGTTATCCCCATGTTTACATTCATATTTAAGAAATCTTGTGAATGGGATGCAGGACAGAAAGCTTTAAAAAGAATCGTTTCAAACTCTGTGAGATTGTTCATCGAGGTCATTGAGGTAAAACAAAGAGTAATGTTATCTTTCAGCTTACAATTTGACTGTTAAAGCTGCAATTTCATATTTTTAAGTTCTATTTTTAAAATTTATTAAAATAAAGCCTTAAAATAGATGGTATCCATAAACCGTCCTACCTTGTTAAAGAATAATCCTATTAATCCTATAATTCACTATTGCCAGCTGAGAAATTGGCAAAAATATCATTTTCAACTTCAAATTCCAACGTTTGAAGGTAGCTAATGCATGGTGGCAATAGAAAAAAAAAAGAGGTAATTGTGTTATTATTTCCTGTGTCAATGATTTTTAAGGGTGGGAAATAATGCCCATGGTCGTATAATAGTGAGTTGATAACCTATTGAGCAAAAGACATAGAAATAATTATGTTTTGACTTTCTTAGAAAATGTGAAATTCCCGCTTTAAACTTAGCAAACGTGATACATAAAAAAGTTCTTTGTAGAATTGATTACAACATGGTGAAGATATTCATAGGGGGAGTAATGAGGAACTCTATTAAAATCCAAAATATTTCTAAAGCTACATTTTACCTCCCCAATTGACAATTAGCATCAAATTCATGAATCTTGTGGACACAACAGAAGGAACCCTATTTGATTTTAAAAATATTGGATGGTAAATTTCAAATATGTTCTAAGGAGATAACTTTCCAATCACATTTTGATTGTTAAAGATACTTTCCCACAAGTATAGTTATTGGGTAGTTATTTCTAATAAAAGTAAAAGTAAGGCAATTTTGGTATATATGGAAAGTGGAGACACTCAATCTTTCTAGAAAAATACTGAATTCCTTGAAAAACACCCATGGAGCACGCGCAATACAAAAATATGAGGGTGTCAATAATTGGCAGTCTGGCGATTAAAGGCTGTCTGCTCGAGTGTTGTCAAAGGTTGCACTCGAAGATTGTCTGATATGTTGATAAACTTGATGGTGAACGAACTAGGAAAAAGTGAGATAAAAACAACCCGAAAAAAGATGTGGGCAGTGCCAGTGGATAATCTGAGAATTTAATTGATACTTATGATAAATGGACAGGGATTAAAGAGAACGTCATCTCTTTTAATCGATTTTTATAGCATGGGGTATTTCCTCACGAATACAATGTCTTGAGAAAGATTTGAAGCAACATTTTGATAGATTAATTAGTTTAATATATTTTTAGGCCAAATATACCATGGTGTGGGATTATTCATGGGACAGGAACACAATGAGGTATCCTATTAAAATTCAGAATAATACAATTGTATTTGTTTAAAAGATCCTTACACAAAAGGAGAGTGATAATTTTGGATCACTTACATGTAAACTGGTTAGATCTATTTCACATGGCCACCTGGAGATTTACCCAAGGTCACGGGATGTAAAAAGGGTTAGGGCACGTGATTGTTGCTGAGGATTGTGGGCTAGGGTTAGCGCTAGCCCTGTTTGTGACCTATGACGAAATCTGCAGGTAGTCATGTGAAATAGATCTAACTATGTAAACTTAGCTTAATGTGAAAAGTAAGAGAGCAACTGAGCAACCATCCACTTTCCTTTGACATGGTAAAGAAAAATAACAAGTAGGTATACAAACTGTATCCTTTGTAAGGTGTGATGCTCACCTTCATGCCTTCAAATAAATTTTTTGGGGGTGATCCATTGCTCTCCTTGTATTTTCCTATGTCAATTAAGGTCTGATGTCTGTCTGGTTATCAATCTAATAATTACAGAGACATATTATTAATATTAATTTAATATGTCTCTGTTAATTTGTTGCTAATCATTTTAAAATTATATCTTTCTTTCTGGGTATGGTACGGTTGGGTAGTAATATACATTTTGTATACGCCCATATTGCCGTCACCCCTCTCCGCACGGATGTAAGTCCACAATTTGTTTGTGGACACTCTACAGGTCACAATTTCTATTCGATTTTGACGAACTTGAAATATAGGTCTATCTCCCAAGGATCTCGGCAGGTATTGGACCCAGATTGTACGAAAATTCACGATTTTAGCTTGTGGACACTCTAGATGTCACAATTTTCATCCGATTTTGATGAAACTTGAAATGTATGTTTTTAACCCAATAAAGATCTTGGTTCCTTTCGATATTCACGCATATCAGATCGTAACTTCCGGGATTGTACAAAAAATCACTTGTTCTCTGTCCATCTCTTGCAAAATGTGGGTGTATCTTGCCTGGCAACTACTGGTTTCAGATTGGGATGAGTGCCCCAAACACCACGTGTGACTTAGTACTTACAATATTTACATACGGTAGGCCTACATGTACATGTATATGTAGGTTTTGCCTCAAAATGTGAAACATTTTATAAAGCTTGTAAATATATTAAACTGCAAACTGCAAAATGCCTGTCATTTAAATACTTCTGGCAAGATAAGATTGGACTGTAAAATAAATGGTTAAATGTCCACAAGTTGTCACCTGATAACTGTCAATTCAGTTGTTTCTACAACAATGAATGACTGATTGACAATGATTGTGATGTGTACCTATATAATGTGTAGTGAACGTCCAAGATTATTGAGAAATTAATGGTATCTTCTGCCTAAGAATGTATCAGCATACTCATTCTAAAAACTAACCCTCGCCGTTAAACATGGGTGTATATAAAAACTGAAAGGTTCTGTCAGATGCTGAGTTGGCACTTACTGTAAACAATTACACACTCCACGTCCAGATGGAACAGAAAAATATTGTTGGAGATAGCCAAAGATTCAGGACATCTTACCTACTAAAATTGCTATTATTATACCAGGTATGATAAACACAGTATTGTCTATTGTTTCTTTCACTGGTCCCGAACCAAATTCCACCATTTTATTAAAATCTATTTAATTACAAGCCAAAATTTGGCAACTTTAAATTTCGCTGTACACAACTGGTCTATTAATAAACAGGAAACTCCAATTTTTCTTCTAAGGGAAATAACTCTAAGCCGCATTATTTGGATACAGGCTACCAACTATTCTCCAGCTGACTTACTTATACATCAGCTGGAGGCTGTAGGCTGGAGATAGAAATAAGGAAGTACAAAAATATACCTGTTCCACATGTTCCACAAAGGTTATGTAATCAGCGTACCCTTTCTGTCGTTGAAGATGAAAAACACTTCCTCCTTGAATGCACTAAGTATGAAAATCTTCGGAAGCAAATTGTCTCCAATTCTCTCCAGTTCTGTTTCTTCAATCTATTTACCCCACCCAGGTGTATATCTCGCGAAATCTGCCGTTTTGCGTGTTCTGCTCTTAATTCAAGAGATGTGACCTGACAGGACCTTTTCTGATGTATACATGTATTTATGTATATATAGAGCACTAAATATATTTGATTATTCTAATATATTCTATTCGTATATTCTAGTCATGTTTATTTTCTTTCTTTTTGTTGTGAGCGTACTTTATTTGGAAATTACTTGTAAATTACATTGTAGGATCGCAGTCTATTCATATTAGGTATTGTGTTCGATTTAGACCTCTTTACGCATCGCCTTTGAATTAGTAGTGAACTGAGTAGCCTTGTTCTAATGTGATTTTTTTTTTTTTTTTTTAATTGTAGGCTATGCTGCTCCCGTTGGCGTTTTTATGCAATAAAATTATCTTATCTGTGGACACACTAGCCGAATGATTCGGCCGAATCAATCGGCGTCGAAATTCGCCAAGTGTGTCCACTGTCATTCGCCCGAATCAAACAGGTTTGATATATTCGGCGTCGAAATTCGCCTAGTGTGTCCACTGTCATTCGCCCGAATCAAACAGGTTTGATATATTCGGCCGAATTATATTCGTCTGGTGTGTTCGCTTCGCCGAAGCATTCGGCCGAATATAGAATTCATTAGCCAATCACCACTCATATCGAGAAGTCACGTGATAGATTGAAGCCATAGACGCCGCCATATTTAATCATGTGACGTGAAAGGCGATGCAACCGACAGGTTGAATCGGGCGAAGCATTCGGCTAGTGTGTCCACCCAATTGGCCGAATAAAATTCGGCGCCGATTGATTCGGCCGAACGATTCGGCTAATGTGTCCACTGCTTTAGCTTATCTTATATGTTAATTGTTTTAAAACATGGCTCCAACTTTTCCCCCAAGTAATTTTATTTTGGACTGCACTCCACACTTCAGACGGATTAGCATCTGGCAATGTCTTGTTCCAAATATGAGCTTAGCCATGGAAATAAAGTGATAATTTTAAAACCGGTTTAAAAACCAAAATTTAACTTCGGTGTAGATGTGGGATACAATTGTAATTTTACTCATGATTCATTTGGTTGATATAGATCCGAACCTTTTTCCACTTCTTGTGACCTTTATTCCAAACACAACTGAAAACGTACAGAATGTTGTTCTAATCCAGAAAAGAAAATCTCCAAAATTTGCCCCTGAAAGGTACGTGTTCAAAAGCTGTCCCTATGGTGATGAGTTCATACCCCCACTATTAAATTTGAGTGGTTCAGTAATTGAAAGCTGCTAAACTGGCCCCTGCACCGACTCAATGGAACCGTTAATAGTGTCTAAATTTCCCTTTTAGGGTGCCACCACCCAACTTAATTTTAACAAATTATATGCACCACACAAGCAATCGACCTACCAAATCCATCAGTCATTCAGAAAAGGTTAAAAACATTAAAGGTTAGTGGACGACTTGATGGGCTATATAAAGAAAACAAACTGAGACTTGACAGAACGTTGGTTGGATTTACTATATTTTAGTATTATATGCCTAGTTAATTGCCTTTCTTTACACTGATCAACGACTTACATAACCAATTTCTATTAATTAAACATTGGACATACCATTCTATCTTACAAATCGATTCCTATTTTATTGGGGTTATCGGTTTTCTAGAACGGTTTAGATCGTATCACTTTAAGTTCAAGGTTCCTTGAAGACATCAATATGTGGCATTCTTTTCTGACATTTGTCCTAACACAAGCTATTCTTTTACATGGTTCGAATATCCACTATTATCTAGCATTTAGAAGCTCAGTAAATCAAAAACTTCAAATTGACACCAGTGAGAAACTGACAGTGTACGGAATCACAGTAATTGATTGTGTTAGGTTATGTGCGGCTACCGCTTCTTGCAGGGCTTTAAATATTGGATCTTCAGATGAATGTGAAATTCTGAAAGCGAACTGGTGTGATGGGAGAGGATACCTTGTTTCAGAGACTGGATTTCACTATTATGATATTGGTTATAATGTTACAGGCCAGGTAAATATTGGTTGATTTTTTAAAAATAAATAAATATAGGTCTACCTGTGTTACCATGTTTTTGTTTTCTAAACATATTATAGGCTGTACTTTTTAACCGCAGAAATGGAATGAAAGGCAAAGTTATTCATGTAAGCAAGGCAACAGATGTTCGGCAAACTGTAGAAAGTACGAATCTTATAAAGGTATTCCCAATATATTTTCGGAAGGGTTGTTTTAATTTAGGGGTCAACTATTAAAATCCAGGATTTCAAATTTGGGGGTTATAAATAAAATTATACGTGGAGTAGGGTTAGTATATCACGAACCTTTGAAGGTACGTACCGTTATATTGAGTATAAATGAAAAGAGCAATTTAAGCTCTGAGCACCGTTTGAATGTCTCCAAAATTGTATAAACGAATTCACGAAAATGCTTTTTTTTATCATTAATATTATTTTCTTGGATTAGTTTGAAGATATGCAGAATGTAGATAGAGACAATTAATAGGATTGTGAGGGAATGTTTGACAAAGACAAAAGTCTATTCCACACACTCAACTTTGACGTTTCACCCCATTGCTAAATGTTGTCTTATAATTGCAGAGATCAAGATTGTGCGTGGGAACCATTGCGTTGGTGATTCTGAATGTTTGATGGATAACGGTGAATGTGCAAATGGGGCGTGTCGATGTAAACTAGGATACAGTTATAATCCACAAAATGATTCCTGTAGTTTTGGTAAGGTTTAAAAAACGAATACGTGAGACATAAATTTATATTACTGGTATAATAGTGTAAAGATTCGTTATATTAAACATTAAGGACCAACCTATTCGAGATAAGCAAGGTTGGATTATACCAAGTGTAATTCTAATAACTTAAAAATCTTTTTCAGGTTGTGAACACTACAGTGACGATTATAACCAATACAAGGATTTGTCATTGGCTGGCCACAATACCCAATCATTGGCAAACACGTCTCTCCAGAATTGTTTAAATAAGTGCTCAATGGCGACATTCACTTGCCGGAGTGTGGACTTCAACAGTTTTAGCGGCGAATGTTTTATGTCGGATGCGACCTGTCTACAGTATCCCAATGATTGCATCACTTCGTCTTTGGAGCACTACTCAAGAAACTGCAGATAGGCTTACTATCTAAGGTCATTGTTCTTAAGAACATTGCATATATCATGATATATAAAATAAGTGGTCACATTAAAGATGTTTCATATTCAAGGACATGCAAAGGTTTAGATTGATTAATAAATTAATAGACTAGGTGTCGATGTCTTCGTCTGTACCAGGGATATCTAATGGGGGCATCTTCGTATAGTTGGCGGAGAAAAAATATGAACAATTTTTTTAAATAAAAGTTATTACCCATTTGGCGTAAAAAAATGAAAGCCAGTGTGAGCCCTGTTTGCACGTATTTAAATGTGACCTGGTAAATTGAGACTACAACCACTTCCGAGGCGAAACTCGAAAAGTCGCCAGTACGACAGCAAGCCAAAATGATAGGTTGCTAATAGCGCGTGTGTTTATTTCCCAATTTCTACTTTTCGAGTTGCATGATGGCTTGGTATGCGTGTTGGCGCCTTCTTACTTGACATCAATAATACAAAAATATGTCTAAGGCGAAAGTCGACAAGACGGTACCACAAGCCAAAATGCAAGTCGAAAATAAGAAATTAGGAAAAAACGAGGGGCGCTATTATCGCGGTGTATTATTTCTTAATTTCCTATTTTCGAGTCGATTTTGGCTTGTATTGCGTGCCGTCGTCTCACATTTTGTCGTAACTTCTACTTTTCGACTTTGGTGTTTTGAAGGGGCGAAAAGTAGAAATTATGAATGGTAGTTATAGGCTTCCATATCTTCGTCTGTATCAGAGATATCTAATGGGGGGCAATAACGGCGTGAACACATTGCAGGACAATCATAGGGGCAGTCTTCAGAAAGCAGCACATTTTCTTCCAATGCCACCTTTGTATTATTCAATGAAATATATTCCCGGATATTCTCTGGAATACGTAGCTGATCCATTTTGACACTTGGGAAATGACCCAATGTTCTGAAAATTCTGCTCCTACACAAATATCTTAAAGTTTTGGTGTTTGAAGATTGTGATATGAGCCATTCTATGATACGTGGTGTATTATAGATAGAAACGGGCCACTGTCGTTTCCAAATCCACTTTTCTTTCAGAAACCAAGGATAAACATCCACAAGAAGCTCCATCAAACGTTCCAGTTTTTCGTTAACAGCCATCTTGAAATAAGATTGTTTATGTTTCTTTCTGACTACGCAGCATCCATATTTTACTAAAACCATAGCACAATCTTCGTGATGCACTTTAATCGCTTGTTCTAACGGTGTTTCTAAATATTTATATTTGCTGTCCATTTTGTAACCCCAGTCTAACAGCTTCTGAACCATTACTGGGTTGTTTTGGTCAATTGCAACTGTCATGGCGGTGGCACCTTCAGGAGTTGACGAATGTAATTTAATTTTATTTTCTAAAAGAAGATCGCATATTTCGTATCGACAATACGAAACAGCATAATGTAATGCAGTTAAACCACCACTAGTTTTAGCCTTCAGATCACACAGAGAATTTATTAGAAGTTCACACATATCCTTATTATTGAGTTGGATAGCCCTGAAAAAAATACAAAAGATATTGCCCATTAAAATGTTCGGTCATATGAGGCGTTAAAATAAAATATCATTATTAGAAAGATTTAGGTTTAATCGCAGTAAAATGTCTATATAACAATTAGATCAAACTGATTTCGACATGCTCACCAAAAACTTGACTTTTTTGTTTGTTATTTTTCTCTGACTTTTATGTGTTAATCCTATTACTCACTTGATTAGGACAGTTTCTCCTTCTAACTCAAGTCCAAAGCGCCTTGTGTTCACATCTGCCCCAACATGTATCATGTGTTGTACAACCTCGGTATGATTACCCAACACTGCCTTGTACAGTGGACTGCATCCTGAAAGCAAATTGTGGTTATATGATCTCTACTTACTCTATTCAACAAAACGGTATCAATATCCTTCTGGCTTTCAGGTGATATTTGAAACTTACCGGAATCTTTATCAATATAATTCACTTGACATGTGTTTCCTGCCAATAACAGTTCGGCTAGTTCACCATTTCCAGTTTGTGCTACTACCCTGTAAAAGAAGATGAACTATTTTATTCACGAACATTGGTGACAGCAATCAAATAAAAAACTATTCTGATATCAGTGGAATAACAGGAAAAGGGAAGGCAATTTTGGGACCAAAAGATATGAACAGACACAAATTTGTTCATTGGTAGGGCCATTTAGTTGTATGTTCCAACTGCTAATAATATAGAGGCTGGATACCTAATCCTCTCTGAAAATTAAATTTTTAGTGAAAACCAAAGTTTGAGACCTTACAGGGTATGTTAAATAAGGCAAATTTTGTCTTAAAACAACAATTTCCAGTAAAATGTTATATACCCCCAGTTTTCAGTTCAAAATTTTGTCACTTTACGGGACTCTGTAGTCCAAGTATGAATGAAAATCCCCCCTATATAGACTTATCAATAAATAAGATAAATTTTGTCTTAAAACAATAATTTCCAGTAAAATGCTATATACCCCCAGTTTTCAGTTCAAAATTTGTCACTTTACGGGACTCCGTAGCCCAAGTATGAATGGAAATCTCCCCCTAGACCTACATAGACTTATCATTTTTCCCATTTCTGATTGGTTCTCTTCCAGACACGTTCCTATTGTATTTTAAAAAAGTTAAAAATATTTTGTATAAATCTTAGATAGCAACTGAATATAGTGTATAAAAAATAGCTACCATATTGGGCGTATTCCTATCAAGTTTTCGGCATTGACGTCTGCGGGTTTGTTTTTATCTTTTAAAAGAATAGAAACAATTTCTTTATATCCAAGCCGACAAGCTACCAACAAAGCAGGAGATTTGCAGGAATCGTCCAGATCACAAACATTGGTCTCAACTAATTTCTTTTTCAACATTCGTGTGACACATTTGATGTTATTTGATTTGATGGCTTTAAAGAATTCGACTACTTCATGAGCATTTGCCTTGACCAATTCATCACCTTCTAGTGACATCTTGCTTTACAGGTTATTGGTTATCTCTGTTTCCTTTTAAAAGAGATTACAACACAATAATGGTTAAACAAAATTAACAGGGATATGCTATTAATCTATTATATACAAACAGCTTTATGGATAACATTCACTAGCTTTCAATAATTATAAATGCCCTTTAAAGATGATATATATGTCATTATTTGAAAAAACGTGCCCTGCTTGATACCATCGTTAAAGAATGCCCCCTATAAGGTTTTGACAATGAACATAATATGGATTTGGGCTTCAGATGATTAGATCTCTTTGATTTGGGTTAAATAAGCGTAGAGTGATTGTGTGTTGATTTGCTTCTTGAAATGGTTATCTGTCTATTTTAGTTTTACAGATGAAATCTAAACACGCGATTTACTCTTCGACTGTCAAAAGTTTTAACCCTAACGAAACTAAAATTAGTGAACAAACTGACTTCTGTTTAATATTTTGAAACGGAAATTCAGTCGTGTAGATGTCATGTCAATAATCAGATCAACCCAATTTAGCACTATATTTTGCCTAATTCAAAAATTATTTTAACTATTGTACAGGGGCGGATTGGGTCCGGGAATCGGCCCGGACTCCCGTGTCGGAGCGGCCCCTTTTACTGAACGCGGATACCGGACGGGGGGTCCGCGAGGCTCTCCCCCGGGAAAATTTTGAAAACTGAACCCCAAATATGCGATTTGGTGGCATATCTGATTATAATCTCTGTCAAATAATATAATGAGTTAATAAAAATGTCAAGGAATGTTTAACACCAGCCTCAGGAAATCGTCTCGCACTCATATTCAGCCAGCAGACCAGCTATCATCAAATTTTGCTGAGTTACGAACCATCGGCAGACGTTTCTGGCGTATCCCCACAAACAGGGTGCAGATGACTTAATAATAAGTAAATTTGCGGGCAACAGTGTCGGGTGAATCTGATGAAATTTTCGGATGAAATTCGGAATCCCCATTGCAGGATTCCGAATTCCCGCCCACACCCAGCACACCCGGCCCAGAAAGTCTATTATACCAGCCCATTCCAGACTCCAGTGATGGCGTGGCGGCCCGTTAAAGCCACCGGCCACTTACAACATGATCATCATCGCTCCATGGCCGGTCCAATACATGCCCCCCCCCCCCTATATATAATGTTCAGCAGAAAAGGTTTTTTTTTAGACGAATTGGACAAAATTATTTTTTTCATTTTTTCTCCGACCGGATCACCCGATCGGCCAATCCGCCCCTGCTATTGTATCGACTATGGAAAATTGCTGTATTTGTCTTTTTATCATTGCAGTAAGTTTTTTCGAAATATTTTGTATTCGTTGTTTGTAATTTTAAGTAATTTTGACCACCAGCCATCGATATTTTCCATAAGAGCTGTTAGAGAATGTCACACTGATCAGCAGTGAATATTCAATAAGACCCTACAATGAGATAATGTTTGAGATTAATTGGACCATAATAAGGTCCATGATTGGACAACCTTTACACGATCGCAGAGAACTTGACATGTCAGAGCTGACCCATGTGCATACATTGTAAATGCTTTCCCCTTGTTTCCCCATATTCACAGTTCATTCATGTATTTACACTTATCATATTCTAGGTATTTAAATTCTCAAAGTAGCCTACTTGAAAACAAACGAAGAAATCTTTATTTATCGTCGAACATGTAATAAAACCAATCAAAGACGAGGTAAATGTATTATGATAGGAATACAAACCACAAGATAATATTAGCCTACCTGTTAATTGTCTGCGATATCACCTCGGTGGAAGCGGACGTTAAATAAAGCTGTTTCACACACATTACCTGTAAAATGTTTATGTTGGTTACTTGACCAACAAATAAACCTATTACTTCAATAAAGAAACGCATTACAGAAAACTAATATTTGCCCGGGCATGTTTTTAATATTGGCTGTGAAAATTTAGATAATATTTCTACCAATACCATACCAATGCTGAAAATAATGACGTATCTATCTAATTGTTATACATTTATATATGCCTGAAAGTTAGGCTATATATTTAAATACATTTACATTTACGATATACTTTGTTTAGACTACCTGCACCAGCTTCCATAAACGAACTAAATTTAGTAACAATAATTGTTGTTCTTCAAAACGATTGGTGCATTTCAAGCAGGCGCGTTGACATCTTAGGTCAAAGTTCAATTCTACTGAGAAAAGACAAAAAAGATTAAGGTTTCTAGATGAATTCTTTTAGTTGATATGCAACATTTACAAAGTTTTACGTATGAGCATTGCTATTCTTTTATAATTATTTTAAAATTTTGCCCTTTTTGTTTGAAATTATCACCTTTTCACTAACTTTTTTTTATATAATATGTGGGATGTAGTATCATAGGCTAAACTAAAAGTAGCAAAGTGGTATTTAAACTCCACATTGAAATGTCTCTGTCGAGTTGGCACGTAGATTCTACTACACTAAGAATAATATTTATCATCCGATTTTTTTTTTTTTTAATTTGTGTTGTTTGACAAAAGATGGATTACATGTAGTCCCTACTAGAAATGGACATCCCATCTGCAAACACGACTTAGTCAATTGATCAGTTTAAATCAACATTATGTTGTTATCTTACCGTGAAAAGATGGGCTTATAGGATATCAAATATTTAAAGGACAATATTAGTGTCAGACACATGTGATAGAACTCGTTAAACACGTTCCAAATATAATTTTAACATAGAGATCATTGCTACGATAAATGAGTAATGAAGGTTTCGACAAAAGGAAGTGACAAACACAAAAGAAAACACAAGACAGTTATCCTTCTATATAACTGACTGAAGTGACGAGTGATAACAGTTACATGTGCGAATTTCTGCTCACTAACAATTCCTTCGAAGACCAGAGGTTGTTATGTGAGACTGTGAGTAGTGTGAGAGGATATCTGACAATTCAAAAAAGTAATTGAATATCACTAGATCGTTTTCTCTTTTCTAGTGGCTGTCAATTTCTGTTTTGAATTGTCAAATATCCTCTCACAGTCTCATATAACAACGTTTGGTCTTCGAAGAGATTATTGGTGAGCAGAAATTCGCCTGTGCACTCGTCACTTCAGTCAGTTATGTAGAAGGATAAGTCGTGTTTTACTTTTGTGTTCATCATTTACTTTTGTAGAGACCTTCATTACTCATCTATTGTAGCAATGATCTCTGTATTAAAATCATATTTGGAACGTGTTAAATCAGTTCTATCCCACCAATCTGTTTCACAGAGAATTACGAGTCTCGTATAATATCTCTGTCATAGATGACTGCCTTTACACGTGCTGTCACAGCACGCGGTGTGAATCATTGGCTGAATGGCGAGTGCATTGTTTACATAGGACATAACTGCTTCGGAGATAATGCTGCATTTTAGTCATTTTAATACCCATTTACACTAAATCGGAAATAATTTTTAACTACAAATACGTCAAACGCCTTTATTTATTTTTCAAATATGTACAAAAAATGTTTTAGAATTTAATTTGTCGCAGGAAAAAAGTTAATATTTCTAGTTCATTAAGCCGCATCAATGTCATCCTTATCAGTGATTGTCGCGGCCAAGCAAATATTCACTGCGGATCAGTGTGCTATCCCACATGTGATAATGACTGACACCAATATTGTCCTTTAACATTGGCACACGAATCGCTTGCCAGAATGCATTTGAGTGCCATTTATAATGAAGTGATTTGATGAACTAGGCTAAACATATCCCACAGGAGAATACTACCGGTATAGACTGGAATAACCAGACGCCAAAGACTGCCATTCAATTCAGACTCCTCGTGAATTTCACCGAACATAGCTGATTAGAAATTACAGTAAAAACCGAAACGATTGAATGTAGACGCTGTTCCTAGCCAGGCCTTCTGTCCTGCACCACTGACATGTCACAATCCCGAGATACTTTCTTGGCCATTGTAAATCTTTAGGTCCCAGTACCAGTAAATAAAAAGCAAATTCTGTGAAGTACCATTCTGTAACATGATAATGTCAATCCACCTGTTGTATTTAACAGAGTTTACATTTTATTTACCTGGCGCCAGGAACAGTGTCCAGTCGTTTGAAGGTCTGATGTACATGCACGTAAATGAACCATTGAATGTAGGAATTTGAAATAAGAGTAGGTAAAAAAACGATAACTGTGATATAATATTAGGGTTTGCTTTTGTTTGTTTTTTTTTAAGCAGATATAAATGATGTTGTGTTTAATCACTGTAACAGCTGTTGTTAGTTTGTTCCTGTGGCAGCTTGTCAGGAAAAACCCTCCTAAAGTAAACAATATTTATAGTCAACCAGGTAAATTCTTATTTTTTTAAATATTGCTAAATTAGCCTCTATACTACAAGACTTAAAGAGCACATTAAGTGATCAAGCAAATTTTCTGTACTTGTAGCCAGTGGTTACTATATACACTTTACGGCAAGTTAACACTAAGCTGATGAAGATTAAATCAGCCATCTTCACGCAGTCGCATATATAGACCTCTCGTAAAACTGGCTTTGCCAATTATCGAAAACACTCTTAATCCCCTCCGACGCCAGAGATATCACAGTGACCGAATGCATATTGAGAATGTTTATTCCTTAATTACCTATATACAGCCAGGGTGTGTATTCATTAATGCCTGACTGATTCCTTAATCCCCTAATTAAATAAAAAAAATGACTACAGAATAATCAGATTGGTGTGCAATTGGCTAAAGTGTTTGTACAATTTTGAAATGACCATTTTACGTGCTCTAAATAATTAGCTAACTTGTAACTACAATATAAGAGCTTAAATAATTATTACACACTGCATAAAATTATGTGGATGAATTCCTTATCCTTAATTTATATATAATTTAGGACAGCTGGGAATATTAATATGAATAAATGTTAGCATCATTATTAATGACTTTACACTAGACCTGTGTGTGTAACAGCAGGTGTGGTTTAATCTTTTGTTGTCACTTAAACAATTGATTAGTTTGCAACAAATTTGTGCACATTATTAGAATATTCAGTTTTGTATGTTTTTGTGCTTAAATTTAAATATCAGGCTTATTAAAAGAGGAATTTATCCAGGGTTATGCATTTATGTGCAGTTAATTTAAAGGGGCATTACGTAAGATTAGATGAAGAGTTAACAGTTCTTGCTATAATAGTTAAAAAATAGATAATGAAAACAGAATATGCTGAAAATTTCAGTCAAATTGCTTCACTCTGAACTGAGATATTAGCGATTCAGTTTTAGTCTAGCTTCGATCGTCATTACTAACGTTGGTCCAATAATAAACAAAGTCTCGATTATCCATTTTTACGTTAAATTATCCATCACAAAATGCATTCAAATCCACTAAATATCGCAAGCTAAAGATGGCATCGTGAGTTGATTATGGTCTGGATATGTTAATTAATATCTAAATGATAAAGAAAGACCTTCAGTATACAGATTTAGCTCTTGCATAATGACTGTTTAACCAATTCTGGATTTTATTTTTATTTCATTCGGTTGATCATACAATTAACATCTGTATAGATATGTTTAAGAAAAGCATATGATGACAGCATATTAGTACCTTTGACAGCAAATCGACTGTCTTGATAATCAAAGATTTTTTAAAAAATTTGCTGTATTTTCTGTATCACAGGTTTTGATTAGTAGGTTGATCTGGTATCGACCTATTACAACCTCACATTACTGAACACATCTTATGAATAAATTTCTTTTGATCAATTTGAGTAAACAACCCGAATATACAACAGAATGAAATGTTGATATATTAATAATTAGACTGTAAATTTAGGTTAGAAGTCTGAGTTTCTTTCTTTGAAACCTTTCTGTCTGTATACAGTAGTCTAGTGCATTCCAAGAACACAAAACAAAGAACAAATATGAGAAATTTATCATTCTAGTTGAAAAGTGAGTGTGAAAATTAAAGATTTTGTTTCTGATTACAGGGAAGTGGTATTGGTTGAAGAAGTGGTTATTCTGTGTTGTTTTAAAGCTTAGAAAAAGAAAGCAAGCCACAGATAAATTTATTAATAATGGCGTTCTCACAGGAGGTCTCACATATGGATATGGTCTTGGACAGAAAGATCCAGAAACAATGGAATCTATCCAGCCTGTAGATTTTGATCCATTTGTAAGTTTTAGTAAAAATACAAAACACATTAATATGTTTCATAGCAAAAAAAGAAGACAAGTTTGGATTTCAAAAAGTATATTGAATTATATAAAATACACTGGGACTTACTAAATTAGCCCTTGCAGGCTTAATTATTAATAGATTTTGCATTTAGTTTCGTTCCTAACTTTTTTTAAGTTTTGAAATTTGTGTCAACATTAAAGAGAATCTGTTGATTGGATGAAAATATGATGAAGGTTGACAGCTATTAATCAGTCTAAATAGGCATTATACAACATACTCTGTGAAACATAGGTGTTTTGTAAAGAAAACTTTGTGTAGGAACATAAATAAGAATCGGCAAATGTTAAAGAAATATTTATATGTGATGATTATTTCACACATGATAGAAATTTGATTTTATTTACATTTATTTTCAACACACAGGCAATTGATACAACATATTTTGCTGCGTTTGGTACAAATGGAATGAATATAGTGATGCGGGTTGCTAGGCGACCTGATAGATGTGGTGAAATTTGGTTATTTTTAGACCTGCCTGGTATTGGTCAATTTCAACATCCAGTCCACCCTGATGTTCACATAGCAAATAATGATAGTTCATCTTTTAATATCTCGGGTTTACAATTCCAAGTGTTAGAGCCAATGAAGCAATGGAGAATAACTTACAGTGGCTTGCTTAGGTGAGTATTATTTGAATAAGATAATGACCCTTTCTTTTCCACATTAAAGAAATGGGTTGTAGAATTTAAGTGTGGCAGAGAGAGCCTTGACGATGACCCGAGTCCCAATCTGATTAAAACACAGATCATATTTTGTTTCAATTTCTATAGTTCAAAATTTCATTTTACTTGACTTTACACTAGGATCTGTTATATAACTATAACTCGTGTTCTTGATGATGTAAGGGATTAGCCAATGAAACACTCTGTTACAGCAAGTTTTTGGCCTGAGGTGCATGGGTAACCCTCTAGAAACATCAATGCTGATTGGTTAATCAAATGCCTGATGTCATAGAGTCAAAAGTCACTCATATGACCTCTGACATGACCTTCCACTACAACCAATCAGATCTTCATGTAGTAGAGGCCATCGAAAGTATAAAAAAATGAAACGAAATATAGATGTGTATTTTAATCAGATTGTCCAAGTCCTGGAAGGCCATCAACAGCAACCATTCAAGAAAACATTACCCAGGTTCATGACATGTTGATGGCTGATCGATTATTGACCACTCGAGGTATTGCCAGTGTTGTGGGCGTCTTTCATGAGAGGGTTGAGCACATTATATTCAACGTGTTAGGAATGACAAAGTTTCTGCAATATGGCTGCCAAAGCTCTTGACAGCGGATCAGAAATGTGTCAGATTCCTAACCTCTCGTAGCAGATCCTGATAATTTTTTGGCCAGATTTGTAACCATGGATGAGACCTGTTTCCAAAAATGAAAAAAGAACTAGACGGTTGTCTTTTTCCTAGAAATGATGACGTCATGTCAGCTGTGAACAACTTTTTTTTAGGGTGGCTCAAAGGGGTAAAAACATAAATGAAATCCATTGACTTTGTCCAGGTCTTTCACAGATAGTCTGAGAACTTTGATGACTTGGCTGCTGTGGGCTTATGTATTGTTGTCTATCAACCTATCATTAAAAGTGACAAAAATGAAGATTATTAACCATTAAGATAAAATATTTTTCTAATGAAGCCCTTGAGAAGTGTTGGCCTATAGTTTTACTATAATAAAGAAATATGTTTTGGTTGGTTGTTTGTAGAGTTGGTTTACACAATGACATAAATGAGAAGAATGAAAAATTTGCATCTGTTCAGATGTCGTTCATGTAAGTAATACTAATATTCTTTTAACAAATTTCTACCAAAATATCACCACCTATGTATGTTTTCTGTTACTTTGTTTCGGATATGCATATAGAATTTAACACGACTGTCAATAGGTCTTATTTAGTATATTAATTACTTGCTCTCATCAATGTTGGTTTTATCATCAATATTTCAGATGGACTGCATTTACGGATTGTTTTAACTTTGATACTGATATGAGTTCAGATCTGATTTCTGATGGAATTGCTAGAGAGCCTTGGACAAAACAGTTTTATCAAAAGTTAGAAAGGTAAATATCTTTTTAAGATGTTACTAACAGCTTGTACTGCATTAATGTGTGTTTGCTGTAGATACCTCAAAAATTAATAAACAATGATGGGATTGAAATATTACCAGTATTTGGCACCAATTCAACACAGAAAATGCCAACAAGGCTTGTGTTGATGCTTTGAAGAAAAAGGAATCCTAAATTTATTAAAGAAAATATATTGTCCTTTATACTTTATATTTGTATATCCATGCCTTTTACTGTGTATTTTCTTTCAGTAAACATCAGACTCATTATGAACAATGGGGTGAATTAAGGGGAAGGATTAAAGTGGAAGGTTTTGAAGAAGAGAAAGTGTGTTTAAAAACAGTTAGAGATCATACTTATGGTATAGTTGTAAAACTTAAAAATAGATTTTGTCTCAACCACAAATATTTAAAATAGGTTGCTATATATTTGAGATATCCATTGACTCCTTGTTGAAATAAATTAAAATAGATTCGTCTGTCTGTCTGTCCATCCGTACGTCACACTTTTTGGGACACAATAACTCTCTTTCTAATTGAGCTAGAATGTTCAAACTTGGTGTAGGTGTTTATTAAAGATGGGTTCCCGCGTACAAACGGGTGATTTAATGGTATATATGGACTAAAAACATATTCAGACTCATTAATTTGTCATAATAAAATTAAAGAATCCCCGCTCAACAGAATACACAACAGACTTGTAGAAGTAGAAGATTGTTTAATGGGTCGACGTTTCGGGTGCAATACCCTTTATCAAGATTAAATTATGATGATCCTGTGACGCCTTATATACAATAATGGTGATGACGTCACAGGATTTTAAAATTTATTTATGTACAGTATAAAGATTGTTAAAAAAAGAAAGAAAGGATCGTTAAATTTAATTGAAGTATAAGATTACATGTATGTACAAATTTGATTAAATTGCTAAAATGATTAGAAAAAATTGTTATTATCTATTAGTGTTTTTCGTGGGAATCCAGTATTTTTCTAGTAAGATTGGATATCTCTACTTTCCATATATACCAAAATTACCATACTTTTATTGGAAATAACCACCCGATAAATACTTTTCTGGGAATCCATCTTTAAGTCAATGCCTTGATGGAGTTCAAATGAGAAGCAGAGATAAGCAATTTGATTGGTTGATGCTTTGAGATACGATAACTTTAGTTCTAATTAAGTGAGAGTGATGAAATTTGGTTTATAGTTTTATTACATCAGTTCCTTGACTAAGTTTGATAATGAGCATTTTCTCCTCAGGGTAAGTAGAGCGATAAACCGTCATTAATTTTAATATTGGATCATGTCTCTTCATACCAATATTTAGGACTTAATTTTACAAATAATGGCTCATATAAAGCAGCTATGGCAATAAGTGTCTGGTTCAGTTTACGCAATAAAATTTGTGGCAGTGATGATTTACCAACTGAAGTTTTACTGAAAGTGTATGAAGCAATTGTTAAACCCATCGCTACATATGCCTCGGAACTCTGGGGATCTCAAATTGCTCATAGCAAAAACAATACCACAAAAACTGGAAGAGAATTGAATAAAATTCAATAACAAAGAAAACAGCAAAATCATTCCTAATGCAGCCCACTAAAACTTCAAATATTGGCTGCCTGTCTGAACTTTTCCCTCTTCACTTCTCTGTGTACCAATGAATGTAGTTATATTATAAACGACTGAATGATCTAAAATCTTTAATCCATCTCGTTCGTTAAAATTGCGCTGAAAGTACCCAAACTTTCCTGGTCTGCCGTGATCCTTAAAATAATAAATGAATTTGACATTAATATCAATAATCTTTCAAAATACAATATAAAATCCTTGTTAGAATCTAAATTCAACTCATTTTATTGAAATACCTGTAATATGAAAGATAACTATACCAACCATAAGCCAAAACTTAGAATATACAGCCTTTTTATGACAAATTTCAAAACCGCCAGCATATCTCCTATTCGTATCTAACAAACAGTATAAATGTTCAATGACCTCCCTCCGCCTTATCATTTACCATCTTCAAATAGAGAGAGGTTGGTACCATAACATTCCTGAATAAGGCAGAATTTGTAGACACTGCTCTAACAATATTGTAGAGGATGAGTTTCATTTTCTAATGGAATGTACAAAACACGAAACCATTCGAAATAATATTTTGTACCCCGCTCCAAATTGACAGACAAAATGGCCACCGTTCGTTCTCAAATAGCGTAAAAATATGGTATATCAAGGTTGTGGACCCTATAGAGGTCCCAATTTTTATCCGATTTTGTTGAAACTTGAAATGTAAGTTTATAACCCAAAGATCGTGGTTCCTGTCGATATTTGCGCATATCGGACCGTAACTTCCTGAATTATGGCCCCTGATTGTACGAAAAATTGCGTTTTTATCCGATTTAAAAAAACATATTATTATATCATCGTTAAACCCTACGGACGGCTGAGTTCGAATTTCGTGAAAATCCGCTCCAAATTGACAGACAAAATGGCTGCCCTTCGTTCTCAAATAACGTAAAAATATGGTATATCAAGGTTGTGGACCCTATAGAGGTCACAATTTTAATCCTATTTTGATGAATCTTGAAATGTAAGTTTATAACCCAAAAATCTCGGTTCCTTTCGATATTCGCTCATATCGGAACGTAACTTCCTGAATTATGGCCCCTGATTGTACGAAAAATTGCGATTTTAGCTTGTGGACCCAATAGAGGTCATAAATTTTATCCGATTGAGAAAAACTTATTTTTATATCACTGTTAGACCCTAAGGATGACTGAGTTTGAATTTCGTGAAAATCGGCCCAAAACTGACAGACAAAATGGCCGCCCTTCGTTCTCAAATAGCGTAAAAATATAGTATATCAATGTTGTGAACCCTATAGAGGTCACAATTTTTATCTGATTTTGATGAAACTTGAAATGTAAGTTTATAACCTAAAGATCTCGGTTCCTTTCGATATTCACGCATATCGGACAGTAACTTCCTGAATTATGCCCCCAGATTGTACGAAAAATCACTTTCTTTTTAGCTTATTCTCTATCCATCTCTCGAAAATGTGGGCGTATCCTGCCTGACAGCCGCTGGTTGTAATTGTATGCTGCTCCTCGTGGGTGTTTTTATGCAATGAATTTACTTACTTACTTACTGTGCTTTCCATTCTTTTCCTTCATTTACATTTTATCATTCAGACATTATCATCTGATTTACTTGTACCTCTGTTATTGTAGGTGTAAGAGACTGGAGAGCATTCCACAGATATGCCATCCATTTTATTTGGCTTGAAGTAAGATCGATTTCATATTTATTTTAATTAGTCCACAATAATGGGATATCTTGTGATTTCTTCATATCCTTATCCCCTGCTTCTGTATATGAGTTAAAGCACAAAATTCTGATTCCATCTTTTTTCACTGTTGTACAAGTTCCATACACGGTCAGCCTGTTTCAAAACGGAAGAAGTGAGGCTTTTGGAAACAGCTAATCCCCCAAATATTAAGATTGTATGACAGCTACTTGTAACAGCAAAAAAAAAGTATTATAAATTATTGAGAGGAATTTTCTTTTCTTGTTATTTCAGACTGGTCTTGTAGCCCAGATTGGTGTTTTATGTCAACCACAAATATTTACACAGTATGTATGTATTAGTTCATCAGATTAAACTCGGTCCCAAAATGGTTCAATCCTGTTCAGTGTTTAAAAAGATATGATGAATTAAACAGGTCATGGTCAAAACAAGCCAGCACCATCTTTTGATGGGGTTCTTTTTTAATCCGATTGAATCCATCCCAGGAAATTATCTACCATTGTTATTTTTATTTTGTTTTCATAATGAAATGTTGAACCATCAACATTGAGTACATTTTAGCATGGATTAAGCAGTGAAAAACAGATGTCCGCAAATTGAAAATGATTTTTGCATGAATCTGGAAATGTAGCCTAGGCTCAATTATAAATGTTATTGACAAGCATAAATGATACTGGATATTCACACATTACTATAAACAACATGATAAGATAAATGTAGTGCATTGATATGTGATGTTTCTGAAAAGTCATTTAGTGATGCTTTCAGAAAATAATACTGAAAAATAAAAATAGATTTTTGGGACGGATTGTTTGAGAACAAGGATATTTTTTTTTGTGTGGCCTAAATTTAAGTTTGACATTTTCAGTTTGAAAATTGGCTATGTGTCTTTTCCCAATGCTGACATGGTACCTATAACTGATGTAGACTTGAAGCTATGGGAGATTGGTGAATCCGGAGAACCACCAGAACATTATTCCTTTTCATTCTGGGCAGGTACACATAACTTACAATTTGTATAATTTGAACTCTATATAGTGGTGAATAACCATCAAAGATTTCTGTCATAAGCAACGTATACTCATTTCGCTCTTTTACATCAACACGTTACAGAAAAAGTAACTAGGGTGAAATGAAACCTCTCCGGTTCTCCTGGGACATCAATTGTATTCAGGTCTTCAATAGTAAGTGCAGGGGGACTGCACCACACAAAATTTACACAAAAACAAATACACGGACAGGACATCATACTCAGGAAAAAACAAACATACAGACAATTTAAAAAAAGTGAATAGATCCGGGGGCTAGCCGTAAGCGTCCACTGCGCTGTACAGTCCCGGGTCTAGTGACACAGAATTCACTCAAATTTGAAAACAATTAGGAATACAACCCAAAGAACCCATTGTGTAATGCCAGCATGAGTCATGATCTGCTATATGCTACACGAAATACGAATGTAAGCATATGTAGTAAAATTCAACAATACAAGTAACCACATCGGTGAAATGTATAAAAAGTTAGTCTAAACTCTTAAATTCAATAAAGAAACGCTTCAGTATTTAATACATATAGGGTACATGTTCCATCGTCACAAAAAACAAAAACAAAGAAGCAAGTAGGAAATATTCTCACGTAAGCCTGAAGAGTTAGAAAAAGCATGAAACTAGTAGCTTCATGAGAGAAATCAGTGAAGGACACATGAGTAGAAATGTTACTATAAAAATAATAGAGTTTTTCAAGAGTAATTTTGTTAATGACAAAAATAATGCCACTACCAAAGTTTTTGAATACATATAGTCAGCTTTTAATTATCTCTGCAGTTGTTAAAAGCGTAATATATTATTAATATTATAAACAATATCAATATTATGAGAGGGAGAGAGAGACAGAGAGTGGGAGAGAGAGAAGTTTTAACATAAACTCAACAAAAAAAAGGTCAGTTTGGGACTAACATATAGTTCAACTTCATGATTTTATTTTAATAATTTACTAGTTGGGTGGAGGGACTCTAGCAGGAGGAAACTGGACGACTCAAAGAAATCCCACAAGGTTAGACAGGTGACCCTACTCCTTGTCACGTACAATAAGTTTAGTTTAAACAATATTTTATTTATTTGAAATGGATTGAACAAGTTCTTTATGAATCACCTACAATTGTTGTGGGATTGAAACTATGCCACTTGAAACAATGACACCATGTGTTAGACCACACTGTCACCCAAACCCTCTATTATGAATAACAAATTGACTACTGGATTAGCACTCCATACTGTTTCTATTACGAATTTTGTTTCTAAGCGACTTGAGTCGATTATTTATTTTGCAATTTTGGTCTATAACTTGATATTTGTTAGTCATTGCATTTGTGGCTTCGTAAGATATAAGTTTAAAGGGAACATATCTTTAAACAAAGTAAATATGGATAGTGTGTTAAAAAGTGTTTTATGTAGAAGAATGCAATATTATTGAGCAAGCTTATGGGTGGATTTGGCCCCCAAGAAATGGACATACATGTATATATATATTATCTAGTATCAATTCTTCAGATGGTCAGAAGTTTGATGTTGAAGTTAATGGAGGTATGACACTAGTCTGGTATCATCATGAAGATAGAGGTAATAAAATACTAGAAAGATTTTCTACCTTTAAAATTAATGGTATACCAGGACGAGGTCTTACTGAGTATTGCTACAGGTTGGTTTAACATTGCCTATAATTTTTATACGCCCACATTTTCATATGGACGTGGATTCTCTAGAGGACACAATTTTTTTTTCCGATTTTAAAAACCGTTTAGATATATCACCATTCCATCATAATGAAGGATGAATTCAAATTTCGGGAAAATTAAAAATGAAACTGCCTGACAAAATGGCCGCTCTTTGTATGCAACTTGTGTATGAGTATGTAATACAAAGGTTATGGACCCTCTAGAGGTCACAATTTTTATCCGATTTTTATGAAACTTAAAACATATCTTTAAATTCCAAAAATCGTAGTCCCTGTCAATGTTTGCTCTTTCAGACCATAACTTTCTGGATTATTGCACCTGATTGTACAAAAAATCGTTTTTGTTTTTAGCGTGTTCTCTATCCATCTCTTGCAAAATGTGGGCGTATCCTGCCTCGCAGCCACTGGTTTGTTAGGAGTATAAATTATGTTCATAATAATTAAACCATTACTGTAGATAATTTTTCTTTGGTGCGATATTCAAACAATGTTCATAAATTAACTCTGTCAATTGATTTTCATTTCTTCTCATATCATTTACATCTTTTTCTTGCCAGGAATTTTGATGGACCTAGTTATATACAAGATGTATCTTTACCACATCTATATGAACCATTATTAAAAGATTTAAATGAAATATGTAGAGGAGCTACTATGGTATATTTTACTGATATAGCTAGTTGTAATTCACAGATTGTAGGGGGTAAAGGTTCACAATTAGCTCTACTTACTCGAATACAAAATCAGGTTAGTCCTTCAAAATGTTTTTAGTTTTTATACGCCAACATTGAAATGTGGTCCTAAATTGTTGTCGCCCCCGTCCATCTGTCTGAAGTCCATCGATCCGGCGTCCACAATTGCTTGTGGACGCTCTAGAGGCTAAAGTTAACATCCGATTTTCAGTGATTTCCAATAATTACTGCGAGAGTTATGGACCTTGATCACTTTAAAAAATCTTGTGGATGCTCTAGAGGCTAATGTTAATATCCAATTGAAGAAGCCTATTGATTTTCAACGATATCCGATAATTACTGCCAAAGTTATGGTCCTTGATCACTTTGAATTATCTTGTGGACGCTCTAGAGGCTAAAGTATCATCCGATTGACTTTAGATCAGAGGTCGCAGTGGATCAATTTCGAGTTGCGTAAAAATACGCAGACATTCAAAAATTTTGCGTTTTTGCTCTCTACATCTGCGTGATTTAGAGTCTCTCAAAATACTCAATAGAAGCAAGTAAAATCGTTACGTGAACAATCCTATTTTAAGCATTCTTATTTCATTGATACTGTATGACGACTGAAGGTTGACGGCATATCTATGGTCGACGGCACAGTTATTTCAATCTTTCACTTCGACAGGAAGTAAAATGCAAACTATTCCTATCAAAGCCAATATTTGATTGGCTGAATGTAAACAGTTTATCGTGTTCTAGCCATCCCAAAGTGTTGTATGAAATGCGCTTTATTGCTTCCAGTGTGGCAAAATAGGGGGTCTCAGAATAGCTACGTATAGAATAGAAGGCTTACTGCCATGAACTTAAAGATTATGAACGAAATAAGAGGAATTATAAAAACCTACAGAGACTATGTACAGTAGCGGTGTGTAAATGCCGTGTGAAGCACGGAAATTGATGACGTAGTGTACACTACGAAATAGAATAATATAATTTTTCTGCGTGTAAATTACGCAGTGTCCGTCAATATTTGCGTTTATTTTGAAAAAAATGTGTGAAAAAAGCAGATTTTTGCTTGACTGCGACCTCTACTTGAGATTGATAGTTTAAGGTCTTGAGACGAACAAGTATATTGATTTTCAATGAATTTTGATAAATTGAACAACTAAATCCATGATATTAAATGTTTCGTATACTAAATGTTAGCATGGTGCAGAACTAAAAGCCAAACAATTTCTAATGATTTTCAGATAATTACTTAATGAGTTGTTACTCTTAATCAGATTTTAGTGTATTATAAATGTTTCATTACTGACAATAGAAAAAATATGCGACAACTTTTGTTGACTGCTCAGGTGACTTAGCTGCTGTGGGCGTGTTTCATTGCCTGGCAACCGATCTTTAACATGCTTTGTAAACATGTTTGTTTTTGAAGAAGTGGTTTACTTGGACAATGAAATAAATGAAAATGGGAATGATTATATGAACTCCAAACTTTTGTACTTCTAAGATATGCTGTGCAGACCTGTTATGGTACATTTATGATAGGATGTCGGAACTATACAATAAACAGGTTGTAGAAAAAGAAACGGGAGGTTGTAGAAAAAGAAACGGGAGATTGACAAAGGTTGACACGGTTGACACACAACCAAAATATGTGTTGATTTAAAACATGCCTTGTGGAACATGTTTATACCAGATGTATTGTAGGCCTATGCTAAGTTGTTGTGGCCATGGTAAAGCAAATACATTTTGTACATGCCCCATTCTAGGTTCTGAGCATGGTAATTACAAGTGGTAATTATTATTAATGGTAATAATGACATATCGTACACTAATCACTAATAAGTGCATGATTTCAGGTTTTGAGCTTGGTAATTACAAGTGGTAACGATTATTAACGGTACTAATGACGTAATCGACATAAATAGTGCACCATTTCAGGTTCTGAGCATGATGTAACTGATCTGATGCTAATAAGTGCATTATTTCAGGTTCTGAGCATGGTAATTACAAGTGGTAATGATTATTAACGATACTAATGAGTGCATTATTTCAGGTTCGGAGCATAGTAGTTATGATTATTAACTGCAATAATGACGTAACCAACACTAATAATTGCACTATTTCAGGTTCTGAGCATGGTATTTACACATTGAACAATCACGAACACTAACAAAAATGCCATTCATTCCTGTGTACCAGTACTAATTAGGTTGATATTTATGGCTGCATTAATTACAGTTTGTAACAGGACTCTCACTTCAGATTTATTACAATCATTGACTGATGATTCTAAGACAATAAAGATGGTGACGTGAAATCAGTAGAAGTAAAAATTATAAATGGCCATAACTTACATATGATTGATCAAAATTAATAATTTTTTGACATGTTTGCTTTTTGATTAGACTACTTTTTAATGTGTATGGTTTGAAACACCGAATCTGTATATTTACCTTTTAGTCTAGGATATATTGGACCTCTACATTTGCCAGGGAATTGTAATTAATATGTTTGTTTGTTTAACCCGAACAATGTCTACTGTTTGTGCAACTAATATTTGAATATCTGTTTAATTTTTTATTTGAAGATAAAAACCGTTGTACCACAAGGATTCTGTTTGACTCTAATGGCATTTGATAAACATATAGAGGTAAAGATAGTATATTCTATTGATGGATAAAATTAAATTACTGGTATAAAGAAAATACTAAAAAATTAGTGTGGATAAGAAAACATTCTTATGTACATAGATGAATGAAGTCTATACAAACTATTGCAACTTATTATTGTTTCATGAATAAAGTTACCTTTAAAGCCTTGGTTTTGAATTATTGTACAATAACAATATACAACATAAACATTTTATTAATTTCACTGGTGTTAAATATACAAATGTACTTTTCCCCTCTTATTAGAAGAACAAAGCTATATTAAAAAAAGTTGATGAACTCTGTATTTTGATCAGGTAAGATATACTGATAAATACACTTATTATTTTAATTTAAATGCAGAAAAATGATTATTTTCAAATAACATCTTACATTAACAGTATGGTTCAACTAGTGTAAATGCACAGTGATAACCACCTTTATATTAAAATTAATACAAAACAAAGTGTTACTAAAATGCACAACAGTCTAATAGCATGCATCAGAACTATTAAAATTTTATTTGCAGAAAGTCAACAGTTACAGAAATACAGGCCATTTGTGAAGATTTGGTTGATATGTTAGCATGTACTCCTGTCGAAGAATCTATTGTTAAAGATATCCATGACTGTTTATCTACATTATATACAGATTATATTAATACAAGGCTGGCTGTAAGGTCGTCTGCTGCTGGTAATATATCACATACATGTCTATCAAGTATATCAAGTATATCAACCTGAGGCTCTGAATTATCTTGCTATATTGGGTTTATTTTATCCTAGTTTTCTCTGTTCTGATTCTAATAGTACAAGCGTAAGTGCAGGAGGACTGCACTGCATGCAAACAAAACCCATTAGACAGTGGACAGTCACACAATTTACAAAGACATTGCAAACAATAAAAAAACAGTTCCATATAATTTTATATCAAATCTGGGTGCCAGCTTTAATCGTCCACTGCACTGTACATTCCTATGCTGATAATGATAGAGACTTCAATTAAAATGAAAAACAAACTTACAATAAAACAAAGAAAAATTACAAGAAAGATAGTGACAGCAAATGATTAAATGCAGTGTTAGGTCAACTAAATTTATATTAATGGTTCTTAAATAGATTAAGATAATGATATAAATGTGTAAAATAATCTTTTAAGTAGATACAATTTAGATGCTTGATTATTGATAATTATATGAATGATTCTTTGTTTAGATGAAGATGGTTCAGAAGCCTCATCAGCTGGTCAGATGGAAACATTTCTTGGTGTCAAAGGAACAACTCAGGTTTGTGTTTCTTTCTCATGCTGTGTATACAAATGTAGAAAATCAGACCTTTTTAAAAAAAGGTTGCAACTGGTTATTTTATTATTATTGAACCTTTTTTACACGTGTGGATATTTGACATAATTTTGGCTTCCTCTATATTCATAGATATTAGAAGCTGTTAGAAAATGTTGGGCATCTGCTTATACCTATCAGGCTGTAGAATACCGTAGACAACATGGTCAAGCTATTAAAACTAGTGTTGGGGTAGTAATACAAAAAATGGTCCTATCTGATGTGGCAGGAGTTCTATTCACTGCTGATCCTGTTAATGGAGATACAAGCGTGATGACTATTAATGCTAATTATGGTTTGGGAGAGGTGAGTGAAACATGGAAACCTGATACTGTAAAACATAAGTTTATGTGGGAATTTTTTTTTATTGTGTTTAATACCAGTCAATTAATTTTTAAGAATATTTCTGTTTTGTGATATAACAAAATAAAATATGGAGTACTTTTTAAAACAGTTTTGTGACAGATATGAGCTACTTCAAAACAATAAATTAATGAACAAAGATTAAATGGATATTGCCGAATTCGGTGCACTTCAGGGGCGGATTAAGAGATCGTCTGACAGAGGCAGCTCGTTCCGAAAGGAGCTAGCAATAGTGTGGGTATGGGGATGGGGGACCCCAGAACAAAACATTTTCAAATTTGCATCGCAGTAGATGAGATTTCAAGCACTTTTCTATTGGTTTCGATAAACTGGAACTGATGGTTTCGTTGCCTAAATCTGACGAAAAACAAATGAAATCAGGTTCTGCACTAATGAAGATGGTCACATGTACAAACAGGGTCATTCCAACCATTCTTCTTCGAGATATTGGGGGGTGGGTGGGGAATTTTATTGATGTAATATCTTGCAGTATTCTTGCCCCTTATATGCTCGTGATAGTGATTGTCACTGGAAGCCTAATAACAGTTGGGTACAGTTAATATTAATTAGTGAGGATATGATATGACTGGTTACATGGATTCTTCTCTTGCCTTATCAATATTTGTCTTTAACAGGTTAACATCAAAATACTTCGATTGATTATGTATTTCAGTCTGTTGTTAGTGGTAAATCTGATCCAGATACAATAAGAATACATAGAGAATGGAAAGATAAGCTAACAATAATAAATAAACATATAGGTGATAAACAGTCTCTTATTACACTTAAAGGTAATACAAGTCTGTTTTATATTTTATAAGGCAAGAAATATGGATAATTATCGAATATGAAAACAGCTGGAGAATATGGACCTTATCCTTCCTACAGTGCCAGATAAAAAGCTTGAAGGGCCCATGTTAAAAAGTTACACCTGAAAGTTCTCACAAAAAAAGTTTGCTACACAAATTGTGTAATTTTAAAAAAACTACATGATGTATACAAAGCCAAATAAAATTTTAAAAGCAAAATCGAAAATGAAATTTTGTGAGGTCCCTCTAGATTGTGAAGCTCTAATAACCTGAAGAGCAATGCGTAAATCCGACACTGCTTTCCATCAATGTCTTTTGATGTGGGCGTATATTGTCGTCGCCTCTGTCATACGACAATTTGTTTGTGGACACTCTACAGGTCTCAATTCTTATCCAATTTTGACATGTTTCGGATTGAAACATCATAGATTATGGCCCCTGATACTACGAAAAATCATGTTTTTAGTGTGTGGACACTCTAGAGGTCACAATTTTTATCCGATTTTAAAAATCGTTTAATTTTATCACCATTAAAATGATGATTGAGTTTGAATTTTTCAAAAATTGGACCGAAACTGCCCAATAAAATGGCAGCTCCTTGAACGCAAATAGTGTAAAAGTATGTAATACCAAGGTTGTGAACCCACTAGAGTTCAGAATTTTTATCTGCTTTTGATGAAACTTAAAGATACATTCCCGGGTACAAACTGGGTGATTTGATGATATATTTGGACTAAAAAAATATTCAAACTAATTAATTTATCAATATTTTGCTTCATATCTTTCTCAAAACATTACAATTGTCAGGGAATACCCGGCTATACAAACTCGATCAAAAGTGGTCATGTTTGTGTCATGTGACACAACGGGTGTGATGTCGGAGGAGAATTCATTGCATACAAAAGACGATGTTGCCTCTATCACTGACTATTTATTACAAAAATCGAAGCCTAATTAAATTCTTGGATTATCCACTGCCTGCCTCTTTTTCCGTGATTTTTATCACAGAAAGTGTTGTACATCTAACTCTTTATAAACTTTATCAACATGTACATCAAGCGCTCAATCTCTGCGTGCAACCTTTGATGTCACGCATGCAGACACTCCTAATCTTCGGGCTGTCGATTAGGGAAACCCGTACATTTTTGTCCTGTATGCGCTGCATGAGTGTTTTTCAGGAAATCCAGTATTTTTCTAGTAAGATAGGATATTTCTACTTTCCATATATACCAAAATTGCCATACTTTTATTGGAAATAACCACCCGATAAATACTTTTCTGGGAACGTAGCTTTAAAATGTATGTTTATATCCCAGAGATTTTGATTCCTTTTGATATTCGCACCATAAATTCCTGGATTATGTCCCCTGATTGTATGAAAAATGGGTTCGTCTGTCTGTCCGTCCGTCCGTCACATTGTTTGGGACACAATAACTCTCCTTCTAATTGAGCTAGAATGTTCAAACTTGGTGTAGGTGTTTATTAGGTCAATGCCTTGATGGAGTTCGAAGATGAGCATTTTCTGCTTAGGGTAAGCAGAGATAAGCAATTTGATTGGTTGATGCTTTGGGACACGATAACTTTAGTTCTAGTTAAATGAGAGTGAGGACACTTGGTGTATAGCTTTATTACATCAATACCTTGACTAAGTTCGATAATAAGCATTTTCTGCTCAGGGTAAGCAGAGCGATAAGCAATTTGATTGATCTAGACTTTAGAACACAATAACTCTCTTTCTAATTAAGGTAGAATGTTCAAACTTGGTATAGGCGTTCATTAGGTGAATGCCTTGATGGAGTTCGATGATAAACATTTTCTGCTTACGGTAAGCAGAGATAAGCAATCTGATTGGTTGATGCTTTGGGGCACGATAACTTTAGTTTTCATTAAGTGAGAGTGTTTAAACTCCGAGTGTAGATTCATTATATCATTACCTTGACTAAGTTCGATGATGAGACTTTTCTGCTTAGGCTAGGGAGCGATAAGAAATTTGATTTGTCAAGACTTTAGAACATAACAACTCTGCTTTTAATTGAGGTAGAATGTTTAAACTTAATGTAGATGTTCATTAGGGGAATGTCTTGACTGAGTTCAATGATTAACATTTCAAGCTAAAGCTAAGCAGAGCTACGCAATTTCATTGGTCGATGCTTTGGGACAAGATAAGTTTGATTCTATCTATCTGATAGAGAGTGATGAAACTTAGTGTATAGTTGATAATCAGTTTGATTGCTTGATACTTTTGAAAAAAAAATAAATGTGCTATTTCATGTAATTAATATGTGTCATCTATTTATTTTGGGATTTTGGCTGGGGACATCAGCCTCACTGTTGGCTTGATTTAGCATGTTTTCTGTCCATCTTGCAATATTTGGGCATATGTTGCATGGCAACCGCTTGTTTTTTATATGCTCGCATTTTAATGTGGTTGTATATTAATGTCTGTTGGTCTGTCAATATTTATAAGTTGGTTAGGTCGCAACTTTTTGGATGACTTGGTGTATATTTTGCTGTATGTTTTATTGTAGGTAAGAAATATGTATCTCCACTCTATTTTGAATACTAAAAAGCAAATATGGTAAACTAAGCTATATTGAAATATTTACAGAAAATGGTGGTATAAAAGAAGAAGGTGTGGAAACTAAATACAGAGCAGAATGCTGTCTTACTGATGAAATGATATTAAATCTAGCTCAAATCGCCATTATGGTACACTTTATTTCATGTTATTAGAATCACAATCATCATTTCTTTTCTCAAAATCTCAGAAATCTATAAACGATCTACGGGTCACAGTTTTCGAGATTTATTTCTCGCACTTATTGGGATTCTGGGGCTAGTCAAAGGCTGAAATATATTCCAGTTCAGAGTTGTGAATCAATTCATGCAGAATTACTGCCTTTTCATTGCTGTTTATTTATACTTTTGTATGTATATTTTAGTTAGAGAAATATTTTGGTAATAGTCGTGATATAGAATGGGCAGTTAAAGATGATACTGTTTATTTATTACAGGTAACTAATAAAATAACTAATAAAATACATTTAATTTCAGTCTTTAGCCAAATGTGGGGGGAGGGGGGGGCAATGGTCTTAACGTGTTCAATTTAGATTATAAAGTATGTTATCGAGTCAAGTGGTGTGGCTTCTATCCCAAACTTTTACTTGAGTAGGATCGCCTGCCAAACCTTGTGTGTTTTCTCCTCTTGTATCCTCCCACTGCTAAAGATCCCTACAGGCAAGTTAATTATTGAAATAAAATTATGTTATAGTCCTGAAATGACTTTTTTCTGATTTTAAACATCTCAATAATATATGTATTAGATTTAAAATACTCTTGTCCCCCGCCTTTCGAAGAAAGCAGGGGACTATTAAAATGGGTTCATGTGTTTGTCCATCCGTACATCACCCTTTTTGGGACACAATAACTCTCTTTCTAATTGAGCTAGAATGTTCAAACTTGGTGTAGGTGTTTATTAGGTCAATGCCTTGATGGAGTTCGAAGATGAGCATTTTCTGCTTAGGGTAAGCAGAGATAAGCAATTTGATTGGTTGATGCTTTGGACACGATAACTTTAAGTGAGAGTGATGAAACTTGGTGTATAGTTTCATTACATCGATACCTTGACTAAGTTCGATAATGAGCATTTTCTGCTTGGGGTAAGCAGAGTGATAAGCAGTTTGATTGGCCGAGACTTTGGAACACAATAAGTCTCCTTCTAATTGAGATAGAATGTTCAAACTTGGTGTAGGTGTTTATTAGGTGAATGCCTTGATGAAGTTCGATGATGAACATTGTATGCTTACGGTAAGCAGAAATAAGCAATCTGAATGGCTGATGCTTTGGGGCACGATCAATTTGGTTTTAATGAAGTGAGATCGATGAAACTCTGAATATAGATTCATTATATCATTACCTTGACTAAGTTTGATAGTGAGAATTTTCTGCTTAGGCTTTGGAACATAACAACTCTGCTTTTAATTAAGGTAGAATGTTTAAACGACTTGATGTAGATGTTCATTAGGTGAATGTCTTGACTGAGTTCAATGATTAACATTTCGAGCTAAAGCTTAGCAAAGCTAATCAATTTCATTGGTTGATGCTTTGGGACAAGATAATCTTGATTCTATTTGATAGAGAGTGATGAAACTTAATGTATAGTCTGATTGCTTGATACTTTTGAAAAAATAAATGTGCCATTAATTAATATGTGTCATCTATTTATTTTGGATTTCGGCGGGGGACATCAGCCTCACTGTTGGCTTGGGTTTTTTTTTTTTATATAAAGTTACCTTTATATGTAATATATATATTTCATTTTCAAATTATTTGCATCATTTGTAATTCAGTGCCGACCTATAACTACAGCTATACAAGAAACAGAAGATGATATCATACATGAATTTGATAGTGCTTTTTCATCTGATATAGAATGTGTAACTACAGGCAACATAGGGTATTATATCAGCTAGGATTTATTTGTTACATTTATAACTGAATGGACTGTAATTAGAAATTAAATGTCGGTATTTTCATGGTAAACTAGCTATAGAGTAATTTCAATAACAAAATACCTGTTGAAGGCAATCTGTCTCCATGAATATTGATAAAGATTCTCTACATGTTGTCTTTTTTCTAAATCAAATGTTTGCATTTGGAGCTGAATCAATGAATTTTATAACAAGATCAAGATTTACCACATTTCAGCAATGACTAATTTCTCATTTCAGTGAAATGATGCCAGGGGCAGTAACTCCACTTACATTAAGTACATTTGCCCGATCTATAGATTATGCTCTCCAGGTATGATTGTAAATCTTTGTTAAAATTAATTACTCATAATTAGCTTATTATGCATGGATCTGTGAGATAATTGTTTCATACTTTTACTTTACATTAAATGTCCCAGGCAGTGAAGTCTGATGACATTTTAAGAATTTTTTTTAGATCCATGGCTTATTGTGGAAAAACTGCATTTCATACAAATGAAATGGGTTTTTATGCCCTACTTTTCTGCTCCATCTGGGATAATGAATATGGGCATTAGCCATGCAGTGTGCTGTGAGCAAATTTTCCCAGACAGTGGCACTATGACCTACTCTTATTTTGAATTTGAACTTCAAGGGTTCTTTTACGCACACAGCAATAATTACACGGGACGTCCATTTTTCATCCCAACTTAATGACTATTAGACACTGTTCCTTGCTAGGCCCTTGGTTCTACACCACTAACAAAGGGAAACCACATCAGAAAATTCATAGGATCTTTCTCGGTCGAACCCGAGACCTTCAAGTTAGCGAGCCAGCTTCTTAGTCACTGAACCGCCTTAGGTATGGAGATATGACCAGTTGATTTTCTTTGTATACAGTACGGTACTGTAGAATCTTTCATAAGTATAATATGTGAGTAAAATATCTTTATTGAATTTAAACTGGTTTTGTTTTATGTTTTAACAGAATTTTAATTTTGGTATGGGTGCAAGAAGAGGAATTAGTTCTGTAATGTGTGGTATAAAATCATGTTCAAATCATTTATTTATATCATTATTTGTAAGTATAACAATATCATATCACACATTCTATATTGCAGTCTGGTTTCCAGTAAAGATTACTGCTCTGCGATGGTATAACATTTTGTAAAAAGGATAGATGCTCAATAAATAAAAATGAAATATAAATATAATCACAGAAAATTTTTAGAATTAATAAGTTCAGTTATTAAAACGTCATCTCAATCTCTACATAAAACTTTCCTTAAAAAGTTCAGTTTTTAAAAGTCATCACAATCACTTCATAAAACTTAAGATTATTTTGAGATTTTAATAGATTGTTCAGATTATTGAAGGGAAAGCACCTGTTTTTCTGACCTCCATCCATATATAGGTTGAAGCAGTATATAATAAGATGAATGTTTTTCAACTCCACAGTAGCAATCTATTATATTGAGTTTCAGGACTGTTATCCTAGTCTAATAGTCAATACCGTTCCGGTGTACGCCAAGAAAAATTGGCCCATAATATTAAATAGGCCTACGATAAAATAATCAGTTTATAAATGTAGGACTACATTTGATTAATATTCCAAGTTGTGTTCTTAGTTTATTTGAACCAGTTTTTATTTCAATATGCCGTCGCCCCTGTCCGTCCGTCCACAATTTGTTTGTGGACACTCTACAGGTCACAATTCTTATCCGATTTTTACGAAACTTGAAATATAGGTTTATCTCCAAAAGATCTCGGCTGCTTTCGATATTGGCATGTATCGGCTCGAAACTTCATGGATTATGGCCCCTGTTTGTATGAAAAATCACGTTTTTAGCTTGTGGACCCTATAGAGGTCACAATTCTTATCCGATTTTGTTGAGACTTGAAATGTAGGTTTATAACCCAAAGATCTCAGTTCATTTTGATATTCACGCATATCGGACCGTAATTTCCAGAATTATGGCCCCTGATTGTACGAAAAATTGCGTTTTTAGCTTGTGGACCCTATAGAGGTCATAATTTTTATCCGATTTGAAAAAAACATATTATTATTACACCGTTACACCCTAAGGACAACTGAGTTCAAATTTCGTGAAAATCAGTCCAAAACTGACAGACAAAATGGCTGCCCTTCATTCTCAAATAGCGTAAAAATATGGTATATCAAGGTTGTGGACCCTATAGAGGTCACAATTTTAATTCGATTTTGTTGAAACTTGAAATGTAAGTTTATAACCCAAAGATCTCGGTTCCTTTCGATATTCTTGCATATCGGACCGTAACTGCCTGAATTATGGCCCCTGATTGTACAAAAAATCGCGTTGTTAGCTTGTGGACCCTATAGAGGTCATGATTTTTATCCGATTTAAAAAACCATATTATTATATCACCGTTACACCCTAAGGACGGCTCAGTTCGAATTTCGTGAAAATCGGCCCAAATTTGACAGACAAAATGGACGCCGTTCTTTCTCAAATTGCGAAAAAATATGGTATATCAAGGTTGTGAACCCTATAGAGGTCACAATTTTTATCCGATTTTGTTGAAACGTGAAATGTAAGTTTATAACCCAAAGATCTCGGTTCCTTTCGATATTTGCGTATATCGAATTGTAATTTCCTGAATTATGGCCCTTGATTGTAGGAAAAATCACTTTCTTCTTAGCTTGTTCTCTATCCATCTCTCGAAAATGTGGGCATATCCTGCCTGGCACGTACAACCGGGGAATCGAAACCCCGCCAGTTGACTCAATGACAGACCGTATGATACAGCGCGCGCGTGCTAACCATTCAGCCATCCAACCCCCCTAATAAAAATAGAATAAAACAATTTTGACGAATTTCAGAGAAAATATTCTATTGAGATGGCATATTCATAGGTTGATGATAATATTTTGAAGGGGTATGTTTTTAAGTTAAGAAATAAACAAGCTAAGAAACGTCTACAAATATTTCGATTACAATAGTACAATAACTAGTTTTGTTTTAAACGATAGTGCGTGGGGCATCGTGGAGCATCGTGGAGCAACGGTTACCGAAAAAAAGTCTTTTGGAGATGTCAATTTTTGTTTACCTTCATCCGTATATAAGTCGAAATGGAGTATAAGACGAAGGCCGTACTTCAGCAGAAAAAAGTATCGACTTTTTCCCCCGAAAAATTTGATTTGCTTCTTTGTGCATGACACCTGTTAGATAGATAAAGTCATATTTTAATATGTTAATTGTAAATGATCTATATGAAAAGTTGATATAATTTCAGCAAACAGAGTGTATTGTTCTATCTGTTGGATCGACAAAAAAAGAAATGGCTGAACTAGCATTATTAGGAGAAGTTCTTTCTATTATAACAGTAGATAAACTGTTAAAGTATGTTGGTAAAGAAGAAGGAATATTTATGAAAATTATCAATTTTTTAAAGATGCTTAGGGTAAGTATTAATCCAGAAATGTAAATTTTGGGGTGTTGCACATAATGTTAGTTTGAAGGACCGTTATTTTTGTTTGGATTATAATTCATATTTGATTTCTAACTTGCTGGGCTTATTCAACTACTTTCATACATGAACATGTAGCACCATGATTCTCAACCAGAGATCTTCCTAAGTGTGCCGCGAAATTTTGACTGGCACACTAAGAAAATGTGAAAAAAAACATGCATGTGATCCCAATTGAGTATTCACTGATAAGTTCATAGCTGTGTTTTTCTTCATTTAGTTTGAGTCATTCTAAATGTATATGACTAATCTCTATTTACGGTTGTATGCCGTCTGACTTAACCATGTTTTTATTTTGCAAAATACAGATATTTTTCATATATATTTAGCCAGGTGTGCCGCTATTTCTTCAACTGTTCCAAGGTGTGCCGTTGGAAAAAAAAAGGTTGAGAACCACTGGTGTAGCACATCAAGTATTTTGTAGATTCTTAGAAACCTTGCAAATCACTTTTCAGGCCTTTTTGAGACAGTTTGACTACTAATTAAAGGAAACTCCCAATCAAAATAAGGTGTTTCACATCATTTATTTACAGAGTTATTGCACTTGTAATAATTACTCTCCAGTTTTTGAGATTTTGTTTACAAACTTGGTGGGTGTATTTAACTACTTACAGACGTGAGCACTGATTAAATTTGTCAATTATTCAATTTCAAGCCTGCTTAGATGGTTTGAATAGTAATACGGATGAATTTTGATGAACCCAATTGAAATTTAGAATCACTCATCCATTATTTACTGAGTTATAGCCCTTGTCTTCAAAATCTCTGTTTTTATACGCCCACATTTTCATGTGGACGTATATTGTCGTCGCCCCTGTCCGTCCGTCCACAATTGTTTGTGGACACTCTACAGGTCACAATTCTTATCCTATTTTGACGAAACTTAAAATATAGGTTTATCTCCAAAAGATCTAGGCTGCTTTCGATATTGGCATGTATCGGATCGAAACTTCATGGATTATGACCCCTGTTTGTACGAAAAATCACGTTTTTAGCTTGTGGACCCTATAGAGGTCACAATTTTTATCCGATTTTGTTGAAACTTGAAATGTAAGTTTATAGCCCAAAGATCTCGGTTCCTTTCGATATTTGCACATATCGGACCATAACTTCCTGAAATATGGCCCCTGATTGTGCGAAAACTCGCGTTTTTAGCTTGTGGACCCTATAGAGGTCATAATTTTTATCCGATTTAAAAAACCGTTACACCCTAAGGACGACTGAGTTCGAATTTCAAAAATAGTCCCAAAACTGACAGACAAAATGGCCGCCATTCGTTCTCAAATAACGTAAAAATATGGTATATCAAGGTTGTGAACCCTATAGAGGTCACAATTTTTATCTGATTTTGTTGAAACTTGAAATGTAAGTTTATAACCCACAGATCTCGGTTCTTTTCAATATTCGCGCATATCGGACTGTAACTTCCTGAATTATGGCCCCTGATTGTACGAAAAATCGCGTTTTTCGCTTGTGGACACTATAGAGGTCATAATTTTAATCCGATTTAAAAAACCATATTATTATATCACCGTTACACCCTAAGGACGGCTCAGTTCGAATTTCGTGAAAATCGGCCCAAAATTGACAGACAAAATGGCCGCCGTTCTTTCTCAAATAGCGAAAAAATATGGTATATCAAGGTTGTGGACCCTATAGAGGTCACAATTTTTATCCGATTTTGTTGAAACTTGAAATGTAAGTTTATAACACAAAGATCTTGGTTCCTTTCGATATTCGCGCATATCGGACCTTAACTTCATGAATTATGGCCCCTGATTGTACGCAAAAACGCTTTTTTTGGCTTGTGGACCCTATAGAGGTAATAATTTTTATCCGATTTAAAAAAAAACATGTTAATATATCACCGTTACACCCTAAGGACGGCTGAGTTCGAATTTCGTGAAAATCGGCCAAAAACTGACAGATAAAATGGCCGCCCTTCGTTCTCAAACAGCGTAAAAATATGGTATATCAGAGGTAACAATTTTTATCCGATTTTGTTGAAACTTGAAATGTAAGTTTATAACCCAAAGATCTTGGTTCCTTTCGATATTCGCGCATATCGGACCGTAACTTACTGAATTATGGCCCATGATTGTACGAAAAATCGCGTTTTTAGCTTGTGGACCCTATAGAGGTCATAATTTTTATCCGATTTAAAAAAACGTATTATTATATCACCGTTACACCCTAAGAACGGCTGAGTTCGAATTTCGTGAAAATCGGCCCAAAATTGACAGACAAAATGGCCGCCGTTCTTTCTCAAATAGCGAAAAAATATGGTATATCAAGGTTGTGGGACCCTATAGAGGTCACAATTTTTATCCGATTTTGTTGAAACTTGAAATGTAAGTTTATAACACAAAGATCTTGGTTCCTTTCGATATTCGCGCATATCGGACCCTAACTTCATGAATTATGGCCCCTGATTGTACGCAAAAACGCTTTTTTTGGCTTGTGGACCCTATAGAGGTAATAATTTTTATCCGATTTAAAAAAAAACATGTTAATATATCACCGTTACACCCTAAGGACGGCTGAGTTCGAATTTCGTGAAAATCGGCCAAAAACTGACAGATAAAATGGCCGCCCTTCGTTCTCAAACAGCGTAAAAATATGGTATATCAGAGGTAACAATTTTTATCTGATTTTGTTGAAACTTGAAATGTAAGTTTATAACCCAAAGATCTTGGTTCCTTTCGATATTCGCGCATATCGGACCGTAACTTACTGAATTATGGCCCATGATTGTACGAAAAATCGCGTTTTTAGCTTGTGGATCCTATAGAGGTCATAATTTTTATCCGATTTAAAAAAACGTATTATTATATCACCGTTACACCCTAAGAACGGCTGAGTTCGAATTTTGTGAAAACCAGCCAAAACTGACAGACGAAATGGCCGCCCCTCGTTCTCAAATAGAGTAAAAATATGGTATATCAAGGTTGTGGAGTGTGGACCCTATAGAAGTCACAATTTTTATCCGATTTTGTTGAAACTTGAAATGTAAGTTTATATCTCAAAGATCTTGGTTGCTTTTGATATTCGCGCATATCGGATCGTAACTTCCTGAATTATGGCCCCTGATTGTAGGAAAAATCACTTTCTTTTTAGCTTGTTCTCTATCCATCTCTTGAAAATGTGGGCGTATCCTGCCTGGCAGCCGCTGGTTTGTCCTCTTCATGTTGCTGTTTTTGCTATTTCATTTTAAAACTGGCTGAGACTTTTTCAAATGGTCACAAGTCAAAATCATATTGGAAGTTCACCAAATTTTAATTCAACTTTTATTTTCTTCTGAGATGTATTTTGTTAGGTAGCTCGGCAACAGTCTGATCTGATTATCTTTAAAGTATCTGTATAGTCAAGTCTTTGTAAAGACCGATAATGACCTCATGCCATAGATTCTATAGTATCTCTCACTTCAGATCTGAAGTGACGTCAATGCAACAGGAATTTTGACTTTTTGATCCCTAAAATAGTAGGTATTATATTTGATAGGTAAATTGTTTGTCAAAAATTGTATATTACAGATGATATCAAGAGGATTACGTCGAACTAAAGAATGGGAAAAACGTCTACCGAATTATAGTATTGGTGTTGGGTGTCAAGATTCCATCAGTTTATACCAGGATATATCAGCTAAATTAACAGATTATACAATGGTATGTTATATGATACATCAGCTAGTACTAGCAGAAAATATTGATATTGCTGATAATCGTTTGTAAAGCATTTTGGAGATTGATAATTGGTACAGATTACTTGTAAAAATAAATCCATAAAAGATAATCCTTATCACAGTATTCTTTACAATGTATGCTTAAGCCTAGCTTGGTAACTAATTAAACAGAAAAGTCATTAATTAAACACAAACCTTTTGTTATACGGCCACATTTTCATGTAGACATATATTGTCGTCGCCCCGGTTTCGGTCCACAATTTGTTTGTGGACACTCTACAGGTCACAATTTTTATCCAATTTTGACAGAACTTGAAATATAGGTCTATCTCCCAAAGATCTCGGTTCCTTTCGATATTGGCATGTATCAGACCATAACTTCATGCAGGCCTTCACGTGAATAAATTCCTGGAGAGTCATAAAAAAAGCTCTCCTGAAATTGGAAAAAGGGGAAATCACTCTACTGAGAAAGCTCTCCTGAATCTCTTGAGGAGAGCTTTGTTAGCATTTGTGATAAAGTCCAGAGATTTTAATCTATTTCGAAACCAACCGGCCAGAATTGTGTCAAATGAGGTCCCGGTAAGAAACAGGGTAATTCGAAGCTCCCGTTAACTTTAATATCTGACTTCAACTAGTTCAAGTCAGTAATATTCCTGAATAGACTACTGTCTTCTTTTATCATCAGTCGATCGAAATTAGGATTTATCTACTACGGCGAAAATAAGCTGATGCGACAGCATGACATTTCTTCATATTTAAAACACAAATTAATGTTTTTGTCTATCACGTAACTTACAATGTTTTTATTCAAGACAAGCCACACAATGATCACGTGACTCCCATGATTGAAATTGCTTTATATATATATAAAATTCCGTTCGACTATGCCATGGCCTCAAATAAAAAGGGCAATATTTTTAAGAATAAATCCCTGTCAGCATGTGTAAAAAATAGAATGCATGTCACGTGTTATCGGGAATCTGAAAGCATTGAAGATCTTGACGGAAAAATATATTAGTTATATTTGTTTCTCGGGATATCCGGTGTTCTATCAGGGATTATTGAATGAATATTTAAATTTAACTAACAACGGGTCAGTGAAACCATAAAATGCATTATCCAATTATTATTTTCATATCTACCTAGAATTCGTACGGATCGAGAGTCGAAGACGGGGCGCGAAGCACGAATTTCACAATCCATGTGGAGCGAGATGTCTTCCTCAAATTACCGTTAAATGAGCTAATTACTCGGATTATGAACCGGATGGCCGATTCTCAATAAGGTATGACTGTTATTGTAGCCGACAATCAAGTTGATTGTCGATGTGATATTGACAGTCTTTTTCGTTACCAGTATATTTTGCCTGATTATTTTCTTTGAGGGGAGTCAAATTAGATATTGAGGAGAACTATAAAAAGCGCACCTCGGCTGACATTCAGGCGCGTCCAGGAGAGCGAGAGCGATCTCGCTCCTTTTACGTGAAGGCCTGTTCATGGATTATGGCCCCTGATTGTACAAAAAATCGAAGTTTTTAGCTTGTGGACACTCTAGAGGTCACAATTTTGATCAGATTTTGATGAAACTTGAAATTTATGTTTATAACCTAAATATCTTGTTTCCTTTGGATATTCGCGCATATCGGTTCGTAACTTCCTGAATTATGGCCTCTGATTGTACGAAAAATCACGTTTTTAGCTTGTGTTCCCTCTAGAGGTCACAATTTTTATCCGATTTGCAAAATCGTTTTCGTATATATCACCGGTACACCCTAATGATGGTTGAGTTTGAATTTCGTGAAAATCAGATAAAAACGTTGCCCCTTGTACGCAAATAGTGTAAACATCTCGTATATCAAGGTTGTAGACCCCCTAGAGGTCACAATTTTGATCCGATTTTGATAAAAACTTGAAATGTATGTTTATAACCCAAAGATCTTGGTTCCTTTCGATATTCGGGCATATCGGATCGTAACTTCCTGAATTATGGCCCTTGATTGTACGAAAAATCGCGTTTTGAGCTTGTGGTCCCTCTAGAGCTAAAAATTTTTATCCGATTTAAAAAACAAAAACATGTGAATATATCACAGTTATACACTAATGATGGTTGAGTTCGAATTATGGAAAATCGAACTAAAATTGATGGACATAATGGTCGCCCCTTGTATGCAAATAGTGTAAAAATATGGTATATCAAGATTGTGGACCCTCTAGATGCCACAGTTTTTATCCGATTTGGATGAAACTTTAAATATATGATTTTATCATAAAGATCTTGGTTTCTTTTCATAATCACACATATCCGAATGTAACTTCCTGCATTATGGCCCCTGATTGGTCAAAAAATCTAATTTTTAGCTTGTGGATTCTCTAGAGATCACAATTTTTTTTCCGATTTTAAAACCCGTTTAGATATATCACCATTCCACCATAATGAAGCTTGAATTGGAATTTCGGGAAAATCGAAATAAAAGTACCGACAAAATGGCTGCTCTTTGTACGCAAATTGTGTATAAGTATGTAATACAAAGGTTATAGACCCTCTCTAGAAGTCACAATTTTTATCCAATTTTGATGAAACTTAAAAACATATCTTTATATTCCAAAAATCTCAGTCCCTTTTGATATTTGTGCATTTCAGACCGTAACTTTCTGGATTCTGGCCCCTGATTGCACAAAAAATTGTTTTTGTTTTTAGCTTGTTCTCTGTCCATCTCTTGCAAAATGTGGGCGTATCCTGCCTGGCAGCCGCTGGTTTTTCACACAAGACTCTACCACTAAGAACTGATTAGAGCAAATAGTTTCACATAGCATTCAGAGTTGTGTCCCTTCTTTTACTCTTATTTCTTGTGGCTGCTCTGAGTCAAATACATACATGAATTAAGCCACTATACAAGGCATTTTATGAGCATGAGAAATCAGAGTAACTGTGAGAAATAAACTGTTACTGTGAACTGGATGTGGAATCTGTTTCATGTGATCAAAAGGAAATAACTACATTTTACTCATTATCTATTTTTCTTGTCATAAGCGACAAAGATATGTCAAGCAAGCGGTTATGGCAGTGATGGGATTTCAAAATTTTTCTTGTCAGACATTTTTTCCCGAAAATAAAGGGGCATAACTCTTATTGTTAAGAAGCACGTGTCAACAAAATATTAAAATAATAAAAAAACAGGTGCACCTCGTTGTTTTTCATGTTTAATTCCCGTACGGTATTCAAATTTATGTCGATAATATTCCTACAAAATTATGTGACATCGTAATACCATAGAATGAAAGTGTGCCGACTACTGCCGATCCGTACCTGTTTCAAATTCCTCCAAAATTACCATACTTTTTGGGTCATATATCGATACATTTTTCAGAAGAAGTCCGGCATTCGTCTTATACTTCGTTCCGACTTATATACGGAAGGTAAAAAAATGACATCTCGAAATTTATTTGGCAGTAAACGTTGCTCTACCACAACGAGCGAATGACACCAACTGCTAAATAATCGCATTCGACTCTAGCACACGCTATTGTCTAAAACAATTAACTACTTACATTATTCCAATCGAAATATTTGTCAACATTTCTTAGCGTGTTTATTTATTTATTTAAAAACATAAACCCCATTCAAAATATCATAAATCCGAGAATATGCCATCAAAATAGAATCTTTTCTCTGGCATCAGACATATGAGATTCAGCATGTTTACATCTCTTAATTTCACGTGTCTCGCGAGATTTCTACTTTCATTTTAGTTATTGTACTATAACTGCCATGCGTGTGTGTGAAATAGCTTTATTAAACTTCGGCTTCCACTGAAAAAATATCACTGTTCAGGATTGGATTGATGAATTGTCCGACAAAGGTTTAAGTCAGCCAATCAAGGCAGATTAAGTAGGTGTATAGACGGTATGACACAATAAATATGTCGATCACTTAATTGCCTAATCAATCCAGCCTATTATCAACGATAATCGGGTTGAGTGGTAGTTATACACTCAGTAGACTATATTAATTTTGTCCTCCCACTGCTAAAGACCCCTATGCGCAAGCAAATTATTGAAATGAAATTAAACCATATGTTAGTCCCGAAATGACCTAGTTTGTGTCGAGTGGACGTTAAACCCCATTTCTCTCTCTCTATATATTAATTTTGGAATTTTGAATGTTATTCACCATGTCTTTATGGCATATTCCTGGTCGGACAATTTAGGATGTTTGGAAAGTAGCGTCGGACATGTCCGGAATATACAGGCATAATCCCATCACTGGGTTATGGTTCTGTCTTCCATATGCACAAGGACGTTGACTGAGTTTCGACACCTTGGTTTTGGTATGGAATATTATTTTATTGTCAAATCAATGAAATAAATTCTTTGAAAATTTATACATAATGATATTACAGCATAAACTCACATATAATTCGTTATTCATACACAAATTATGAATGTTTTCAAAAGTAAAAATAGTTTGCCGATATTATGGATTTTTGATCGGCGGTTGGTCGGCGATTATTGATACTTCAAACCAGTTTCGATTGCCAGCTCTAATATCAACTAAATTAACAGATTATACACTGGTATGTTATATGATATATCAGCTAAATTAACAGCTTATACACTGGTATGTTATATGATATATCAACTAAATTAACAGATTATACACTGGTATGTTATATATCAGCTAAATTAACAGATTATACATTGGTTGGTATGTTATATGAATTATCAGCTAAGTTAACAGATTATACACTGGTTGGTATGTTACATGAATTATCTGCTAAATTAACAGATTATACACGGGTATGTTATATGATATACATCTACTCTGGTGCCTTGGACATCAATAATATGATTAATGTCTACAGAAAATGTTGATCATTTTCGTCAATTAGCTAAAGGCTGTCTTCTGTCAATATGTGCAGTAATATAATATTTATATAATATCATATTTATGTCTTCTATATACAATGTATTTTGGGATTGATGCAGAGGACATCTACCTCACTTTTGGCTTGTTTAGAATTGTTCAATGACAAGATAATTATTATAAGGCTATTTAGAAGTTAGGTATATTTCCATGACCAGCTAAATATAGAGCAAGCTTATAACAAAAAGTCATCTTTAAAACGATTTTATTTAGCGAGCTTATTAATCTCTTTCAATCTATAATTTTATTTTTCTAGGTCATAAGAAATGTCATACCTTTAGTTAAAAATAAGTTTACATACTGCACTATATGATCTAATTAATCTGGAGGAAACATATCTTGGAATAGAAACATGACATATAATTAATTTTTTGTAGGTGTGGGATTGTACTACAAATAACAGTTCTAGATCTAGCAGTTGGACCTCTGTATTAATGTCTATTCTTACTAAAGGAAGTCAGGGTAATATTTTGAAAATTGATTCACAGTTGTGTCCTCCATTTATTAAATATTTCATCTAGTACAAACACCTTAAGATGTGCCATTTTGTTTACTGAAGTTATAATTGCATCTTTTTTCCCATTAGTTTTGAAAAACAGCCATAACACAAATCTAATTATAATCTTGAATAACATCAGACCAACAACTTTTTCAGAATGGAAGTCAGAACATTATGGAGATTTAGCGATATTGTTAGCAGAGTGTGAGGACGTCTATTCAGCTGAAGTGCCTTCTGCTATTCAAAATCTGGCAAAAGAGATAAACGACACTGGCTTAAGAGAGAAGTTTCTGCAAATATCTGATTTGGTGAGTGCCATTTTAAATCCCTTTATATATGTTTTATTATAACATTCAAAATATTTCAAGCCTAGGATATTTTCTTTAGGTATAGTAGGGCTAGGACCAAATTTGTTAGCGGAAAGAGCCTAATTCATATTTGTTAGCCATAGTCTTCGATACTATGCTGTAGTATAAAGTACAATTTCATTTATTGTCTAACTAGTGGATGATGCGGCGCTGCACAGTATAACTCAGAAAAGTGGTAGTGCAGTACCACCAGGCATATGTTACAGCCCTAGTGTAGCCACCAACCCTGAACAAACAGACAGAAAAGAATCGTCAGTCACAAATATTAGTATAGAATGGTATTGATTTTTTATACGCTCACATTTTCATGTGTCATCGCCCCTGTCCGTCCATCCATCCATCCATCCGTTCGTTCGTCCACAATTTGTTTGTGAACACTTTACAGGTCACAATTCTTATCCGATGTTGAAGAAGCTTGAAATATAGGTTTATCTCCAAAAGATCTCGGTTCGTTTCGATATTGGCATGTATCGGATAGAAACTTCATGGATTATGGCCCCTGATTGTACGAAACATCACGCTTTTAGCTTGTGGACCCCTACAGGTCACAATTTTCATCTGATTTTGATGAAAATTGAAGTGCATGTTTATAACCCAAAGATCTTGGTTCCTTTCTATATTTGCGCATATCAGATCGTAAATTCCTGAGTTATGGTCACTCTAGAGGTCACAATTATTATCTGATTTAAAAAAAACGTTTGACTATATCACAGTAAAACCGTAATGATGCTTGCATTCGAATTTCGTGAAAATCTGACCAAAACTGCCGGACAAAATGGCTGCCCCTTGTACGCAAATAGTGTAAAAATATAATATATATCAAGGTTGTGGACCCTCTAGAGGTCATAATTTTAATCTGATTTTGATGAAACTTAAAATGCATGTTTATAACCCAAAGATCTTGGTTCCTCTCTATGTTCGCATATATCGGATCGTAACTTCCTGAATTATGGCCCTTGATTGTACGAAAAATTGCGTTTTTAGCTTGTGGTCCTTCAAGAGCTAACAATTATTATCCGATTTAAGAAACCGTTTAAATATATCATTGTTAAACTGCCGGACAAAATGGCCGCCCATTGTACGCAAATAGTGTAAATATATGGTATATCAAGGTTGTGGACCCTCTAGCGGTCATAATTTTGATCCGATTTTAATGAAACTTGAAATGCAGGTTTATAACCCAAAGATCTTGGTCCCTTTCAATATTCGCTCATATCGTATTGTAACTTCCTGAATTATGGCCCTTGATTGTACGCAAAAATCATGTTTTTAGCTTGTGGTCCCTCTAGAGCTAACAATTTTTATCCGATTTAAAAAAATGTTTGAACGTATCACCGTTAAACCTTAATAATGGCTGAGTTTGAATTTCATAAAAAATCAGATCAAAACTGCCGGACAAAAAGGCCGCCATTCGTACGCAAATAGTGTAAACATATGGTATGTTAAGGTTGTGGACCCTCTAGAGACGACAATTTTGATCTGATTTTGATGAGACTTAAAATACATGTTTATAGCCCCAAGATCTTGGTTCCTTTCGATATTCGCGCATATCGGATCGTAACTTCCTGAACTATGGCCCTTCATTGTACAAAAAATCTTGTTTTTAGCTTGTGGTCCCTCTAGAGCTAACAATTTTTATCCGATAATGATGGTTAAGTTCAAATTTCTTGAAAATCAGACCAAAACTGCTGGACAAAATGGCCAACCCTCGAATGCAAATAGTGTAAATATATGGCATATTAAGGTTGTGGACCCTCTAGATGAAACAATTTTGATCCGATTTTGATGAAACTTTAACACATGTTTATAACCAAAAGATCTTGGTTCCTTTTGATATTCGCACATATCAGATCATAACTTCCTGAAATATGTCCCTTGATTGTACGAAAAATCAGTTTTTTTTAGCTTGTTCTCTATCCATCTCTTGTAAAATGTGGGCGTATCCTGCCTTGCAGCTGTAGGTTACCTGTAGTATATCCTTAGTTAGGGATTCTTGATTTGATTGATTGATGCTTTGGGACACGATAACTTTAGTTCTAACTGAGAGTGATGAAACTTGGTGTATAGTTTCGTTACATCAATACCTTGACTAAGATCGATAATGAGCATTTTCTGCTCAGGGTAAGCAGAGAGATAAGCAATTTGATTGGTTGAGTTTTTGGAACACAATAATACTCCTTCTTATTGAGGTAGAATGTTCAAACTTATTGAACGCCTTGATGGAGTTCAAAGATGAGCATTTTCTGCTTAGGATAAGCAGAGATAAGCAATTTGATTGGTAGATATTTTGGAACACTATAACTTTGGTTGTAATTAAGTGAAAGAGATGAAACTTGACTAAGTTCGTTAATGTGCATATGAACATTTTCGGGTAAGCAGAGCAATAAGCAGTTTGTATGGTCAAGACTTTGGAGCTCAACAACTTTGATTCTAATTGAGTGAGAGTGATGAAACTTCATGTAAAGTTTCATTACATCAATACCTTAGCAAAGCTTGATGCTGAGCATTTTCTGCTTAGGCAAAGTAGAGACTTCAGTCTGATTGGTCGAGACTTTGGAACACAATAACTCTCCTTTTAATTGATGTAGAATGTTCAAACTTGGTTTAGGTGATTATTAGTTCGATCATGCGCATTTTCCACTAAGGCAAAGAAGAGATAAGCAATTTGTTTGGTTGAGACTTTGGAAAATAATAACTTTGGTTCTAATTGGGTGAGAGCAATGCAACTCTGAGTATAGATTCATTATATCAATACCTTGACTAAGATCGATGATGCCAATTATCTGCTTCGGCTAAGTAGCGTTAATCAATTTAATTGGTCAAGACTTTGGAACATAACAACTCTGCTTTTAATTGAGGTAGAATGTTTAAACTTGATGTAGATGTTCATTAGGTGAATGTCTTGACTGAGTTCAATGATTAACCTTTTCCCTCTAAAGCTAAGCAGAGCTAAGCAATTTCATTGGTCAATGCTTTGGGAGAGTGATGAAATTTAGTGTATAGATGCACAACCAGGTACTTCAAAACCTTGACTGAGTTTGATCGTGAACATTTTATGCTTAGACTGAAAATAGATAATCAGTTTGATTGCTCGATACTTTTGAAAAAGATAAATGTGCAATTAATTAATATTTGTCATCTATATATTTTGGGATTTCAGCAGGGAACATCAGTCTTACTGTTGACTTTTTTTTTTCAAACTTGCAGAGAGTGTTCGGAAAATCCTAAGCAGAAATTCTATAATTTTGCGAACAGTTAGTGCTCCTGTAACTGAACCATTGTAACAATCAGAATATTGAAGTCCTTATTAGTAGGAACTCTATTGAACTTCAGAGTCAACTTTATAAACATCTGGGATGACAATGCTGCTGGTAGCGTGTATGGTTCATAAATATTTATATAGAAGTGAAGATTAGTAAATTGCATGCAAATAATAATTATGCTCGCATTATTCTCATTTAAACATATGGAATGCTTTTACAGGAGTGTGTTCAAGTCATCTACAGCGGTAGACATGAAAATCTTCTGGCTAGTTTTAAACGATTTTTGTCCAGACATGGTCATCGTTGTGTACGAGAGGTAATATATGAGAAAATAATGTTATCTAAGAATGTAGATGAATGTAGATGGGGGAAGGTATGATGAATTGCAAATTTGCCAACATTCTGCATCCATTACAGTCCTATGTTTTCACAGGACTCATTTATCTATTATTGATATTTTGATTTTTTTTGCCGAAGTTTGAAGCAAAGATCTGAATATCCTTGATACTGTAACATGGCACTGTAATATTTCAATCTTTCAGTCTGAAATTTATGAAAAGTCATGGCAGGTTGAACCCGAAAAGTTAATTAAAGTAATAAAAGTAAGTATTATTATGATCAAAAAAATAAACTTTATACACAAATGTTTCATAATTATAAGTTCTTAGGATTATTCAGTTAGTCCTCAGGAGGAGTCGTATCAAACTTCAGGATCGTACAACAAGTTTTTCACCACTGTAACCAAAAGTGTCTAACCATTACGACTATAGTCATGATATAACATGTATCACAATATATTTGTCCAGATACAAATTGAATCACAATGCAAATTCAGGTCACAAATTTATCAACAAAACCCAACTTATACTAAATAAATTATTGTTTGTATTTTAATGTAAGTAGAACTTTAACCCTTTTACAGAGGTACTGCCCTTGACAGTGAAACCTTTAAATTTTTTGTTTGGCTATTGATTAAATAAAATTCGAAGTTGTCTGTCATTTTAATTCCCAAAACTTTAAAATCATGTTTCAGAAGAGGTAAATTTTAAGCGTTAAAATGATGTATTAAAGTTCATTTATTTCACAGTAAATGACAAACAAATGTTTCTTTTGTTTAGGCCATTCTTCTGTCACGGTCTTACAAAAGGCCACCAAAGTCAACTAGTAGCATAGCTGATACCATTAATCAAATGAAAACTGAATTACCGGCATTCCAAAGGTAGGAAATGAGTTTGTGTGTGGTAAGCTCTAAGAGAATTTCCAGTTGTACAGCAACGTGCTTCTGAGTAGTAATATTTGAGTTGCTCATCATATTGACAGTACCAGTCACATTTTGTATCCCTCCTACACATGACTTTGTCTACCAAGCCCATGCAAAGTAGGTGCATTTTTAAGGTTCCGTCAAACAGCATATTTCTCTTGCCATATGGCAAGCCTTAAACGGAGGGATGAAAATCGGTCATCATGTGAATCTGAAAGCTGAAGACACATATTATCATATGTGATCACCCTTATTTGTCTATATATTGATCTGTTAAAGATACATTATGGGAGATAAGATAAAGAGATGGCAGTTCTCGCTATAATAGTTAAAAACTAGATAGTGTAAAGGTAATTTGCTGAAAATTTCAGTCAAATTGATCAACTATGAGCCGAGAAAAAAGCAGGTGAAATTTTTGCATAGTCTCGGTCATCATTACTAAAATCATTTTATAAACAGCATAGTCTTGATTATCCACTTTTTCTGATTTAATTATCAACGGCCGTTAGCGGCATATAGGAATCTAATCCAGCCAACATCGATGGCTAGCCTTGACATCGAGAGTTTATTATGGTCTGGATAAGTTAATTAATGTCTAATTGATAATTTAGATAACATTTCAGGCCTAAAGAAAGACTTGTAATAAGCAGATTTTGCTCTTGCATAATGCATGTTTAAATAACCCAAAGATTGGGCTGAAAATGGGTCAAAATTGGCTAAAATACCATAACCACATTATCTCCAAAATGGCTAAATATTTTGAGAAACTATTAGGGCTCCAAAGTAGAACCATATGGGTGAACAAATCTTAATAATATTTTAAGAAATATGTTGACACCACTTACATGCTCTCTGCATAGTTTTATCATGGAATGAGTGTCATCTGTTTATTTTGGAATTATGGCGGGGGACATTATATTTACTGTTGACTTATATTTTCTACAGATGGATAATAAAATTTCTTTTACCAAGAACAAGGAAGGCTGTGGGAGATCGAGAATGGGGCAAGGTAAGCAGTCTGGTATTTCAAAAACGGAAGAAACTAAGCTGAAAATGTTCCATGAAAAGCATGTATGCAATGTATCAATATGAAAGTTTTAAAGATTGATTTTTATTGCGATAAATGGTTATGTTTTCCGGCTCAAAGACTGTTATTTTATGCTTCTGTTTCAGTCATTATCTATTGAGATGTCAGAAAAATTCAAAAAGGCATATTGGATACTTGCTGATTTATTAGTTGATGAGGTAATAGAACTTTTAATAGTGTGGACTTTATTGATTATATTGTTCACTTTCCCTGTTGTTAGAGAACATAATATGAAATAAAATTTAAAACAAATTAGGGGAAAAGGTCTTTGTAATTTAATATAACATATGTTGTTGGAAAAGATGTCTATGTATAATTGTATACCTTCTTTGAGCGTCATTTAGCAATTGACATACGTAATAAACACAAAAACATAATATGGAACATAATTACTATTTTAATTAAAGCGATGTTTCGTTGAGGGTTCTCTCAATGTTTTCAAGCAAATGATAATGAAAATAATGTACAGAAGGTTTATATACAAAAACAAGTAACAGCTAATTAACCATAAATCAATCGGGAAACCATTTAATATATGAAGTCAAATCACCAATAAAGGAATAAGAGCTTATGAAACCATATAAACCTTCTGTACATTATTTTCATTATATATTTGTCTCTGGGGGATCACGTGGCTAAGTGGGTAAGACGCTGGCTCGCTAGCCTGGAGGTCGGGTGTTCGATCCCTGCATTGGCCGAGAAAGTACATCCAGATTTTCCGGCGTGGTTCCCCCTTGTCAGTGATGCAGGATGGATGGCCTGACAAGGACAGCTGTCTAGTCCTTCGGATGAGACGAAAAACCGAGGTCCTGTGTATACATTGGAATGCACGTAAAAGATCCCTTGGCAATTGGAATTCGATATAAGAGTAGGCGATAGTGCTGCTGATCTGGCAAAATTTCCCTCATAGCACACTGTATGGCGTATGCCCGTCTTCATTAGCCCAGTATAGGAGCAGAACAGTAGGACGTTAAAACCCCATTTCATTTAATTTATACTTGTCTACGATATCACCTTGGTGAAAGCGGATGTAAAATACAATTAACTCACATATTTTCATTATCATTTGCTTGAAAACGTTGAGAGAACCCTCAACAAAACGTTGCTTTAATTAAAATAGTAATTGTTTTCCATATTATATTTTTGTGTTTATATAATTGTATAGGAATGTATTATGATGTTATTTTAGGGACGGGGGGTTGGGTGGCTGAATGGTTAGCATGTGTGTGCTATATCATAAGGTCTCATCATTGAGTCAACTGGCATGGTTTCGAATCCCCGATTGTATGTGACGAGTAGGGTCGCCTGTCCAACCTTGTGGGTTTTCTCTGGGTCTTCCGGTTTCCTCCAACTGCTAAAGAACCCTACGCGCAAGCGAATGATTGAAATAATATTGAACCATGTGTTAGTACCAAAATGACCTAGTTTGTGTCGACTGGATGTTAAACCCCAATTCTCTCTCTCTATTTCAGGGACGTATACCAGAAGCAGATCTGATGTTTTATTTGACTCACGCAGAGATTGGAACCTTATTAAAAACCAGATCAGCTAGATTAATTATGAGGTAACTGACATGTTTTGATATACCGTATTTTTCGGTGTATAAGGCGCATGCGTAGATAAGGTGCAGGGCGACTTTGGCAGAGGTGTTTCAGGAAAAAAAAATATGCGTGGCTTAGGCGCACCCTTTCCCAGCGCGTGTGAAACTCGTGCCATAGCATATGTGACTCAAATCCACCTGCGATCTTCAGTAACTAGGTCAAACTCTATTGTTTTCAGTTATAATAATTACCGATATTTAGCCGTATCAAGCTTTATATAATTATATTTCTTTATGAAATAAATTGCTTTTGTTACATTTGTTTATATTAATTATAACACGCAATTGCATTATTGCATAACTTTCAGCTGTAATTCTGTTGCTCGTACGGTAGTGAAATTGTCATTCAAGTCCCGCCCACAACAAACATGGCCGTCTATTACATCGTGTTATATATAATATATCATGATCAGCTACTCACAACTTAAATCCTGACTACCGGTAAAAGAGAAACAACAATTCCAGTTTACTCCAAGTTATGCAAACAACTGACAAACGATAGCGTCTGTTGCCCCGCCCACTCCACGCGTCATGACAATACCCAGATTGTAGCCATTTAGATCTATCAGTAAAATAATACAATAGCATTTTTAATACCAATCAAAGAAACAATGATTTTGTCAACTACAAACGACTTCATAAAGAAAACGATAACAACTCACTGGTAGATAATTAACTCTACCGGTAAATTATAACAATGGGCCAATCACTGAATCCATGTTGAATGAAAACCGTCGGTAACTTAAAACGGTTACTAAAAGACAGTCTTGCTCAAAGAAAACACCCCGATGTATATAAAACACCAGTGAACATTCCATCATTCTTAAAAATTATTTATTCAGAATGGCTACGAGACGAACCGCTTATACCGCTAAGGAGAAGTTGAGGGTAATTAGTTACACTGAAGCACACGGTAATAGGGCCGCTGGTCGTGAATTTAGTTTGGGGGAGTCAAACGTGAGACGTTGGAGGGCGATGAAGGGGAAACTTACCGACATGAAACCTAGTAAAGAAGCGAATAGGTGGAGCGCCGCACGTTATCCTCAAATTGAGAGAGAATTGGTAGACTATGTGAATGAGAGGCGTCAAGAAGGTTTGCCCGTTTCGACAACAGAAGTCAGACTAAAGGCACTATTGTTGGCAAAGGGCAAAGCCGAATATGCAAGTTTCAAGGCAACATCAAGTTAAGTGTACAGATTTCTGGACCGACACGACCTATCAATTCGTAGAACACATATATCACAGAAACTACCACAAGATTTTGACGACAAACTAACCAGTTTTCAAAAATTCATCATTAATCTAAGATCCAAGCATGATTACACCCTGGATCAGATAGGAAATGCAGACCAGACCCCACTGACATTTGATTTACCAAGTAACACAACAATCCACAAAACAGGAGAGAAGACAGTCAACATTAAAACAACCGGCAACGAAAAGAACAGATTCACAGTGATGTTGGCCTGTACAGCAGATGGCGGAAAATTACCACCTTATGTCATATTTAAAAGAAAGACCCTACCTAAAGGCATGATATTTCCAAAGGGCATTATAGTAAAGACACAGGAAAAGGGTTGGATGGACAATAATTTAACAGCTGATTGGCTTGAAAATGTATGGGGGAAGAGACCTGGAGCTTTGAGAAAAAAGAAGGGCCTTCTTGTATTGGATGCCTTTAGATGTCATCGATCTGATTCGGTGAAGACAGACCTCAAGAGGAAGTACTCTACCGACTTAGTCATCATTCCTGGGGGTATGACCAGTATGCTTCAACCATTAGATGTATCAATAAATAAACCAATGAAAATAAAACTTAGACAGATGTGGTCCGACTGGATGGCAGGCGATGAACATTCGTATACGAAAGGGGGCGCCAGACGAAAACCCGAATTAAACGTTATATGCACTTGGATACTAGAGGCGTGGAAGTCGATCAATCCAGAAATCATTATTAAATCCTTTAAGAAATGCTGCATATCAAATGCTATGGATGGGACAGAAGATGACATGTTATGGGATGAAATGGTAGAAAAGGAGCCAGCAAATAAAAGAAGAAAGGTGGTGGAAGAAGATGACGACGACAATACTCAAGATGACATCGACGCTGTCATTGTAACAGACAATACCCATAGCCTATGGTATAATGAGCGTGTGCTCAATGGAAATTACCCTTCTAATAGCCAATGAAAACTCTTTGTCTGTCGTAAGCCCCGCCTTTTCGTCAACTTGACTGATATCACCGTTGACGACACACTGTTTGGATTGCCGACAGTGGCTAACTGTACCGGTAAACGGATTAGCAGAAATATATGTCATCAAATACGCAGGAATAATAGAAATATTAACGAGAATTTTGCAGATATTGTTAGCACTGTCGTTTATGACTAACGGTATACGGAAAAGCCGGAATAATAGAAATATGACTAACGGTATACGGAAAAGCCGATACCGTATCTTAAATGGCCGCCATATTTATTGCTCGAAAAATGACGACATCGGAATGTCGGAATAGCAGAAAAATATGTCATCTAATTATTTACGATATCTTTGCAGATATTTTAATAACACTAAACCGCTATTGACCCATATTATTGCCACTGTCGTCTATGACTAACGGTATACGGGATATCGGTATGGGAAATGGCCGCCATCTTTATTGCTGTTGTCGATATGATCAACTTCAGACCTCGATGTTGACACACAGAAAAGCCAAGATTTGCTAAATACTATGTATTAGGCGCACCCCTTCTAGAAAATAAAATACCTGGTAAAAAAGTGCGCCTTATACACCGAAAAATACGGTACTGGAAAACAAGATATTAATGTGTCATGAAATGAATATGACCAAAATTTAAATTTATGTGACCTTCTCTTTTCTAAAATGATAGTTAGAATTTGTTTTTTGTAAATCAAAGAAAAGAGTAAGTAAGTAAGATTTGGCTGTTGTTCTAGATAATCAAAAGGGTTAATTCTGTTTAGAAGTACTGATAATCATTTTACAGAGCTAGCAGACGAAGGAAAATCCACCAGAAACAGATGCTATATAAATTTAAAAAAGTAGTTTCCGGTCATCCACAATTAGTAAGTATTAATACCAGTTCATATATTTACCTGTGACTAATTATACCAGTAGGCCTACTTATAGTAACCAAAATTTAACAAACGTTATTTATACTTCATTTTAACATCCATACCATATGATTTAAAGTTTTGTGTTGTCGTGGGTTTTATCAACTAGGTTTGATAAAAATTATGCTTTTGGTGGATTTTGTATGGCCAACCCTTGTTGCCAATTGCAAACTATTGCTAACAAAAATATAATCCCCTAGTATTTTTCTGTAAGCTTGAAAAAGTAGATCACATAATTAAGCAATGGAAAATTTGGCTGATTCGAGTTCCTTTATAGTCTAGTCAAGTTAGTGCATTTACTACTTTAATATTTGTAAGATAATTAGCATCAGGCCCGTAGCTGCACAGTAAGTTCGGTTGGCAACACTGTTTACTGCTGAGTGCAACTGGCACAGAGATGCTATTTCCTGCACTTTGGGACTTTAGGGGGGCATGAATCGAAAATATATATAAAAACATGTAAAAATGGGTGATATCAATAGTTAATAGATGAAGATATTTTTTTGTAGGTTGAAGATGGAGTAGAGGTTTCTGTAAGTGCAGATTTTACATGGACAGGTAAATTATACCATTATTCTTACAATATTACCTTGTGTCATTTGTGCTAAGCACTCTACATATCTACAAGCACACTATACCATTTCACAGAAAAAGCAAAAATTCATTTTTTTTTAAAATAAAATTTTATTAAATGTACTGTACTATTAAAGGTAGGTAACAGCGTCTAAATATGTTTATGTATCATTATATACAACAGGATTGCCAGTAAGTCAGGGTACAGCCCATGGAACAGCCAGAGTTGTAACAACTCTACAAGATGCAGGCAATATTCAGGTTAGTGTTCACTGAAACTACCAAGTATGAATTTAAAGCCAACATTGTATCTTTGGAGATTTATGTTGATCTGTTTATTTCAATTAACTGGTATATGATTAGACATTTACACCAGAGTGTTCACATTTAGTTGAGGTATGGATGTTCTTAGCATTCTATTTACAAGGTGTACCAATTTTGGTTGGGTTGAAGAGGTTTAAAAGACATTTCACTCCATGTAGGCCCAGGCTCGTAGCTAGCCGAAAATTGTTGGGGGGGGGAGGGAAGGCTTCTACACTTGACGGTCCACGGTGAACGATACCGTGGACACACCTACTAAGGGTGCACTCCCACCCAGAAAATTTTGGAAAATAGAATTTGCACCTGAAAATGACGGACAATTTCAATTTTGAGGCCGAATTTGCGATATTGGCATATTATGATATTTTGATATGAAGATTATAAAAATTTGAAGGAAGGATTACACTTTAAGGTACATAATAATTTATGAGAAAAACAAAAAGTTCGCAATCGTGTTAGAGTGCAACTTGTTTGAATTTTGAAGATTATCACACCTAACCAACCTCACGCGATATTATGGGCGCCAATCTCATTGTGGACGTCCAACCAATGTCACTCGGCTTTTATGTGGCAGTACTGATATGGGCACGTTGGTCGTTGCATCGTATTGCGTCCAATGGAAAGGGCATCTTTGGCTCCCATTGGGGGAGCCGATTTTTTCCCCAATGGGCAAAGGGCCCCCCACCGTCCATCGGGGGCACCAAATTTTTCCAGATGCCTAAGAGATTACATGCCAGCAAAAGCAGGGTATTGAAATAGAATTGAACCATATGTTAGTCCCAAAATGAGCTAGTTTGTGTGTGTGTCTCTCTCTATATGGACAAATATAGCAAATAATATAGTTGTATAATATTTCAAGGTCTTTATTTATGCACTCAAGGAAATTCTAATTAGGTTTTGTATATTTTCATATTGTAATCTAAAATATATCACAAATGAAATGAAATGTTTGGAAGGATTCTGATGAGTGATCATGATTATAATCTGAAGATTAATTTATTTTTATAAACAATATTTTATCCTGATATCTGAATAGACTTAATGAATAACCTTAGCCTATGTAAACCATCACAAATTTAAAACAAAAAGGTGATGGCGTGAGGTTAGCTAATTGTATTTTTTATGTCAGTCTGGTGATATACTAGTGGTAACATGTACAGATGTAGGCTGGTCACCATATTTTCCTTTAATTAATGGTTTGGTAACAGAAGTTGGTGGACTTATTTCCCATGGTAAGTACTGCACTTTTGAACTTCCAACTGAAAATGAATAGGTGCTTATCAATTTTGAAACACAATGTTTCTGATTGAGATAGAATCTTCAAACTTGCATAGATATTCATTAAGTAAATGTCTTGAATGATTTCCTTGATGAACATTTTCTGTTTAGGTGATGCAGGGATAAGTAATTTGGTTTGCCAATGACTTGGAACATGATAATTAGGGTTTCACACTGCGTAGCTTATTATTTTTTTATTATTATTTTTTTTTTTTTCCACTTGAGCATATCTCAGAAACTACTTGTCGGATCAATTCGATGTCTTCGGTTTTACTGGGAAAGTGGGTGTGACTTAGAGATTAAAGCTATTTCGAACATTCTGCGACTATGCGAAATGTCTGAAACGCCAAAGTTGTCGTTTTTTGAAATATTGCAGTAATATTAACAATAATCGTCGGATTTTAACATTGGATACATTTTGACATAGCCTGAGACAGGGCACATAGCTACAGTAGTTTAGATTTTTGATTTTCGACGAATATTCGGAGATATTAGGTGCCAAATTTTGACAAAAAACTTTTTTTATTAATGAATAATTTTTTACGGCATTTTACCCAGGGTTAAGGGGTCGTCTTATCTCGATAATTTTTTTTTGCCCCTATTGGCTAATTCAGTTTATCGGTTGTAGGTTAATTATTTATTGCCCAATTTTTATAAAACAAAGTCCATATGCTCCATGGTGCAAATTCTCAATTTTTTTATTACCGGTAAAGTTTTCTATCGGTACTGGATGTGGCGCAATTTTGCTAAAAACTCCAATTTTGTCGAGTCAGAACGTCTTTTCACTAGCAAATGTTAATTTTTGCAAATCTGATAGATCAAGATAAATGCCCCTACAAAAGGCGCACAAAATGTCGGACTCACTTTTTTTAATTTTGGTTTTGTATTTGCGCCATTTCGATTTAAAGGTGAAAAAAGGTGTAAAAATGATCTATTTACAACCCATTCAGGCTTTTCATATTTCAAAATATTTCTTCGCAACTATCATAAACTTGTAGCATTAATCCATACGAAGAGAATCTATGTCAAAATTAGTTTGTAATATGAGTATTTGCCGAGAAATGGTCAATTTTGCATGAGTCACTTTTTACGCTATTTTGCCTGTAAAAGAGCCAATTATTATTGGATTTTCATAAAAATAACACCATTTGATGCGTAATGTCAATTTTGACTAGTTCAAACCAATTTAACATTTTCAATGTCGCCGGAAATGGCGCCATTTGGGCAAAAATGTATTTATAGCCTTCAAAACAGATATTTTATTCAAACGAGTCTGGTTTGTAATGTTTTCAAAATTATGATATTTGATTCCAATCAACTAATAGAATAAACCCATACGATCATATAGATATCTAACTTGTTCAGTTGCGGAGAAATAGGCGATTTTCAGCAGGTCACTTTTCAAAGTTTTTGGTCCATAAAAGTGGCAATTATTATTCGATTTTCATAAAAAATTTCACTGTGTGATACCTAACGCCATTTAGGATTTCATACAAGTAATTTAGTATTTTCATTATCACCGGAAGTACCGTCAGTTTGTCAAAAACTGTATTTTTAGCCTCTAAAACAAGTAATTGTTTGAAGTAAGTGATATTCATTATTTGTGTAAAATTATGATATTTGATTCCTATGGACAAATAGTATCAATCAATACGATCATATTGATATCACAAAATATTTTCTAACACCTTCCCTTGCCGAGAAATAACCAATTTTGTCAGGATCACTTTTTAAAATTTTTCACATTTTAATTTCAGTGTATGGGTTCTGGGTTAATTATTTATTGCCTTATTTGTGTAAAAGAAAAGCCCACCTGGTGCAAATTCTCAACTTACTTCTACATATAAAAGTTTCTGACGGCACCGAGGTGACGTAATTTTGCCCAAAACTTCAATTTTGACGTGTCGAAAGGTCTTTTAAAAAGCAAATATTAATGTTTACAAATCTAATAGATCAAGATGAATGCTCATACTAAAGACGCAAAATATGTCTTGCTTTGTTTTGTTTTTTTTATTTCGGTTTTGCATTTGCATCATTTTGATTTAAAGCTGAAAAAAGGTGTAAAAATGAGCTATTTACAATGCATTCAGATTTTTCATTTTTTACAATATTTCTTGACAACTTTCACGAACCTGTAGCATTAATCCATACGATGACAATTTATGTCAAAATTAGTTTGTAATATTAGCAGTTGCCGAGAAATAGGCAATTTTGCATGGGTCACTTTTCACATTATTTTGCCTGTAAAAGAGTTAATTATAATCCGATTTTCTTTTTTTTTTCACCATATGATTTTTGACTGGGCGGATCCAATTTTACATTTTCAGTGTCACCTGAAATGGCGTCATATGGGCAAAAACTGTATTTATAGCCTTCAAAACAGATATTTTTTTCAGAGGGGTCGATTTGTAATGTTTTTAAATTTATGATCATTGATTGCAATCAACAAATAGAATGAATCAATACGATCATACATATACCACAAAATGGTTCCTAACTTTTACGGTTGCAGAGAAATAGGTTTTTGGTCTATAAAAGTGTCAATTATTATTTGATTTTCATAAAATTTTCACCATTTGATGCCTGATGCCATTTATGATTTCATGGAACTAATTTAACATTTTCATTATCACCGGAAGTAATGTCGTTTTGGCAAAAACTTTATTTTTAGCCTTCAAAACAAATATTTTTTTAAGTGAGTTATATTTATTATTCGTTTAACATTATGACATTTGATTCCAATGGAGATATAGATTGGATCAATACGATCATATAGATGTCCAAAAATTGCTTCTACCATCTTTCTTTGTCGAGAAATAACCAATTTTGCCAGGATCACTTTTTAAGACTTTTTTTTCACATTTTAAGTTCCCATTAGATAGTCAGTTAACTTAGTGGTAAGTTAGTAATAAATTTTGTCAGGATCACATTTTTGACATATCTAACGCATGGTAACAAATGTATAAATGGAATTGATATTGCTGGATTTGGTTGATACTACGTCCATTTCATAACACGTGTGCAATGCTAACGTTGAAATCTGTTTAACGGTTCCATTGGTACTGAATGTGACATAAGTTCAAGGGTAACGAGGCACCGGAAGTGACATAAGTTCAAGGGTAATGTGGCACCAGTGAAACCCGTCATTACTGCGTCGCAGTTCTAGTTCTGATTCTAATAGAATGATAGTGATGTAACGTGGTCTATAGTTTCTTTAAATCACTAACTTGAATAAATTTTATAATGAGCATTATCTGATCAGGATAAGCAGAGAGAAGCAATTTGATTGGTCAAGACTTTAGAACATAATACCTTGACTGTTCGCTGATGAGCAATTTCTGGATAGACTAAGCTGGGCAGAGATAAGCAATTTGATTCGTGAAGACATTGGAACACAATAACTGGCTCTAATTCAGGCAATATCCCTTGACTAAGTTTGATGAGAATTTTCTGCTTAGGCTATATACCAATGACTTGATAGATCACGATTTAGGAACACAATAACTCTGCTTTTAATTGAAGTACAATGTTCAAAATTGGGTGAGGTGCTCATTAGGTTAATTTCTTGTCTAAGAAGCAATTTGTTTGTTGATGTTTTGTTGGGGCACAATAACTTTGATTCTAATTAAGGGATAATGATGATATTTTGTATATAGTTTCACTACTTCAAATTTGTACTTAGTTGGGTTCTATCCCTGTGTTGGCCGAGAGGTACCTGTTCCATCATGGTTCCTCCTTTTCAGTGATGCAGCATGGAGGGCCTGGCAAGGAACATTGTCTAGTCATTTGGATGGGACCAAAAAAATTAGATCATGTGTATATTTTGGCATGCATGTAAAGAACACTTGGCAGTTGAAATTCGAAATTAGTATAAACTAATTAGTGCCGCTCTCTGGGCACACTTTGCCTCATAGCCAAATGCAATGCCATGTGCCAGTTGGACGAGAACAATAAGACATTAAACCCCATTTCATTTCATTCATAATAGGTGCTGTTGTAGCTAGAGAATATGGTATACCATGTGTAGTTAATATATGTAATGCTACAATACAAATCAAATCAGGTAAGGCGACTCTATCCTACTCTATGTAAATTAATATCTCTATTAAATTGTGATTTAAAAATCTATTCACGAAACATTTTTTGCTTGTTTTTATTAATTAAATAGTTTGGTGTATAAAGGAGTTATAAGAGAATGTATAATTTTGTATTTATTACAGGAGATCAGCTATATATTGATGGTAAAGCTGGTATTGTTGTAAGATCGTGCCAGTGAGGACTGTCAGACATAACAGTTTTTAACTCCTTTTGTATTGTACAATATTTTGGAAAGTCAGAACGAACCTGGGATCATCATGTGTATTATGACATACCTTTTATTTTTTTTATTAAAGTGGTATTTTTATACTCCCACATTGAAGTGTGGATGTGACCATTGTATACTGCAGTAGCCTTGTAAAGTAACTGCGGGAAGACTGCACAACACAAGATAAACACTCAGACAATATATAAAGACAATTCAAACAACGAATCAAGTAAATGATATGTTGGGTCTTTCAGAATATGTATCATTTGTTCTGTTTATGTTTTGTTGTTAAGTTCTCCTGTATTTTGAATTATTTCCTACAGTTACCCCCCTTCATAAATGACTGTTTATCTTGAACAATTAATTACAGGTTTACTGCCCTTGATTAGTAAAAGCTTGTCAAGATCGTAAGGGTCCAAATTATGATACATTCTCACCAGTGATAAGACTCAAAAGCTCCTGCCCTAGAGCCAATTAAAAGATTAGCTACCTACCCCTAGACTCATTAAATCAGCCGGGCCCATCTCCCTAAGCCAATTAGTGGATTATTGTTAATCCTAATACCCTCTACAAAATTGAAAATAACTAAACAAATATTTTCTATACAAAGAAATACTCTGTTACAAAAATGTACAGATTGTGGTGTTCTTTCCAATGATATAAAATTCAATTGTACAAAGTGGCAACTATATATAAGGCCTACTATAAATAATATTGAAAAGTCATAGTTCCACTAAAATTATGACTTTTCTGTCATAATGGTAAAATAATGTGAACAAGTAGGCCTATTCCCTAAGATTTTTTTTTTTTAAATAGAGCGCAAATATAGTCCCTCACGTTGGCAGCAGTGTTCAAAGTAAATATAACTTTTAAAAAGAAATATCGCTCCAAATGACCGTAACTTCAGCTGCTGGCAGTTGGCATTTCTGCCTTTTTGTTTGGATATGGCTGGAATTGTCGTTTTCTTTGCTTCATTGCGTCGAAATTAAAAATATATACTTGAAATCTTCGACTGTATAATAATCCTATATGTAGTATATATCAAATCCTAAAAGTTTTGATTCTATTTAGCTTTCCGAAGTCTAGAATTATTATCCGTAAGTTTTGTGGTATCGACTGTCTGGAAGCCTATTCAAGATGGCGGCCGACACGCTTGATCTTGGCTGGATTATACGTATTCTTTGCACCATAACGTCACCATAGGTCTCGAGTTGGTATTCGAATCGGTTCTCGTAAACGCGATGAGTTGCCTCGCAAGATGGCTGAAGACTGAAGAATTGAGGAAATATGTTAAAAAAATTCACTTTTCTTTATTATGTTCTTGGCGACACCGCCCAAAAATAAAAAAGAAAAGTTGTACCAGTTGACTGTCCCCAAATGCCCCGTATTTTTATTAGGAATGTCCATAATATTCATATTTTAACGTGAATTTCAAAAGAAAATGATCTAGCAACGGGCACGTCATATCCCTTGTTGGGGACGCCATCTTGGAAATCGAATCGTCAATCCAGCAGGCGAGCAAGTTGCATAATCGATTTGGCAAATCGTCGTGGTAAATACGACAATTAGGTGAAACCGATTAGGCTAATTTTTGCCGTAAATGTGTTTTGGAAAGGAAATGCAAATCGTTGACACGGTGTGAATTTTCACCTCTGACGTAAATACCAGAAGCAGAAGATCCTTTTTTGAAACGTATGTTTTTTATTCGATAATTGGTGTTTTATTTTTATTACTCAATCACCATTAATTTAAGAAATAAAAACAATAGAAATCAGTTGATTGATCTGGAGCTTTTGTTCGCTTATGCCTTTGTCAAGTATGATGGGTTGTATGTGAAATCTTTAAACAATGGTGTTGTGAACTTTATAGACAAATTAAAAAGTTGCTTAAAACACAGAAATTGAAATTTTCATTTCTGATTTAAAGTCAGACATATTCAGTGTTGTGAGATAATGTAATTATCATTTTCTCTAAGTTGTTTATTTTGTCCACTTTCCTACAGACGGTTAAAGGCTGGATAAAGGCTGTTGAGCGTTGGCATCCAGGTGCAGATCCAGGGGGGGGGGGGGGCCCAGGGGGCCGTGGCATCCCCCCCCCCTCATCCCCAGTGAGACTGGTCGTCACTGTTCAGACCAGCACCTGCAGCCAGCAATGGGATTCCCAGATTTTAGTTTCTGTTTAATGAGGCCGCGACAAAGACTCTGGGGACTACACCAAACCACTAATGCATGCGGCACTCTGATGATTACCCTTTGCTCAATGTATGGCCCCCCGCTCGACAAAATCCTGGATCCGGGCCTGGCATCTTATTTATGAATTTGTTGTTAACACCTGGAGAATGCTGTGCAGATGCCTTTAAATTTTTTTTTTTTTTACCTTCTCTAAGAATATTATACCGTTTTATTGTATCTTTTGATTTATCTATGTCTTGTGCACGTCTGCATTGTTTAATTTTATAGATTTTACATTGGTTCTATTTATCAATGACTTTTATGTATTTTTGTACTTATACATTTTAAACTGATGTTGATATGTAAACATACAATTAATAAACCAACATTTCTTATATTTATTGTCATTTCTTCTGGTATAGTATATGATATCATAAGATTGGATTCAATATTACTTGTGAAATGAAATGGGGTTTAACGTCCTACTGTTTTGCTCCCAACTGGGCAAATGAAGACAGGCATACGCCATACAGTGTGCTATGAGGGAAATTTTGCCCGGATAGCGGCACTACGGCCTACTCTTATATCGAATTCCAACTGCCAAGTGATCTTTCACGTGCACGCCAATGTGTACAAGGGACCTCGGTTTTTCGTCCCATCCGAACGACTAGACAGCCCCTCCGTCCTGTATCACTGACAAGGGAGAACCACGCCAGAAAATCTGGATGAACTTTCTCGGCCAATGCAGGGATCGAATAACCGACCTCCAGGCTAGCAAGCCAACATCTACCCACTTAGAACATTACTTGTACTTTAATCTGTATATATTATATAGTCTATTATTGTAACCGGGGGGTGTAAATTCTCAATAAAAACTAAGGTGGTTAGTTTTTAAACCTTTATTAAAAACCCTGAAATATATATACGTTAAAATTAATATACATATCACAGTAACAGTTGAGTACAATAAAATAATAGTAAGGCATGCATATTGGTACTCAATGAAATATATCAATAATTTATACACTAAAATACATCACTAATTAAATTAAACATATTAAACAGGCCTTAAGTTTATACTAAATATAATATAAGTAATTGATAACATACCCAAAGAAGGGGTTTTTAAATAAGACTATCAAGATGGTGAACAAAATCTTCAGATAACTATATTCTGGAAAATAACATTATTCTGATTATACATACAATATACTTTCAAAACGGTACCTTATAATCTACTATATATATGTATATATGAAAAACTAATGATCTTTACATGTTATTTTCTATCTATTTAAATAAAATGGTTGCTTAATATTACAATTTCTATCATTCCTACATCCGCTCCATCTAAACCCCAATTACCCAAAATAAGAGAATTAGCACACATACCTGTAATACTGAAGTAGTATAACTGGAACAATTCTCTGAAAATAACCTAACTAGATTTGGAAAATAAAGTAAAACAATTTCATTGAAGATATCAAATTGTCCTTACACTTCGAAATCTATCTAATGTCTGATGTCTAAAGTGAGGTTCAGATAAAAAGAAAACTTGCTTGTAACCAAGGGAGTTGAATTGTACTCACCCCAAGATTTGGGCTCTAAGAAAACAGTACAGGTTAACAAGCCAAGCTAAAGGAGAGATGTTATTATAGACCAGTTGCAATTAAAATTAGTGTCAGTTTGTTAGTTTAAAGGTGCACTCACTCAATACACTATATTACTTGACATAATAAAACCTATAAACATATTAAAATTCCGCTTTGCTACATTATTATGTATGTTTTATGCACTTTATACAATTAAGCTATTATGTCAGTAGCCTTTTTTTTTTCACACCCTTTAAAACAGTGAATTTGGCAATTTTATGTTAAAGTATCAATATCAATGTGGAGATATCAATATCTTCGAGCCGCCAGTGCTATTTTGGAAGTTATAGTGTGTGCAGTGAACATACCCTAACCCTATTTACCCATATTTTTGCTATGTTTACAGTAATATTCTTGACAATGCAACATAGGGAGGCTTCTGAGAAACTTTGCAGGCTAGTGAGTTTAATTATCCCAAAATTCTATGAAATAAATAAAATTTTGACACCCAAGCTGGTTTGGGTGCTTTTTATACGCCCACATGGAAATGTGGTCGTATATTGCCGTCGCCCCCGTCCGTCATCCACAATTTCTTGTGAACACTCTACAGACTACATTTATCATCTGATTGTTTCGAAATTGATATATGTTGTTTGCATTAGTGAGATGAAGAAGCCTATTTAATTTCAATAACTTACGTTAATTTCGTCTGGAGTTATGGCCCTTGTTTCACTTTGTTGCACCTTGTGAACGCTCTAACGACAATAGTTATCAACCGATCTGTAAGAAATTTATATGCATCATTTAAATTAGTAAAACAAAGAAGCCTATTGAATTTCAGCAATTTCTGTTAATTACATCTAGAGTTATGGCCCTTGTTTCACTTTGTTGAATCTTGTGAACACTCTAATGACAACAGTTATCATCTGATCTGTTTGAAATTGATACACATCATTTAAATTAGTGAAACAAAGAATCCTATTGAATTTCAGCAATTTCCTTTAATTACGCCGTGAGTTATGGCCCTTGTTTCACTTTGTTGTACCTTGTTTATGCTCTTACGACAAAAGTTATTATCCGATCTGTATGAAATTTATATGCATCATTTAGATTAGTAAAACAAAGAAGCTTATTGAATTTCAGCAATTTCCGTAATTACATCTAGACTTATGGCCCTTGTTTCACTTTGTTGAATCTTTTGAACGCTCTAATGACAACAGTTATCATCCGATCTGTTTGAAATTGATATGCATCATTTAAATTAGTGCAAGGAAGATGCCTATTGAATTTCAACAATTTCCGTAATTACACCATGAGTAATGACCCTTTTTTCACTTTGTTGTACCTTGTGAATGCTTTAACGACAAAAGTTATTATCCGATCTGTATGAAATTTATAGGTATTGTTTAAATTAGTAAATCGAACAAACCTATTGAGTTTCAGCAAATTTCCGTTAATTACATCTAGAGTTATGGCCCTTGTTTCACATTGTTGAATCTTGTGAATGCTTGAACGACAAAAGTTATCACCCAATCTGTATGAAATTCAGAGTTTCAGCAAATTTCCGTTAATTACATCTAGAGTTATGGCCCTTGTTTCACATTGTTGAATCTTGTGAATGCTTGAACGACAAAAGTTATCACCCAATCTGTATGAAATTCAGAGTTTCAGCAAATTTCCGTTAATTACATCTAGAGTTATGGCCCTTGTTTCACATTGTTGAATCTTGTGAATGCTTGAACGACAAAAGTTATCACCCAATCTGTATGAAATTCATATGCATCATTTAAATTAGTGAAATGAAGAAGTCTATTGAATGTCAGCAATTTCTTTCAATTACTTCTAGAGTTATGGCCCTTGTTTTACATTGTTGAACCTTGTGAACGTTCAAATGACAAAAGTTATCATCCGATCTGTATGAAATTGATATGTATTATTTGAATTAGTAAAACTAAAAAGTCTGTTGAATTTCAACAATTTCTGTAGATTACTTCCAGAGTTACAGCCCTTGTTTTAGTTTTTAGAACCTTGTGATCCCTCAAACGACGAAAATTATAATGTCATCTGTATGAAATTGTCTATTAAATGCCCCCTAATTACCTACAAAAGAACAAATATACGACAACTCTTGTCGACCGCTCGGACGATTTAGATGCTGTGGGCGTATGTTTAGTTGCCTGGCAACCTATCTTTGATGTAGCATGGATGTACCCTTTGTTTATATGAACCCACGAACTTTGCCTTGACTCTGGGTGCTAGGAACTTTACGGCTACATAGAAAGTTTATGGCTTTTGGCATGTTTATACCTTATGCATCTGTCAATTTGGGGATATAAACATCTGCAAGCCACTAAAGCTAGTTTAGAAGTTATTTTATGCGCAGTGAGCCTTCCCCATATTTTTGGCATGTTTTTGTCTTTTATTATGCATTAAATATATCTTATCGACTTGCCAAATCGATTTGTATTTAGTCGATTTCAAAGTACTTTGATGAGTTACTTATTTACTGCCTATTGGCAGTAAACAATTCTTGTGGCTGGCCAGTTGAAAAAAACCCATGTGATCACCTGATCAAATCGCACCTAGAGGTTAAACGTTTCGGAAATCGGTGTCGATAAATTCGTTGGTTAGGGTAACCAATTTGAATTAGACTTTAAAGATGAAAATTTGATTGAATGCAAACCACTTTGGCTTATCATTGGTCGATAAAAACGCTTGCTATTTTCTAATATAAAAGGTAACAATTATTATTGTGTCAATATAGGTTTTTATTGGCGCAAGGAATATGTTTGATAACTTGATTTCGAATCCGTGTGCTGGCATACGGGTGAGAGATTCCGTTCGGTAACATGTTATTGGGTGATAAAATATAATCATATGCTCTGTGAGTACCAGTTTAATAGATTCAACACAAGTGGGCACTGATCGTTTATCACCGCACTGTTGTTCATGGATTAAATTATCAGTAAATACCATCTAATTAAATACTAGGCCACCGGTACTCATAATTTTCTTTTAACAAAATTATGGAAAAGTGAAATTGACAAATAAATGCTCTCCTCAATATATCAATTAGTCATAATTTAAATTTCGGATATGTGTAGAATGTGCATATCTATAACATATCTTTCCTTACAATACCAGGGGCAGATATAGGAATTTTGATAAGGGTAGGATGGGGGTGCAAATGAGGATGTTGCTGAGCGATGCAAGTCCCAAAATTTTTTAACCTTTTGGCAGTTGGAATTCGACATGAGTAGGCTGTAGCGTCGCTGTCCTTCATAGCACACTGTATGGCATACACCCGTCTTCATTAGCCCAGTCTGTGCAGAACAGTAGGACGTTAAACCCCATTTCATTTCAGTATTGGGTCTTGGCAGATTCTTATTTGTTGAAAAAGTCACACAAATTAATTTTAAAGGAAAGAAAGGGAGGGGTGTAAAATAGTCGGTCGCAAAATAAATGCAGTCAGTCTCAAAATAAGTGCTCACTGAATTAATACAAACAATGCCAAAATAGAAGGAAAAATCCCAAAATTGCAAACGTTACCCAAAACTTTAGTATAAAATAATCTTGTCAACTTTTCATGTTTGAAAAAAAGTTGTTTACCCTTATTCTGCAGTCGGTCTCAAAATTATGCATCGGCGACTGATGAAATGAATTAATGAGGTGAACAAATAATGCCAGAATAGAAGGGAAAAACCTCAAATACTTAATATACGTGCACCTAAATTTCTTACGTCACATAGTCGATCTCAAAATAAGTGGTCAGACTAAATGAATTAATGGGGTAAACAATACCAAAATAGAGTATGTTGGTCTAAGAAATTGAGAGAGCATGTTACAAAGATTTTGATAACTTAAATTATATTATTGATTGTCATACCAATAACATTAGTCCAACAGTTGGTAAGAAGTTATCGGAAGCATAGTTTGTTTCAGAAATACGTAAAAAATCTTTAAATTATGAAAGTTAAGGTGATCTATTGAACTTAAGAATTTTTACTTATTGCATATTTAATCCCAATAGAAATTAAAAAGTATTTTACTCATGTTGTAAGTGTTTTCTGACCATCAGAATTCTGCAAAACCTTTCCCCAGATCCCACAGTCCAGTACATGGCATTTCAGAGACCAAGCATCCAGATCAGCTACTGGCCCCTAGAAAACTATCATCTGTGGTGCTCGGCCCCTGACTGCGTCACTCGTATTAGGGACATGTGCATCAGTCGGTTGCATTTTTGCTAAACACCCCCCAAACAAAATCTTTATGTACGCCCCTGAAGGGAATTTTTCACCAGGACAGTGGTTGGCTGTTCTTCATCGTATGCTGTCTGGCGATATTTTTACATGCAAACCAACCTGTACACCTAAAAGCAAAAGTCTGTAATAAGAATACTACATTGTAATTTTTATTTAACTTTTTCAATGAATGTACAAAACAATGTACATAATGCATGGCACAGAGCAAGGCTATATTATGTACAGCTGCTGAACTTAAATAAAAATACACAATTAAATATAGTTGAGTTTTACAATATCAAGTTAAACTTAGAACGAGGGCAGACTGTAGAGCGTTTACAAACCTTCAAAATCCATGTGCGACTTCTTATTTTGATAGGGTTCCTCCTTATGACTAGTTGAACAATGCCAGAAAGTTTTTAAAAAAAAAGAAAAAGAACTCCCTAACAACACTTGACTGTTTTTGAATATTTACAATGTTTCGCTGACAGGGGCAATAACTCTGCACATAGCTGATGTGCTTCTCAAAACACCAAGTTTGAAGGAAATCTCAACAACTATGACCTATAGAGCATTTTGTTGGCAGGGGCAACAATGGATGTGTCATTTTGGTTTTAAAACAATCCAACAGTGAGACTGATGTCTGCAGCTTCAATTCCAAAATAAATTGATGACACATAGGCTACTAATTAATTGCAGATTTATCATTTAGCATTGAGCAATCAAACTGTTTGTCTATACTTAACCTGAACTCGAAATGCTCTTGACCGAACTTAGTCAACGTTTTGATGTGGTGAAACTATACACAAAGTTTCATCAGTCTCCCACAGTTAGAATCAAGGATATCTTGTCCAAAGCATCTACCAATCAAATAGCTAATTTTGGTTTAGCCTTAGTGGAAATTGAAAATTATTGAACCAAGTCAAGACATTCACCAAGTTTAAAAATTTTAACTCAATTAAAAGTAGAGTTACTGTATTGTGTTCCAAAGTCTTGACCAATCAAATTGTTTATTACTAGTTAGCCTAAAGCAGCCAATATCACTATCAAACTTAGTCTAGGTATTGATGTATTCAAAATTTTAATTATTCCTTGCTGAACATTACAAAGTTTCAGTGACAGGAGCAACAACATAAAGAGTTAAAGTGCATTCCTAAATAGGATCCCTCTTTATGACCAACATAGACAGAAATATAATCCCACATAATATATGTGTGTATAATAATATAAAGTGAACAGGGGTGCTATTATGAGGCAAAATCATATGCCTATACAATATATGCTTATTTCACCCTACTGTTTTTATTTGTATCATTTGCAATATGCGCCCCCATTGAAATACTTGACTGGATAAATCCAAAGAACTTATATCTGAACAGTGTACGACCAATGATCCAGTCCATGAAATGTTTTTATTTTTAATAGATTTTCCCTATCTGTACCAGTAATGGACAAATAATGACATTCTGCCTTTAAATAAGAAGCTTTGCAGTTAATTACTTATCTATCCATGATATTCTATATACACATACATTGTATATCAGTCTGCCCTTGTTTAATATTAAATATAGACATCTATAATGTGCTTGTAAACAATAATTATTTGGAAAACATAGAACTAAAAATTGTTTAAAATTATCTGATAGATACATTAATATTTCATAATTATCAAAAGATTTGTCAAATGACATGTTTGAAGAATGTAGGATAATATATCTAAATGCAGATAAAAATATAGTTTTGAATTGTTCAATAAATTTTGAACATTGTTTTAAACAAACCTACATGAAGATGTTCAAGGCATTATCTTTCTATCTTTCTTGAATAAGATAAAATATTATGTACAATGAGGTATTTTAGCATCTTTCAATTTTAAGTTCTAAGGTCTCAGATTAAATGTAACATGCCTTAAAAAGCAGTTGTCTCTTTAAATTAAAGTTTTTAAAGTGTTCAAGCGAACTACAAATAAGGAATACATCTAAACTTTAATAAATTATTAATCATCTTAACTTTTATTAATTGAAAAATAAATTCACCAGCTGTTATATTTATATGGACTGTAAAGCCTCTAGATTTCAGTTATACAGCAGTGGATACACAATGTTACCTTGTAAAGTACAAGTTAGTGTACACAAATTTTTGTGAAATATATGCAAAATATGCCTGGCAATCTTTCTGGACCAGAAACTGGGCCCCAAACACTAATCATCTTCTTGACATGCTTGTTCCTTGTACATTATTGACTCTGATTTATACCTCACAATCTCTGAGATGGCTGTGATGACGTCATGCTCGGTTCCTGGTCCATAGTATGCTTGTACTTGTTCGTGAATTTTGTGATTAGTTAACACTACTTTCATAGACTAGTGTATTGACATATAAATGCAACTATTAGATTAGAGTATATCAATAAGCATGATCATTTACCAGTACATATATTAATTCAAAATTTGTAAATCCACAATGAATATGATTGGTTTAATGTAAAATCAAATGACAAATAGACCAACTTAAATCATGAGAAGATTTCAGATCAAAAGTTAAAAACTTTAAAATCAAAGATTCTTTATTAATTTTTTAAAGCCAGAAAATGTCAAAAAAATGATTGCTCCTATAATTAAAACAATATCAATTTTTTTTTTCTGAATTAGATATAAATGAGTACCGGTAATGTATTTGTATTAGGATTATCCAATTGTCTATCACAATGAAGATTAAAGTCTTTCTTTGATTAATAATATAAGAGATCTTAGTTATAATAGAAACTTGATAATAATGATCACCTTTATATGGCAGATTATGCAGTATGGGATTAAACCTTAAGAAATTCAAACATATATTTATGAAATTTACAAGAACTGTCTAGAACAACCAACCATTGTTGTTGCAAAAAATAAAGCCGGCTGCCAGTGTGATTATTTAGCTGTGTTTTGTTCTAGATATAACACATGTCTATAAGATAAAGCATATAGCTACATTATAACACATCAAAAAATTGATTACATGAAATTGTTGTGAAATTTATCCCAATGATTAAAATACAGATGTATATTTCGTTTCGTTTTTTTATACAAGCAGCTTTTGACCCTATGATGTCAGACATTTGATTAACCAATCAGCGTTGATGTTTCTAGTGGGATACCCACAGTTCCGTGCACCACACACCAAGAACTCACCGTAACAGACCGTTTCATTGTCAATGCCTAAGATCAACCAGAATGCGGTTTATATAACAACTCTTCCAGATCCAAGGGTAGTAAAGACAAGTAAATCAAAACGAAATAGGATCTGTGTTTTAATTAGATTGAAATTATCCAAGACTGTATTAACTTTAAGACTAGTTCTTTAAGACCTTGCTCTCCATTTTTGTTACACAAAGATCCCCTTCTTCATACAATCAAGAACACTTTATATTTCTGTCAGTGTCTTAAAAATATTAACGACCAAGATGTTTTACTCGTTTCAAATACATAAGGCCGACACAGATGACTTTGTTATAATTCATATACTTCTGACTAAAGGAATACAAACTGTAACCAGGAATATGATTTGTAAACTATTACGAGTTAATAGGATCAAATGTCGGATATTACAACTGCACCTGGTTCTCATTAGAAGACAGTATTTTGCGAGATTAAAGTTGTCATGATCTATCTAAAACATTAATTAATGCTGCATTATAGTACCAAATATTTTCCAAGCACAATATCTTTTATGTTTTAAGGTAGAAAAGTCTGCATGATGTCAAAGAAAATAGGAATTAACGTAATGGCACGTTCTCAGTGTTCGGGTGTCAACCTTGACATGTTTGTTACATCTTCCACAGAAGGATATGGTATACCCCATGTCTGCACGACAAAATCGTGATTTTTTACATTCCCATTCTGTCAAATACAATGTTATCTGTTTGAGAGAAATGATCTTTGGTGTGTTTACGCGACCATGAAAATATTATTCTATGTTATCGTCAAGGGTCTGGTGTTTGTACATTGAGAATTTATAGATTAAATAGTATCAAATGAGATTTACAATCATCCATTAATAAAAGAGGTGTGTTTTCAATATATATAAGCTCTATACAAAAATGTATTTCCTTTCACCCACTCTTTTTTAAATTTAGAATATTAGATTAAAGTAGACTGTTAGTCTGACTTTTTCCTTAGGTTTTTAAAAAGATTTCCTCAAAAGCAAAGAAAAGGTATTACAATGTAGTTAATTAACAATTTTTTTTATCAGTAAACATACATTAAGTGTAAATATTATAACAAAACATGACTTAACAAACTAAAATCTACAACAAATTGGACAGAATATTTACAAAATATAGGTATAAATCCTTTCATAACAAATTTATTGCAGGATATACGCATGTACATGTATTTACAAAGTTGCTGGCGTAATCTCAATTTATAATTATATGCCTGTAACGTTACATGCATCTGAATACAGAAATGGCAACACACTTGTATAAATCTTTTCTTAACAGGGGGCATCAATACTTTAGAGATCTTCAGTAGAAAAATAAGTTGAGATTTGAAAGGATTTGACTGTACTGTTACATCAGTGGTGTAAGTGTTGTGTTCAAATTGGATTGTATGAGACCAATAGCCTATTGTAGTTTTAAAGGAGCTTATAGAACACTCGTGCAAAATGCTTGGCCCCAAGTAGAGCACTGTCTGGATTTTCTGTAGTAAAGAATGTCTAATGTAATGTTTAAAAATACATTCCCGCGTACAAACTGGGCGATTTGATGATATATTTGGACTAACAACATATTCAAACTAAGTAATTTATCATAATTTTGCTTCAAATCCTTCTCAAAACATTGTAATTGCCAAGGAATACCCTGCTATAAAAATCGACCAAAAAAGGTCATGTTTGTGTCACGTGACTTACCACCCTCAGTACCTATAGCAACCCTTGCGAGGTCAGAAGAGAATTCATTGCATACACAAGACGATGTTGTCTTTAATCGCTGACTATTTATTACAAATATTGAATCCTAATTAAATTCTCGGATTATCCACTGCCCGCGTCTTTTTCCGTGATTTTTATCTTAGAAAGTGTTGTGCGTCTAACTCTTCATCAAGTTTATCAACATGTACACCAAGCGCTCAATCTTCGTGTGCAACCTTCGACGTCATGCGTGCAGCCATTCCTAATCGTCGGGCTGTCGATTAGGGGAACTCTTACATTTTTGTCCTGTATACGCTCCATGAGTGTTTTTTTTTTTTAGGGAACCAGTATTTTTCTAGTATGATGGGAACCTATCTTTAATATGTTTACTGGTATATATAAACTTTATTATCTATTTTCTTGTTAGAAGTGCTAATGCCTCTTTTAATAAACGCCTAATAAAATATTTATCTCATAAAAAATATACAGGTATATTAATTTGATTTAACCTTTTCAAAATAGTAATATCATCTTCATAATTAAATATGATAAATTAAAATTGTATGGATTAACCAAAACATTATGAAATTCCAAAATGTAAAGAGAATTTACAAACCAAAAAATTATCAAGATATAATAATAATAACATTAATTTAAGTTTCATGTTCACAATTTTAGATTATTGTTAACAATCCCCAAATTGAACTGATTTCTGTATTCAGATACTGAGCATGATTGTTTTGAAAATATAAATCAATAATATGTATACACATTAAAACATCTAATATAGATACATGTAATAATAAATAAAGGTTTACTGCAAACCTTTATACATTATATATATATATCACTGCAGTAATTCCTACAAAAAGCAGATTGGGTCGACTTGTTCACCCTGTATTAAAGGTCATCATGAATAAATAAACAGTGTGCAGGAACATCAGCATATTTTTTTCTTTTCCCCATCTTCAAAACAAAATTTTGGTATTCAATAAATTAAGATTAGGACTATTGTAATATCTAGTATGTGGATTTGGTATATTCTTATCTGGTTAATATGTATAAACCATGAGTTTATCTTTTATTTCTTTAGAATGATTCTGGCAATATTTTACCCTGTTTTTTATTCATCTCTTGGGAAATATATCCATGATTCAGATAATGACCTACAAGGTGTAATAAACAAGACAATGATACAAGCACTTCAAGTGTTCCTTTTTTTTTTTTCATTTTTCACGGATGAACTCGGACGCTCAAAAGTTGTTTCTTTACAAAATTGTTGGTACATTACAAAATCACATTTACTAAAAGCACCAATCAGAGTATGGAACACTTCCAGAAAGATTTCTTGGGAGCATTGTCTTTCTTCAATTGGTATCCGCCTGATTTCGCATTTGTTGTAGCATCCTGCAAAAATAATGTGTATTTAGATACTATTTCTTTACTTGATAAAATCTATACAAATATAATAATGATGTCCAGTTTCTGGTGTGTCATTTCTAATTTTTAACATTTGAAATTTCTAGTTTTTAACATTTGAAATTTCTGGTTTTTATCATTTGAAATTTCTTCATGTAGTGGAAAATATAAATTTCTTCATATTAAAATTCTGTATATGAAGAAATTTATATTTTCCACCACATGAAGAAATTTGTAGTTTTTGTTATATGAAATTTCTAGTTTTCACTACACAAAGAAATTTCTCGTTTTCATTTTATGTAGTTTCCAGTTTTCATTTTATGTAGTTTCTAGTTTTCACTTTAAGAAGAATTTTTTGGTTTTATTCTATAATATTTCTAGAATGTGGTCGTATTGTTATATATTATTAGTACCATTCATGCATTTTAGAAATATTACTTGTCAGGGGTGTTACAGCTAGGATTTTTTAGCAGTGGATGGAAAGTACCATAAAATCTTCAGGTTAAATTGGGGAACACTTCTGTGTGTCACATTCAAAACCACAACCAAATTGTTGACAGACAAGCGTAACTTTTAAATTGTTCACTCCCCCCCCTTCACAAATAAATAAAATAAAACTTACTGATTTTCTGTCCATTTTTCCTTTAATGTCTCTTGCTAGAGTAAAAAATGCTTCGTCTACATTAATTGATGCCTTGGCACTGGTTTCCATAAATTTTATACCATGTTCTACGGCCAGCTAAAATTATAAATTGTCATATTTCTATCATGTGTGAGAGAGAGTGGCATTAATGTTTACTTAACATTAACTAGGTCATTTTGGTACTAGCATAAAACATTTTTATTTCAATACCCTGCTTTTGCTGGCATGTAATCCTAAACCTTGTCATATCAGGCTAGGATTAAACCTTAACTTTCAACCTTCATGCTTTTATTACCTACCAATTTCACTATGTTTCGTTTGTTTTCTGATGCAATAAAGAAGAGATATTCTATCAATAAAAACCTAGTATAAAGCACCAATATCTGCCTATTTGTAGTCACCAATCTACCTATTCATAGCTCAGTGTTTGTGTAACCTAAATAAAGGGACATAACTCCCAAAAAATATGCCCAACATCTTCAAACTGGATGTATCTCTAATTTTTTAAAATTCAAACTGACAACATCAGTTTGTAAGGAGTGTAAATTTATAAATTAATTTCAAATTACATTAAAAAGCTTTTAGATTATATCCACTTACATTTTCTCCCCTCTCCTTTGACACCTGCCGTCTGTCATTCATATCACATTTATTAGCAAGAATCATCTTTTCTACATCTTTAGAAGCATGCTGTAAATCAAGTATAATAAATCAAATATAAAGATTTGACCAAAAAAATCACTAATTGATTACAGTTTAAACATTATGTACAATGATTTAATTATTTGAGGTTAATCTTAACGTATTTATTATCTTGCAATATATTTAGGAAAAAAGGTTACCTCTTCTATATTTCTGATCCAGTTTCTTATATTTTCAAACGATTTTTCACTGGTTATATCATACACAAGCATAATTCCCTGAAAATAAAAACAAATAGGGTCATTTTCTTGATATGGTTCTACTGTTAGTTAAAGGTATATTGTCTTTTATTAGATTTACAACTTAAAATACATTATTTATCTATATGTAAAAAATGATATGGGGTTTAACATCCTGCTTTTGTGAACCAATTAGGCGTATAAAGTGTGTTATGTGGGAAATCGTGCCAAGACAGCAGTATTTCATCTTACTCTTCATTGAATTCCCCAACTGTCAAGGTATCTTTTATGTGCACGCAAATGAGTACACCGGTAGACATTGTCCCACGCCATCAGTTAAACACATCCCTTTGAATGTTGATATTGGACCTTTATCAGAAAATACATGGTTTAATTTTCAAGCATACACTCTAAAGGACAACATAACTTTAAACTTAATTTTTGCCAACTAGATCTGGTGTGTGCTGTAACAAAAGATAGATTTCTGTGAAGTACTCTATATATCTTATAAGGTGCATTAGTAAGGTGTAGCACCATGGGTCATCTGTCAGAAGTGCAGAGCGGACGACGGAAAAGACGGTCGCCACATACGGCGTGTAACCCATGCATCTTTTCTTACTACCTATTTTAAAACAGCCCATAATCGTCTAGTATTGTCTCTGGTCGCATTTGTAATTCTCTAACTGTTTAGGACGTATCTCTAAATGCCACTCTGGCATTCCACATTAATGACAGCTTCACGTTCTTATTGAATATACTACATCTTAAATAATATCATCAATAGGAACAACAAATACCATATTTCAGTTCTACATTTTATATTAAGTACGGCTATGTAGGTTACATAGTTACCAGAATATAATAAAGTCATTCTCTCTAACCCGCTCCCATGCAGACTCAGCGAGTCTGCTGATGGAAATTCCTACATCTTCTCCCTACAAAAACTACATAGCTGTCTGCCGTAGCGCCCAAATCCTGTTTATTGTTTGTATATGCCTAGATTTCCGCTACTAATTATTCAATTGGCCAAATATTACGTAATAAATTATTTTTAGACCATCGACATACCCCATACCTTGCATACCAATATGGACTCATTACCAAATTTAGACAACAGATACGTTCCATTCCTGACCATTAACATAGCATATGACAAATGTGTTTATTAAGCTAGAGTTCAATACATGAATCAAATCAGCACAGACCCACCTTCTGTTTTTCTCAAAATATTTCATAAACAATTTAATTTGCATTTTCAAATAAACTCATACCATAGCTAATATACTAACAATGGAGAATACAAATAAAACATATGTATTTATTAAACTATAACTCGGGTCCTCTGGTGAGCTTATATTCGTCTAATACAATTTCGCATAAATTATCAAATAGTATGACAAAGGCCATCTTCACAAAGTCATCCAATTCATGATACTTGAATGGATTATTACACTTCAGTGGAAAATATTCTTAATAATCTTAAAGAAATGTATTGATAAAATATTTTGATCAAATTATTTGCAAATAATCATTAATAATCTTATCTTACCATTGCTCCTCTGTAGTATGCTGTTGTTATGGTTCGAAACCTTTCTTGACCAGCTGTGTCCCTGTAACAAAAGAGAGTGCTGTGTAAGGACACTTTTTATATGGTATTGCTTTTTAGAGACAAAATTTCATTTATAATTAATGTTGCAAATGTGTGAAACATTGAGGTCATGACAGTGTGAAACCTATTGTGTTTTTTTCAGCACTTTGTGAAATCCCATTCCTGAATTACACACCCTTTTCTTAAAACCTTGAGAATGCTACAGAAGTTACTGATTTTTTTTTTCAAACAAATTGGATGTACAACATTGGGGTTATGAGAGGATTATGTCATCTGCCATTCAACAGGCTACAATATTTAATGTTTTTTTCAAATTTATCGTTCTATGACTTTTTGTTCCTGGAAAAGCTTTTAAACACGAAAGAGATCTGATTTCTTGAAGGCACTACATTTGATTAAACTTTGTCAACATCTATGGGCTATTTCCATGCTTTGTGTGGCTTAGTTTTGTTTCTGACTTATGATGCGACTGTCCATTGTTGATAGAAAAAAACTGTTTTGTCTTAAAATTGGCTTAATCTACATAAAGAAAATTTGAAAGAAATTGACATCTGTCACAACACAGCCATTAGAGCTCACAAATCATTTTGGAAATATTCACATTAACACATTAAAATAATCAATTCACCTAATCAAAGAGTCATGACAAAAAATGAAATATACTATACTGATACTGGAAACTATTGTACCTGGCATATGTTTTAATACAATAATAAAACACTGAGAAAATCTGTGCTGGACAAAATGACAGGCCCCAGAGGGATTGTGCCTGACAGTGTCTGGGACATGTGTCTTGTTTTCTGACCTGTTTAAAGGTAAAAAACATGTAGCAACTTTACAGTACTTACCATATTTGTAATTTTATCTTCTTACCGTCCAATTCTATTGTTCTAATCTTAAAATCTATACCTGCAAAACAAAGACACAATAATATTATAGGCTTGGGAAAATGTTCAAACAACAATCAAAACTGATTGAAGCTTACTTTCATAAAAATAACAAATATAGCTTTAGCAGATGTGTTACAAGCAATATTACATACCAAGAAAATTCAAGCTTTGTAACATGTTAATGCTCTTACCAATCTGATTAAAACTCAGATCATATTTTGTTTTGTTTTTATCGTTCAAAATTTCTTTTTACTTGTCTTCACTACACTAGGATATGGAAGAGTTGTTATATTACCAGCGTTTTGGTTGAAATGAGGGATTAGCCAATGAAAAGGGCTGTTACGGCGACTTCTTGGCGTGCCATGCACGGATCTGTGGGTAAACCACTGGAAATGTCAACGCGGATTGATAATAATAATAATAATATAAGTCTTGTATTAATCTTTCAGAGGCATTTAGTAACTGAATAGAGCAATACACAAAAACACATACTTATGGAAAAACAGCTACTTAATATTATAATAATATATATATAGAAAAACTACAACAACAATTCATGAAACCATACAGGAGAACAACAAGATCAAAGGGGGGTTATTCTACACAAACTAATTAACACTAAGCTTAAGTGTAGCCATGAGTGAAGATAAGCAATTAAGTAGCTATGATGATACAATACTACCCACAGAATGGAATAGTACCTACAATACAATTATGATATACTATAGTATGTTTAGATAACGGTGATTATCTTAAAGCAACTATCATATCTCTTGATTAGATGTACAGCTAAATCGTTCGGGCAGTCAACAAGAGTTGTCGCATATTTTTACTTATTCAGTAATGAAACATTTATAATACACTAAAATTTGATTAAGAGTAACAACTCATGAAGTAATTATCAGAACATCATTAGAATTTGTTTGGTTTTTATAAATTTCTGCCCCATGCTAACGTTTAGTATACAAAATATTTAATATCATGGATTTAATTAGCTGTTCAAGTTATCAAAATTCATTGAAAATCAATGTTCATTTCAAGACCTTAAACTCTATGTATCAATTTGAAGTCAATCGGATGATAACATAAGCCTCTAGAGCGTTACAAGATTTTTCAAAGTGATCAAGGGCCATAACTGTGGCAGTAATTATCGCAAATCGTTGAAAATCAATAGGATTCTTCATCTCATGACCTTAAACACTGTGTCTAAATTTAAAGTCAATCGGATATTATTTTTAGCCTCTAGAGCGTCCACAAGATTTTTCAAAGTGATGAAGGGCAATAACTCTGGCAGTAATTATCGAAAATTGCTGAAAATCAATAGGCTGCTTCGTCTCATGACCTTAAACACTGTATATAAATTTAAAGTCAATTGTGAACGCCGGACGTGGGCGACGACACTATACGACCACATTTCAATTTGGGCGTATAAAAAGGGGTAGGTATAACAGATAGTATTGATAATATTATTAGGAAAATGAAAATAATAATACTCATATTCATAAAAAGTTAATTAAAGTTGTCTTTTCCACAGTACTGAAGAATGAGTTGGGGTGATGGAAAACACAATATTTAGGTTATTTAGTAAGTCCATCATAAGCACTAGGCAGGAATATCCCTGTGTCGTGGTTAAGGTCTGGGCTGTTCCCTGTTATGTGTATGGCCTCAATAAGTTTGCAGGTTTTTTCTATCGTGAGGTTCAGGTTGGCTGCCAGAGTTTTATACGTTTTAATTCTGTGTCCTGGGCTGGATTGCATGTGTTGGGCCACGGCTGAATTGGTAGTAGAGGACTTATATCTGACTGATTCTCTTGGTACATGTATCTGCTCTTAACTAGGACGTCCAGGAACGGGAGGGATTGGTTCTATTCTTTTTCTATCGTGAATTTTATTCTGTTGTTGAGGTGGTTGAAGAGGAGGTTACGAAGCCAAGCTGTAGGTTGAACCGGTGAGGTGGATAGGGCATCTTTTTCAAAACTAGTCATATAGATCTCGCTGAGTATTGGGGACAAAGATCTTCCCATGAGTAATCCATGTACTTTCTCATAAAAATCATCTCCCTAGGAAAAGTAGGTGGAATCTATACAGGACTTTAGTGAGGTTAATGATGTCTTCCGTGCTGAGGTTGGTGTCAAGTGGGTTATCTAAGGAAGTTAATCTGTGGCGTAGTGCGTCAATGGCTTCAACTCGAGGAATATTAGTGAAAAGGTCGATGACATCGTACGAAAGGATCTGTATGTCTTTTGGTTGGTCCTGTAGTTTGTCGCAGAATCTTTAGTCTTTAGAGTCTTTTATGAACGAAGGGGCTTCTTTACCTAAAGGGGAGAGGAGTTTGGACAGGTGCTGTGCCGTATTATAAAATAAGAGTCTCTGGAGTCTGGAGCATACTAGGAGCCTGATTGAAATTAAGTAGCTGTTTTTCCATAAGTATGTGTTTTTGTGTATTGAGTCTTGTATTGTGCTAAAATCCACACACATCACGCAACAACACAATTTCACTAATTACAACATTTGAAGAGATAGGTCTTGAGGTTTGATTTAAACAAACTTAATGTTTTAGCACTCTTGAGTTTTAATGGCAAATAATTGATTAATCATTGTCTGATGTCATAGAGTCAAAAGCCGCTCGTAAACCCCTGACACAACCTTCCATTACAACTTGTCAGACCTTCATGTAGTGTAGGCCATCGAAAGTATAAAAAGACGAAATAAAATATAGATCTGTATTTTAATCAGATTGTGCTTTTACATAGTTGACAGTTCTTGTTCTGAAGAATCTAATGGTGAAATCTTAATCTACTGTAGTTTAGAGGGTGTAAGTTGATGTGGTGTATAAGTCAAATCATCATAGGATACTGCATGGTGTATTCTTTATTAGCCCAGTTAGTGCATTCCTTTGTTTTCACTGCATGATAATTATTTCTAAAGGTTACAGTCAGTGCAATCAGTCCTTATCTTAAGAAAAAAATATCAATGTAACCTGACATGAAATATGAAAGAAAACCTTTTTTGGGGCATGGCTGCCGTTTCAGCCATTGTTGTAGAAAAGCACAAACATTAGTTGATTTATAATTATCAGTCAATGTTTTTTAAGGTGAGCGATCGCTCTCGAGCACCTGCTGCTCGCCTGAATGTCGACCGACGGTAGGGTTTCTCACCCTTTCCTTAAAATGAAAAATTGCTCTCCTTTACACTGTCAAGGGGGGTTTATTAATATTATCATTTATGAAACCAGGAATGATCCCCCTAACATGCAGTTATTGATCTTCAGAACCATTTCCCATACACACATCTAATCACTCTCATTAATATCAGATCACTCTCATGAATTTCTAAATCATTCTTCTTATCGAAACTGGGAGAGCTTTTTTAGGGGAGGGATTTTTTTCAATTTGTTGATTAAGGGGAGCTTTTTTCGGCTCTCCTCTAAAATACAAACAACGACTGAATTATATTACCCCTATCATACACCATGACCAACACACTGAAGTATGATTATAATCCAAGAAAACGATGTGTGGCATACATTGTAAAATATAAGTTTCATTAAACCAAGTAAAGGGATGAAGTAACATATATGTATAATACACTTGGTAAATTAATGATTATATTCTGAACTTCCTTATAGCCAGGGGGGGTTGGATGGCTGAATGGTTAGCGTGTGCGCTGTATCATAAAGTCTGTCATTGAGTCGACTGGCATGGTTTTGAATCCCCGGTTGTACCTGACAAGGAGTAAGGTCGCCTGTCCAACCTCGTGGGTTTTCTCCGGGTCCTCCGGTTTCCTCCCACTGCTAAAGACCCCTATGCGCAAGCAAATTATTGAAATAAAATTAAACCATATGTAAGTCCTGAAATGACCTAGTTTGTGTTGAGTGGAAGTTAAAACCCATTTCTCTCTCTCTATCTCTCCTTATAGCCATCTTGACCTGCTTCTTATGTGTTCAGTGTCTTAAAGTTAAAATTTGAAAGTATTACATGTGTCCATGTGATGTCATCACTTTGTTTTGATAGCTGATACTGTACCAGATTAATTAGCAGTACACAAATTATTAATGGTACCTTTATATCTGCATAATTTTGTTTCCAGATTCATCTAGAATCGGACAACCAATATGTGCAATACCTATGCCATGAAATCGAAATAACCGGTATATACATCCAGAAGATATACAACTGTTTTCTACTATAGGCATACAGTACATCTAAACTCATTAGCTATTACTGTAATAATACAGAGAACTCAAACTACATTGCACCTCAACAGTGATAAGCAACAGGTATTATCAGCTTATAAACACTGCTATACTTACAGTACTTAAGTAAAGTGATGTTTCTAATTGCATACAATTACCCTCCAGGCGTTATTTACCAGATTCCAGGAGTCCCTGTTCAGCGGCATTAAAACAAATTTGAATCCACCAGCCCAGGGCTAGTAGTCTACTGTCAGATACTTGCCCAGTTTTGATTTCCACTAATCCATAGTTGGACAAAGTACAAGCTTTAATATAAGCCTGTTGAAACCTAATTTTGATGAGATCCTTTATTTCTTCAGGTCAGTCGAACAATGTTTTTCAAGCATAAAAAAATACATTATGATGAAGAATTCTATACGGGGACTCACTTGCAGGGGTGTAAAACTCCACTAGCCAGACGCCCAGGGCTACCAAAAATGATTAATGGGCTTGTACCCTTTCCATGCTGATTTTTTGTAGTTTGTGAATTAAACTAGCGAGATATATAAATAACTAAAATATCCCACTTTCATTTCTCCAATCCAAGCTAATACACACCAGTTAAATTTTTCTCTGTTTAACAAACTGCTTCGCCCCTAAAATGGCACTTGCACCCGAGTTCTCATTGCTTTCTACATCACTAACAAGAACGGTTCTTTTTGGCGGGAAAAAATGAATCACGTGAGCAAATGACAATAACATAGAGACTATACCTGTATTACATACAGTAGTAGATTCTACGCCGATGTCAGTTTAAAATACCATTTTAAAAAGAAGACAAAAGAACTATGCTTTCATTTTCTGCCGTATAAACGAAGATACATAATTTTGGAGGAATATTAGGCTACTGGTGTGGATTTGAAGCAGGTAACGGGTCGGTAAGCTTTTATGCTATCATAATATCGAAACAGTTGATTGGTAAGCGGATTGACCTAGATATATTCTAACTGGTTAACATTTTACTATAGATTTACTATGCCCTTTTAGGAATGAAATGCCGAAGACGAGTCCATTTACGGCAAAGACGAGTCCATTTACGGCGACGAATTGTCAACTTTTGAAGAAACATTCGATGACTACGTTTGTTTTATATTTCAAAATATATAGCGACATCACAAATGTTAATTTTCCAGGATCATCACATTCACATGTCTGTCTGGGTTGCTGGTTTTGAAAGTTCATATGTGTCACATTTTGGCTTTGGAAACGGTCCTGGAATCTTATGCTTGTTTACTTCAGTCAATGATCTTCCATACTCATCTAGGTCATATTCCGAGACCCATGTATTTGCTGCATGTGGTTTATTTATCCACTTAATTAAATACTCAAATTCACCATACAAATTACTTCTTCTTTTTTGTAAAATTTGATCTATTGGCGTATCAGGTTGTGGTGTTGTTTCCGTCCATGTTTCCCATTTTGTTTGAACATGCCCCTTATCAACGGTCCGGGTTGTGGCTGCAGCCACTATTGTTTTTGCTTGAATATTTTTATCAGATGTATTCCTGCTCTCCGTTTGGGACTCACTGTCTTTTGTTGAATACAACGTCCCTTTTTCAACAGGACCTACAGTCAGAGAATTAATGTGAGTTGAAGTATTCTCTTTATTGAGTAAGACACACCTTTTTTTAAACTTCTGGCATCTAAGAATATCTCTTGTCTTTCTACTAGAAGATTTTGGGTTGTCCTTGTGAGAAGCTGTCTTTTTTCCATGTCAAGGTAACTGAGAAATGATTATTTCCATTTTCACATCCCCACAGATGTGCTTCTGAATATAAATCCATTACCTTAAGTATTTCTTCTAGTTTACTTGGGATCACTGGTTCCATCTTTGGTTGGGGGTTGGCTACTCGCTTGGCTTTTTGAAGAAAGGTTTCCAGGATCTTGCCCCAATCTGCACCATATATAACCGCTAGGTTCTTCAATAACTAATAAGTCTGGAATGGTTCTTCAATCTTTTAATTACTGGAACTTATCTCTTACAGATGACAATAATTCAATACATACAATGTACACTTACAGCACAGTGGATGACCGACGTAGCTGCTACTAAGTCGGGTGACCTAATGACTACCTATTGATGTACATTAACCTTTTTATATTCTAACTATAAATGGATAAGCTCAAGTGTTGACATCAAAACATATACTATTCAGGATTATCACTAGAGACAGTAACATAAATAAACAATAATAGATAAAGTAAATAACTAATTAGCTTCTACGCTGATTGATATCAAACCATGACACATTAAATACTATGTAAAACTGACTGGTCATTATGCCTGGTCATAGTTTCAAGGAGTATCTTGTTTTTCCAGGATTTTACAGTACACGAAATCACATTTTCATTTTTCCAGGACTTTCAAGGAGTTTCAAGGAGTGTGCGAACTTGTCAGTATTACTACATGTATTAAACAGTGTTTTTTTATAAACTTTAAATTTAATGTAAACTAGTTATAATAAGCATTGTCTCAGATAGAAATTTGGCGGTGTTAAGTTGCTCCTGCAAACTATATGGCGAACGCATTTTATCACACCAGCGTGATTTTCAGATCTCAAGGCCTGTCATGAACCATGAATGTGTTCCGAATACCGTCCAAATCAGCTTTGACGTTTGGTCTAAATAATCCATGGATCGAATAAGCCATGTTTCAAGTCAGCAATGGTCCAAATCAGCTTGCATTACAGTGAAAATAGGAGACCTATCTGGTAAGAAAAATATATTCATATACTATTTTGTGTACCAGTATTAATTTTTAAACGTAATAGTAGTAATACTATAAAAGAAAATTCTATTACATTATGATTATAGAAATCAGAATAAATTCAATACCGGTAACCAGAAACGAAAACGATCAATATTATTAAAGCTACGTTCCCAGAAAAGTATTTATCGGGTGGTTATTTCCAATAAAAGTATGGCAATTTTGGTATATATGGAGACTGACCGCTTGATGTACATGTTGATAAACTTTATGAAGAGTTAGACGTACAACACTTTCTGAGATAAAAATCACGGAAAAAGAGGTGGGCAGTGGATAATCAGAGAATTTAATTAGGCTTCTATATCTATACTAATAATTGTGACTGTCGTTTGTCTGTCTGTTTGTCTGTCTGTCTGTTTGGGGTTGGCGGCTACACTAGGTCTGCCCCGAGTCTGAAATTTGGGGTATAGGGGTAGCTCGGACCGGGGAGTAACATAGGCCAGGTGGCATTAGTCTACCACTTCCGGTTTCGGGGTTATGACCCCCGAGCGAAGCCGGGCATTCTTCTAGTTTGTAATAATAGTCAGCGATAAAGGCCACATCGTCTTTTGTATGCAATGAATTCTCCTCCGACGTCGCACCTGTTGTGTCACGTGACACAAACATGACCTCTTTTGATCGAGTTTTTATAGGTATTCCCTGACAATTGCAATGTTTTGAGAAGGATTTGTAGCAAAATTAAAGATAAATTAATTAGCTTGAATATGTTTTTAGTCCAAATATATCATCAAATCACCCAGTTTGTACCCGGGAATGTATCTTTAATACTGTATCAGAAATATTATTAACTTCTTCAATCTTGAGAGAGAAATATTCCCTTGTTGGATTATTTTTCATAATCATAGACCGGTGGCTTTATCGAAAGGAAATGTCTGCGAACCAGCACCAGTTCTTGGAAAGGTAGTTGCAAACGAAATCACTGTATGTATACTGTACTGTTATTATTACACTAATTTAACTAAATTATCATGGCTTAAACTATGTAGACTGGAATAGCCACACGCTATAGATTTCCATTCGATTGAGACTTCTGGTGTATTTCGCCGAACATAACTGATTTGAAATTAGAGTAAAAATGGAAACGATTGAATGTAAATCAGTTTATATATATATATTACATTATATTGGGGGTCACAGTGGCTAAGTGGGTAAGACGCTGGCTCGCTAGCCTGGAGGTCGGGTGTTCGATCCCTGCATTGGCCAAGAAAGTTCATCCAGATTTTCCGAAGCGGTTCCCCCTTGTCAGTGATGAAGAACAGAGGGACTGACAAGGACAGCTGTCTAGTCGTTCGGATGGGACCAAAAAAACAAGGTCCCATGTACACATTGGCATGCAAGTAAAAGATGCCTTGACAGATGGAATTCGTTATATAAGAGTAGGCTGTAGTGCCGCTGTCCGGACAAAATTCCCTCATAGCACACTGAATGGCGTATGCCTGTCTTCAGTAGCCCAGTTCAGGGCAGAACAGTCAGTAGGACGTTAAACCCCATTTCATTTCATTTCACATTATTATATGCGTTGAGACCCATTTGTGTCAATTTCTAGGTCCCAAATATTAGCGATTTAGCTCCTCAAAGTCAAAATTTAATATTCTTTGAGTTTGACTCAAAGTTTGAGTAGGCCACTTGACAAACATGCAGAAAGTCTTTTTTTCACTAGATTGATAAATAATCTAATAGCAAGATAATTATTTGTGCTAACCTGGATTACAATATCTCAATTACTTTTCATTTAAACAATCAGATGCCCAAATGACTGAATGTACCGACAGTGGAACGAACGAAATGATCATCATCATGATGTCAGAATCAGTATTTTATGAGTCAATTTTGGAGACCAGTTTTATCCGAAAATAACATCAAAATCAATCAGATTTCTCACCTATGGTTGATATAAATGTAGAATTAAAAGCATCTTCTGAAAATCTAAACAATAAACACGTTTTTCCTACACCAGAGTCACCAATAAGTAAAAGTTTAAATAAATAGTCGTATGTTTTCGCCATCTTGGCACTATAACACAGGAAACACCCTCATTTACATACTCCGGTGACGTTTAATAAAATTTACTTCCGGGTCGAGACGCTCAGTTCGCGGTTATCCAGCTACCATACACTATAAACACCTGCAAAAATTATGAGCTCATTTGGAACAAAATCGGGTTTTGGATTTAATCAGTGTTGGATTAACCATTAAGCAAAATAAGCAGTGCTTAGGACATCATGGTAATGGGGGCATCAAAGAATTTCTGCTTTGTTAGATGCTAAATTTAAAATATTTAATTTAAAAATTAATATGACTTTTCAATCAGTTTTCATTGTTTTTGTCTTTTCACACTGTTACCTATTTTGTCGCAATTAATAATGATGTGAATAAAATCCCAGAAAAACTCTAATCACGTGTTGGAGGTTGTTTGTGGTTTATTATTGTTTATATTTTAAATTACATATATATTTGGTTCTTTACTGTTTAGGAAGCTTCTAGGTCTTCTAGTGACAATTTACTGTGTACTATCTCGAGCCAGACTAGCATCCTATGGCGAGGGGCCTTTTCATTTTATGCAACGTTACTTTGGAACAAATTAAATTATTTTATTCGGAAATCACCTTCTATTATTGCATTCAAATCGCATTCGAAAACGCATTTCAAACATGCATTTTACTTATTTTATACATTTTACTGTTATGTGTAGTTATTTTTTTTTATATCATTTTTACATTGTTTTTTCTTTTACTGTTTTTAGGGAAATGTTTTTTGTTATTTTTTATAACTTTTTCTTCTTTATCATAAATTGTATATTTACTTTGTTATTGTTTAGCGCATCAGAACACGTCGGTGAAGATGAGCTTAAAAACTTTCCATGGGTCACCACAAAGGCGCGAAATATGAGTAATTATTCTAGATATATTTAATTGACACGTATACTATTACTATCTCCCTGATAATATCTACTACATCGTTAACACAGTTCATCGCGTGCATTTTGCATACCGATAGTTCATTGGCCAATCACGCTATTTTACCGACATTTCGCCTAATAGTTTGGATGCAGCTATGGCGGGTGTGGCGCCAGGCAGGGTAAGCTTACTCTTCCGGACACCTGTTACCACTGTTTGTCGTGTATTTTGTACACGAGGAGCAGTTCATTTGCTAATTACACTATTTTGCTTGAATACACTATTTTGCCTATAACGTTTTTTAGGACTTCGAATTCTGTCTAATGGTTTGGATTGTTCGTACTTGGTTTTATTTTATTAGTTAAGAGTTTTATAAAGAGTTGACCATTCTTGCTATAATAATTCAAAAATAGATGATCAAAAAAGAAAATGTTGAAATTTCAGTCAAATTACTTTGTTCTGAACTGAATTGTCACTGTTGGAAGTTTGGACTAGAAATAGACATCAACTATGTCTGCACCGTCTATGAGAATTGACGATCGTTTGATTGACAGACGATAACTCCGCCCACATATTCTCGATTTTCACGTAACATGCTCAATGGCTATGGTAGCCTCGCTTGGCGGGCCTTTCATCGCCAATTTCCGGTATTGACATCAGCGACTAACGGTAAACGTTAGCTTACTCCGCCATTTATTGATTTAATTTTAAATGTACGACTGTTTAAATCCAAACTGTATCCAAGCCATCCTTGGGTCTACAGAGTTGATTTTGAGCTTGTCGTGTAATTAAAGGTCTAATTAATAATTTCTATAACATCTGAAGCATAAATAAAGACTTGCAATAGGCAGATTTAGCTCTTGCATAATGTATGTTTAAACATACATTATGCAAGAGCAAAAACTGATTATTGCAAGTCTTAATTTATGCTTCAGGAAAAAAATAGTCGGTCGCAAAATCAGTGCAGTCGGTCGCAAAATAAGAGCAGTCGCAAAATCAGTGCAGTCGGTATCAAAATAAGAGCAGTCGGTATCAAAATAAGTGCTGACTGCACACGTCACGCTACTCCCGCAAAACTTTAGTATAAAAAAACCTTGTCAACTTAATGTGTTTCACTCTTATTCTGTTGTATGTAGGTCTAAGAACAAAATTTCCCCCAGGGAGAAAAATAGTCGGTCTCAAAATAAGTGCAGTCACTGCAGTCGGTCTCAAAATTATGCATCGCCGTCTTAATGAATTAATGAGGTAAACAAATAATGCCAGAATAGATCCCAACGTCGGTCGTTATTATGAGCAGTCGGTATCAAAATAAATGCTCACTGCACACGTCACTTTACTCACGCAAAACTTTAGTATAAAATAACCTTGTCGACTTATCATGTTTGAAAACAATGTTTTTCACCCCATGGCAAAAAAATAGTCGGTCTCAAAAAAAAGTGCTCACCGCAGTCGGTCTCAGACTAAATGAATTAATGGGGTGTTTTCTGACCATCAGAATTCTGCAAAATCTCTCCCCAAAGTCCAGGGCATTTCAGAGACCAAGTAAGCGCCACATTGAGGTAAAGTGCCCTCAGGCCCAGTCCTCAAAAATTAAAAGCTCAGTTACATAACGGCGCTCAATTTCATTATGCCATCATTCTTCAACTCCTTCTCTGACTTTTTCTATCTCATCACTATCATATTCAGTTACAGTGAATCGCCCAGTTAGTAGTACCACTAGTGAGTGAGTCGTGGGTCAAAAGACTGTAGAATTGTTAGTTCTACTCTCACAAAACAGGCGACATTGACAGATAGGCCTCAAGATTCTGACCCATTCCTTATCCTCTCGTTAACGAGAATTTGGATCCATTTGCCATGACATTGACTAAAATTGTCAGGCCCAGTCCCAAAAATTAAAAGCTCGGTTACACATCTCAAATTTTTTCGCGCCTGCGCCGCTCGATTCCATTATAACATCATTCTTCCACTCCTCTGTTGTCTTATACTGTCTCAGCACTATCATATTCACGGTTATACTGAACTGCCTGTTAGTAGTACCACTGGCACTGGTGTGTGGGTCGTGGGGCGTCAGACTATACAAAAGTTCTGTCAACTCTTGCAAAACAGGCGGAATTGACAGGGGCAGATCTCGAGATTTTGTCTAATTGACTCACATTTCTGGCCCCCTCGTCCACAAGAATTTCTCCCAGCAATGACCTCAAATGCCAAGATATTGGCTCAATTTTTCAAAATTTTCTCAGGTTGCTCAGTGTTATAGGCACAATCATATATGACAGAAACTTTATGTCAACTTAAATAAAACTGCTTTCCAGCGAGACAACGATCGGCAAACAACTATACAATACCATCTATGTACAACGATCGGCAAACAACTATATAATTATACAATACCATCTATGTTCTACCGGGACGCTTAATGTTATAGCCAGTATTTTGTTGACATTCATTGTGGGATGGGATTGCGGCTGAGGTGGCGCCCTAGATTTGGAACCCCCCCCCCACCCCTATCTAGATCCGCTACTTCACATGGCCCCTACAAAACTCGCACCTGTGGTGCTCGGTTCCTGACTAGGGGTATGGGCATCAGTCGGTCGCATTTTCGCTAAACACCCCCCCAAACAAAATCGTTATGTACGCCCTTGTCCGTAGCCTATAGTCCCATATCCCGGTGTTGGCGGAGAAAGGTGGTGCATACCGAGCGCCTGGCAAGGACCGGCGTCTAGTCATTCAGATGGTACGAAAATCCGAGATCCAGTTTATACATTGGCGTGCACCCTCGACAGTTGGAATTCGAAATAAAAGTGGACCGTAGCGCCGCTGTCAGGGCAAAACGCCCCTCATTATTGCACACTGTATAAACGTATGATGTTAAACCCCATTTTATTTAATTTCGGATGAAACTAAAAAAAAAAAAGATAACAATAAACGGGTTCAAAATCGCAAAAATTGCCATATTGACCCAGATCAAAATCTTACGCCCACCTAATCTTGCAGCAACCCCCCCCCCCCCATGTGGGGGTTGCCGTACGTTTTTACAGCATTGTGTTAGTATAAACTGAGTCGATACAGGTTGGAGTTTAATTGGTTGCCTGGCGAGCTGTGTTGCCATAATAATAGGTTTCTACTTATTTCGTAATTTGGTACTAGTCCTATATATTATACGATGCGCCTAAACCTGATGTACAAAATTTGCCATAGCTGATAAAATTGATGATTGTAGTCGACAACGCTAATCTACAGTTTAAAATTTACTTATTTTACCTATATTTCTGATATTAAAATAGCACAGTTTACAAATATTATTTATTTGAGCTCCCATAAGCATAAAACTATCAAACATTGCGCCAATATTACGAGCAGAATCAAACGAAAAAATATCACAGTTACCAATTACAACATGTGGAGTATCATGTACAAATCGACTTAATTGATGCCTTGGGCCTAATAACAAATATTCGGTTTTATCCTCATTCAATTTTAGAAAGTTCTTTGACGTCCATTTTCTATTTATCTAATAGTAATTAGCTACAGTTCTCAAGTTGCAGTTTTGGTAAATTGAAAGAAGATAGACAATTATAGGTGTAAAAGAAATATGAGTATCATCTGCATACAAATGAAAGTCGAGACCATATTTTCTGACAATATCGCCTAATGGTGACGTATAAAGGGTAAGTAAAATTGGACCAAGAACAGAACTTTAGGTGGGGAACCCCTGATACCGAAACAGATTCAGACGACGATTTACAAATAACTAAAGTAGCCTACGTACACTGTTTTCTACCCACAATATAGCTTTCTAAAAGATTTAATTCAGAGCCACAAATACCGAATTTAAAATGAAGTCTACGTAAATGAATAGAATGATCTACCGTGTCGAAAGTGGCAGATAAATCTATTAAAATTAAAAATGTACATTTTCTATTATCAATTTCCAGTAAAATATTCGAAACCCGAGTTTTCCGCGTTATGTCCCTTGGTACAACATCCAAACTTGCTTGGAAATCGCAGTTTGAATTTTTACACCAAAACGTTACGAATGTAAATTTGAAAATGACAATTTGACTTAAAGAACGGTATATTATAAAATATCCATAAAAATTATTGTCTTATAAGTTGAAATAATGGTGGTTTGGGTGGATATGGGTAAATCGTGCTACCCGAAATTAATGGTGGTCTGCCTCCAAGTGGGAGAATAATAAATGGATTAATCTCCCTTTTATTACTGTAGCCTATACCATACTCCCCAAAGTGGTAGCCAAAAAACAAATGACTTAAAATAAACATATTCTTTCAATGGTATATTTGTGTACTGCAATTTTGATAATGTCGTAACAAAATGTAATATCAGTTCTACGAAAACATGGTGCAATTTCATCCTGTTGTGAAAGAACTCCGTGTTTACTATTTGTGCAAACCCCGATTCAGTCTTTTTGCCTGGAAGCTTGCACGGTTCAAGATGCCTGTGAGTACACTTTATTATTAAGAAAAATTCGCCGATTCGATTGTATCACATGTTCATTAATTAGCAGGGCTTAATTATTATTTTATTAGTACAACCGATTCTAAATTTTGCCATGTCGAATTTACTGTCTGACACGCAATAACGAGGCAAAAATGCCCAGTTGATTCGATGTTTTCACATGCCTTGATTGATACTTGATTAACGGCCTAGGAATGGTTGTCGTAAATGGTTACCATACCTTATAATATCTACTTCACTTGTGTCAAAAACGATTCGTAGGAGATTCTCTATTAATTATTAGATCTACTATTACTATTATTAGTAGTAATACTACTGCAAGCTGGACGACTTAGATTGATAGGTTCCCAGAAAAGTATTTTTCGGGTGGTTATTTCCAATATGAATAAAAGTATGGCAATTTTGGTATCCGTATATGGCGTATAGGTATATAGTATAGAAAGTAGAGATATCCAATCTTACTAGAAAAATACTTGATTCCCTGAAAAAAACTCATGGAGCGTATACATAATACAGGACTAAAATGTTAGGCCAGTAAGGGTTCCCCTAATCGACAGCCCAATGATTAGGAATATACCTGCATGTGTGACGGCGAAGGTTGCATGCGAAGGTTGAGCGCTTGGTGTAGTGTAGGCCTACATATCACTAGGGACCGGGTATCATTCAGATTTGATGAAAAAAAGGAAAGAAACTGAGCTTACCATCTATAATCTAATACACATATTCAGTTAATAGATTGCCATGCAGAAAGTGTTAATTTAAAATACCATCAAGATTCATCAAAAACCGCCCAGTTTGTGCTACCGTTTAGTTTGACATCAGTTGTCTAGTTTATGAAACTAAATGGTCATAAACTGGATGACCAATATCAAAACTAAACTAAATGGTCATAAACTGGATGACCAATATCAAAACTAAACTAAATGGTCATAAACTAGATGACCGATGTCAAAACTAAATGGTGTTTCTTAAACTAAACGGTAGCACAAACTGGGCGTTATTTGATGAATCTTGATGGTATTTAATACTTTCTGCATGGCAATCTATTAACTGAATATGTGTATTAGATTATAGATGGTAAGCTCAGTTTCTTTCCGTTTTTCATCAAATCTGAATGATACCTGGTCCCTAGTGTATGTTGATAAACTTTATGAAGAGTTAGACACAACACTTTCTGAGATGAAAATCACGGAAAAAGACGTGGGCAGTGGATAATCCGAGAATTTAATTAGGATTCGATATTTGTAATAAGGCAGTGTATGGTTCTTTACTTTATTTACTATTTAGCCGTCACTTCCGTTTGACATGCGCAGTTGTCTGATTCCTGGACTTAGCAGTTTTTGTTTTGGCAATGATGCCGGCTTTTTCAACTCGTGGACTATTTTACCGTCTGACATTAACCCATAACCCAACCCTAACCCCAACCCCAACCCACCAGACAGTTCTATTCGTCCTTTGTCTAACATTGCTCCTTTCTCCATTTCTTATGAGGAAGCAAATAGCCATACTTAAATTTCTGATGGTAGAAACTGGAGAATTATTTTTAAAAGAAAATAAGATAATAAATGTAAATTGTAGAAAAGCATTTAGAATGTTATTCTATTTTGGTCAAGGGCGCATTTTGGTTTTTAATTTAATTACTTAGACTTTCAGTGGTTTATGTTTTTCCCGTAAAATCGTGCTTCTGCGCCGAACTTGAAAGACGAGTTGTTTTTAATGTTCCAAAATGGTGGAATATATCAAGAATCGAAAACTGCGCATGTCGAACGGAAGTACGGCTAAATAGTAAATAAAGTAAAGAATCGTAGGACGGCAAAATATACACTTCGTTGTAATAAATAGTCAGACTCGGCGATTAAAGACCACATCGTCTTGTGTATACAATGAATTCTGCTCCGGCTTCGCACATGTTTTGTCACGTGACACAAACATGACCTCTTTTGATCGATTTTTATAGCAGAGTATTCCTTGGCAATTACAATGTTTTGAGAAGAATTTGAAGCAAAATTATGATAAATTAATTAGTTTAAATATGTTTTTAGTCCAAATATATCATCAAATCACCCAGTTTGTGCGCGGGAATGTATCTTTAAAGGAGTTTAATCGCTAATATTTGGGACCTAGGAATTGACACAAATGGGTCGTAACTCGTTTAATATGTGAATACTGTACTATAAACTGGTTTACATCCAATCGGTCCCGTTTTTACTGTAACTTCAAATCAGTTATGTTGTTTAAATTCAAAATATAAAAATTTGTAATTAAAATTAACACTTTGCTCAGTGATAGCCATGGTCAGGCCGCGGTTAATTGTTTGATTCTCATGACCTGCCCGCATGTCCGTTTTCATCCGTAATAATTACGCACTTCCATAATTATTTGGTCAAATTTAGTGAGGTCCAAAATTTGTCCTTTAAAACTATATTTGTTTGCCTTTAAATATGAACAGCGAATTGACGCATTAAAATCCACTATTTATCGATGAACATGACACCGTAGGTGATAAGTAAAGTAGGGCCTACTTAAAAGTAGGCTAGAATGTGAATAAGTCCAGCTGCAAAACGGAAGTGATAAAGTCGTATCATATCTCATCCATACCAAGGAATGGTAGCTACAACATTCACCAAAGACCACATATATACTCTATAATAAGGCACTTGGTCATTTGTAATAAAATTCACAGAAAGATATAAATGTCTTTTAATTCCTGCTAAATTATTTTATTTACTGACTATACCGACTGGTTGACACTGCTTCACGCCTTTCACGGTATTTTATTAACAACACTATATAAACAGTCTCAAAAGGACACAGAGATACAAATAAATGTAAACAGTTTGATTACGATAGACAAAATAATAAAAGTATTTATATTATCATGATGCCATGTGCCGATGATGGGTTCAAAGTTGACGACAATTAACATACGGGCTATTGCCATTGCCCAATTGGTACTATCTTCCCTCACGGCTAGAGAAATGAACAAGTGTGTAGTAAATTCTTTGACTGACCTGTTAAATAATCTAACTTATTTTGTCTTTAAAAGTCCAAGGGTATGCTTTTAATTATTTATGTCAGAACAAATCATCAACCCGTTTGGAACAGGTCATTTTGTAACCTGTCAAAGTAGCGAAGGATAAAGAAATGAAATGCCATGAATTAACGAACTGTTAACTTCGAAGCATATCACTAATAATTTAAACTTATTTATTATGATCAAATCTTCCGATGCCCAGCTATATTGTGCAACAGATATTTTAATTATAAATATTTAATAAATGTGAATAAATCGCTGACACTGGTTACCAATGGGTTTTAACGACCAAATCTCAATAATTAATAATTACTGCATGTAGCATGTATATGTCACAAACTCAGGTCATAAGAAACTGACAATTAATTAACCATGGCCTTATTAAATTTGGGGGGTTATTGTCATTTTGGAAATGTTTTTTTTTTTCTATTCATATTTTGTGCATAACTTGCAAGTTACTGATCTCGCATGGCATGAATTGTATTGTGGATGATAATCTTTAACACCAATCCTTTACGATGCTAAAGGTATTCCAACTGCAGAGGATTCATGTTGATGTCACATGGTCTGAATTACCTTGCTGTAATTTTGTCCACCTTTGGTTACATAGCTGTCATGCGAGTAAAATCACACATAATTTAATTAATTAAAAATGCATTAAAAAAAAAAACCTATTCATTCATCCTGTTCTGAACATTCACAATACATGTAGTAGCCTATTTAATTATCTTTTATTGTGCAGAAGTTGCTGTAAATACAAGACCAACGTAAGCATGCAATGTCAAAATTTCAGTTTTGCAAAGCGGTATCTTCCGGCTAATTACGTACATGTAATATATGACAAACTTCGAGCATTGTTTTGATCATTGTAAAAGTTATTCAACATCGAAAATCATGAATTATTACGATTAGACTAAGCATTAGAGAGAAGAGTGAAGACATGCGGCATAGTACTAAGTAGTCACGTTTTCCATACATTTATTGTGTCTGGATAAGCACAACCAAAAACAGACCAACTCCTGAAATGAACGTTGTGTTGTGAAATGTAGAATAAAAAGGATTGGTTCATGTTTTTCGAGTAACCGTAAAAGGATTTTTAATTCACCCTTGAATTTTGAGGCACTAAATGATAAAATAAATGGTATTATAATTATATCTGATAAAAAATGATTTGCGACTTTTTAGATTCCGAACTAAAATTTTGCTAATCAGTTTTTCCATTGACTCACAGTAACGTCGGAAATGGGTTGCAAAGTGCGATGCGAACCCGGTTATTTTGTTCCCTGACTTTCAGTGACGAGCGCCTTTTTTGCCTTTTTCTAATAATTTTATTTTTTCAAAATATAAGAAATAGGTCGTAAATGCATTTCTGAATGTCTAAAGCACACTTGACACAAACTCTGTTTTCGTCTCAACTCGAAAAGCGCGATGTCGTTGATGTTGGTGTTCATACAACTTCCCGAAAGTCGCGGAACAAAAATGACACATTTTACGGACAGTTTTTTATACATTGATAAAAATAGTATCGGTGGCGCCTCTACCGAGCTTTTGCATTGCTACTAGTAGCACTCTCTATCTTGCAGCCGTGGCACACAAAACATGGTCTTGATCGCTAGTGTGGTGACCGTATGTGGCTTGGAGATAGGGGTGCCTACCTAACCTTGGTAGGTTTACTTCAGGGGTTTCCTCCCACAGGAAAGACCCCTCTGCACCATTGCCAAGAAAATGAATATATCATATGACAACTTGTCTTCAATATCATCACTATCGGTGGAAGCAGACATTAAATTTAAACACCAAGAACAACAACTTGGCAACTCACTGTGAATGAATATATCCTGGGTACTAGAATCTCTTTGCAGTGGCCAAAAATTCTACATCTCAAAACTTAAAGATGGGTTCCCAGAAAAGTATTTATCGGGTAGTTATTTCCAATAAAAGTATGGCAATTTAGGTATATGGAAAGTAGAGATATCCAATCTTACTAGAAAAATACTGGATTCCCCAAAAAACACTCATGGAGCGTATACAGGACAAAAATGTAAGGATTCCCCTAATCAACAGCCCAACGGTTATGACCTTCTGCACGCACGATGTCAAAGGTCACAAGCGAACATTGAGCGCTTCGATGTACAAGTTGATAAACTTTATGAAGAGTTAGACGTACAATACTTTCTGAGATAAAAATTACGGAAAAAGACGCGTGTAGTGGATTGTCTGAGAATTTAATTAGGATTCGATATTTGTAATAAATAGTAAGCGATTAAAGACAACATCGTCTTATGTATGCAATGATCTCTCCTCTGACTCCCAAGACGTGACGTAAACATGACCTGGTTTGATCGAATTTTAATAGCAGGGCATTCCTTCGCAATTACAATGTTTGAGAAGGATTTGAAGCATAATTATGACAAATTAATTAGTTTGAATATGTTTTTGGTCCATATATGCCATTAAATCACCCAGTTTGTACGCGGGAACCCATCTTTAATTCTCTGAAATTTTGCTTCAGCATTATTTTGTGTCATGTAAATTATGCTTCAGCAATATTTTGTGTCAAGTAGATTATGCTTCTATTTATATTTAGCCCGCAGAAGAATACATACATGTATTATAACCCTCTTCATTAGCTCATTAACAAGTATTTTGTTGTTTCATTATAGTTAGCTACAGATTTATTACATCCTCTGCCTGAAGATGAGAAGAAAAAACATAAACTCAAAAGAATAGTTCAAAGTCCTAACAGTTATTTCATGGATGTCAAATGCCCAGGTAATGTAGTTCATCAAATTAAAAATATAACTGGAGAAACTGTGGTTTTCAATCTACGTAGACACCTTCAAGAAATTTTACAAAATCAATACTGCCCAGGGATTTTTATACGCCCACATTTTCATGTGAATGTATATTGTCGTCGCCCCTGTCCGTCATCCGGACGTACGTCCGTCCGTCCGTCCACAATTGTTTGTGAACAGTCTACAGGTCACAATTTTTATCCGATTTCAATGAAACTTGAAATATAGGTTTATCACCCTAAGATCTCGGTTCCTTTCGATATTGGCATGTATCAGACTGTAACTTCATGGATTATGGCCCCTGATTGTACGAAAAATCACGTTTTTAGCTTGTGAACACTGTAGAGGTCACAATTTTTATTCAATTTTGTTGAAACTTGAAATGTATGCTTATAACCCAAAGATCTCGTTCCTTTCGATATTCGTGCATATCGGAACGGAACTTCCTGAATTATGGCCCCTGATTGTACTAAAAATCGCGTTATTTGGCTTGTAGACCCTATAGAGGTCATAATTTTTATCCGATTTAAAAAAAACGTGTTATTATATCATGTGAATGTATATTGTCGTCGCCCCTGTCCGTCATCCGGACGTACGTCCGTCCGTCCGTCCACAATTGTTTGTGAACAGTCTACAGGTCACAATTTTTATCCGATTTCAATGAAACTTGAAATATAGGTTTATCACCCTAAGATCTCGGTTCCTTTCGATATTGGCATGTATCAGACTGTAACTTCATGGATTATGGCCCCTGATTGTACGAAAAATCACGTTTTTAGCTTGTGAACACTGTAGAGGTCACAATTTTTATCCGATTTTGTTGAAACTTGAAATGTATGCTTATAACCCAAAGATCTCGTTCCTTTCGATATTCGTGCATATCGGAACGTAACTTCCTGAATTATGGCCCCTGATTGTACTAAAAATCGCGTTATTTGGCTTGTAGACCCTATAGAGGTCATAATTTTTATCCGATTTAAAAAAAACGTGTTATTATATCACCGTTACACCCTAAGGATGGCCTAGTTCGAATTTTGTGAAAATCGGCCCAAAACTGACAGACAAAATGGCCGCCCTTCGTTCTCAAATAGCGTAAAAATATGGTATATCAAGGTTGTGGACCCTATAGAGGTCACAGTTTTTATCCGATTTTGTTGAAACTTGAAATGTAAGTTTATAACACAAAGATCTCGGTTCCTTGCGATATTTGCGTATATCGGACCGTAACTTCCTGAATTATGGCCCCTGATTTTACGAAAAATCACGTTTTTAGCTTGTGAACCCTATAGAGGTCATAAGCAACTATTGATAGCGCAACATTTTAAACAATATCGTGTTGTGTTGAAACCTTACACTACTAAAGTTGCTTGTGATTGTTATCTGTGAAGTTGGATTTGTATCGTTTTTATACGCCCACATTTTCATGTGGACATAGATTGTTGTCGCCCCTGTCCGTCCACAATTGTTTCTGGACACTCTACAGGTCACAATTCTTATCCGATTTCAAAGAAACTTGAAATATAGGTTTATCTCCCTAAGATCTCGGTTCCCTTCGATATTGGCATGTATCTGACTGTAACTTCATAGATGGAAGTTTATAACCCAAAGATCTCGGTTCCTGAATTATGGCCCCTGATTGTACGAAAAATCACCTTTTTTGCTTGTTGACCCTATAGAGGTCATAATTTTTATCCGATTTAAAAAAAAAAACGTTTAAATATATCACCTTTATACCCTAAGGATGGTTGAGTTCGAATTTCGTAAAAATCGGACCCAAACTGACAGACAAAATGGCTGACCCTCGTACTCAAATAGCGTAAAAATATGATATCAAGGTTGTGGACTCTCTAAGAGGTCACAATTTTCTTCTGATTTTCATGAAACTTGAGATGTGAGTTTATAACCCAAAGATCTTGGTTCCTTTGGATATTCTCGCATATCGGATCGTAACTTCCTGAATTATGGCCCATGATTGTACGAAAAATCGCATTTTTAGCTTGTGATCCCTCTAGAGGTCACAATTTAATTATTATCCGATTTAAAAAAAACCAAAACTTGAAATGTATGCTTATAACCCAAAGATCTCGTTCCTTTCGATATTCGTGCATATCGGAACGTAACTTCCTGAATTATGGCCCCTGATTGTACTAAAAATCGCGTTATTTGGCTTGTAGACCCTATAGAGGTCATAATTTTTATCCGATTTAAAAAAAACGTGTTAGTATATCAAGGTTGTGGACCCTATAGAGGTCACAGTTTTTATCTGATTTTGTTGAAACTTGAAATGTAAGTTTATAACCCAAAGATCTCGGTTCCTTTCGTTATTTGTTCATATCGAATTGTAATTTTCTGAATTATGGCCCTTGATTGTAGAAAAAATCACTTTCTTTTTAGCTTGTTCTCTATCCATCTCTCGAAAATGTGGGCGTATCCTGCCTGGCAGCCGCTGGTTTTTTATGATTTAAATGGATAAAAATGTTTATTTCAACAAAAACATATTCTTCAGTAGATACATGTATCGCTTAAATTCGATATATGTATTGCCCCTCCATTGAAGTTAGCCATTATTTTAATACACCCCAATGGCCCCACATATCATTTGTACATTCCTGTTACCCTTTTCGTGCATCAAAATTTAGGTGGTGTTTAGAAATATGTTACTGAGACGAAGAATCCTGTTGATTACATTGAAAATCTTGTTGATCCTTGCAGTCAGTATACTTGCATTGTATTGGTTAGTGAGACATAGAAGTCTTATTATTTCTTTATTGTCCTTGATCACTTTTAAAATTGTCTGTACTTTAGAGGATACAGTTCCCCCCTTGATTGCATTTTGGACACTTGAGAGAGATTGAAGTTCTCCAAATGACTTGAATTTTATACATGTATGTATGCATTAAATTTCGATGATTTCTGATATTAAGCTTAATGGCTCTCCAATTGTCTTGATATTTACACTCAAAGTAAAAACACAATGCCTAAATCGTGAAATATTTCTGGTAAACGTTTTCTTGGGCTTTCCTATCTTATGGCACATAAGTGAAACTTGTGATGGGTCTCATTTTGTGGAGTTCTGGGTTTGAACCCAATATCAGTTCTTAGTGTTGAAAATCGGATCGAGATTTGTGATCCGAATACTTTTGTTTGCTATCCGAATACTATTCGTCGGATATTTCGGAAACATGAAATTCTTGAACAAAATCACATCAAAAGTTCATATACTCATAATTTCTTACTTATTTCAATGTTTATGAGTGTCTGCGTATGCCGAGAATGAAATCTTACTTTCGATTTGCAAATTGTTTGAGCCGCGAAGAAAAAAACGTGCCTACCTTTAGCCGCAATTATTAAGACTATTCATGATATCCAAAAAAAATCAACGAGGTGAATAAATTTGTGTATAACTACTCCTGTAATCCGCGGCCCTCCCACTCATCATTTTTGCTCAATCAACACGAATGAAGAAAGTAAAATAAAAACATCTAACATTTATTCCGCCATGCTCGTTTGCCTCATTCTGATAATCTACTGCTATTGAACCAATCAGTAAGTGAGAATATACGTGACCTAGGTCGTTGTGAATAAATTACAGTGCGGGAAGTCTAAACACAGTGTTAACTTGTATCCCGTAAACCCAAGAAGTAGCTTCTATCTAGCATAAACCAGGGCGAGGAATGAATGAATACTTTTTTTATTTGGACTACTGTTTTCGTTGCACTGCATTAATATTTTTGTCCCCCGCCTTTCGAACAAGCAGGGGACTATTAAAATGGGTTCGTCCGTCTGTCTGTCTGTCCGTCTGTCTGTCCGTCACACTTTTTGGGACACAATAACTCTCTTCCTAATTGAGCTAGAATGTTCAAACTTGGTGTATGTGTTTATTAGGTCAATGCCTTGATGGAGTTCGAAGATGAGCATTTTCCGCTTAGGGTAAGCAGAGATAAGCAATTTGATTGGTTGATGCTTTGGGACACGATAACTCTCTTCCTAATTGGGCTAGAATGTTCAAACTTGGTGTATGTGTTGATTAGGTCAATGCCTTGATGGAGTTCGAAGATGAGCATTTTCCGCTTAGGGTAAGCAGAGATAAGCAATTTGATTGGTTGATGCTTTGGGACACGATAACTTTTAATTGAGCTAGAATGTTCAAACTTGGTGTATGTGTTTATTAGGTCAATACCTTGATGGAGTTCGAAGATGAGCATTTTCCGCTTAGGGTAAGCAGAGATAAGCAATTTGATTGGTTGATACTTTGGGGCACGATAACTCTCTTCCTAATTGAGCTAGAATGTTCAAACTTGGTGTATGTGTTAATTAGGTCAATGCCTTGATGGAGTTCGAAGATGAGCATTTTCCGCTTAGGGTAAGCAGAGATAAGCAATTTGATTAGATGAGCATTTTCCGCTTAGGGTAAGCAGAGATAAGCAATTTGATTGGTTGATACTTTGGGGCACGATAACTCTCTTCCTAATTGAGCTAGAATGTTCAAACTTGGTGTATGTGTTGATTAGGTCAATGCCTTGTCAATGCTTTAGGACAAGATAACTTTGATAGAGAGTGATGAAACTTAAGTGTATAGTTGATAATCAGTTTGATTGCTTGATACTTTAAAAAAAATAAATGTGCGATAAATTAATGTGTCATCTATTTATTTTGGTATTTTGGCGGGGGACATCAGCCTCACTGTTGGCTTGTTATTAGTTACTATCGCTAAATAATACGCGTGATATTAACATTTATGCTCAAAGCTGCGTACGTGATCAATAGCATTGGTGAAAATTTCAAAGTAATCAGATGTAAAAATGGCTAAATATAGAGCATAAGGAAAGTCAGAATATATTGTAACGAATAGTAAACGGATAGTAAAATGATTTGGATAACCCTTATTTTGTATCCGTTAACGGATATCCGAATAGTAGTTTCAACACCATCAGTTCTCGGTAATGAACTTGGTTTGTGTAAACGCAACAGTTGTCTATTTTCACGTACCATGTCACACGTTTTGCACATGCATTCCCTGAACTCTGGCCCTTTAAATACAGATCAAAATTTCAACGTTCATCACTCGGGGGGGGGGGGGGAATGCCACGCCTTACACAAGAAAACGGGAACAGAGCTATTGGCATGCTGGATCAGGGGGCTTCACAGGTAGCCGTCGCCAGACACTTTAATGTCCACCCATCGACCATTGCTTACCTCACTTCCACGACACTGGAAGAGTTGCCGATCGACCCTAACCTGGAGCGCCACCTGTAAGAACCGCTGCTCAAGATCGCCACATCCGACTACAGCATCTGCGCAACAGGTTCCAGTAAGCTACTGCTAACTCTCGGGGAGGACTGTTGGAACACGGCAACGTAAGATCAGCCCTCAAACAGTGCGAAGGCGTGTTTTTAATGTTCAGAAAACTCATAAAATATAAGTAGTGTTCAGAAAACTCATAAAATATAAGTAGTGTTTTTGTTTCATTTACGAGCAATCATTGTTTGATAATATTATATTTTTTCAGGCTGCTACAAAATCACAACAGTGTTTAGTCATGCACAAACAGTAGTGTTATGTGTAGGTTGTTCCACAGTCTTGTGTCAACCAACAGGAGGAAAAGCCAGATTAACAGAAGGTAAAATATAGAGTTTTATTGTACTGTAGATGTCACATTACAAACTGAATAGTAGTTATTTTGTATACAAGTCAAATAAAATAGATTATGTGACATGTGCTTATACAGAGATTATCCTAGGTCTTTTGGGAGTTCCAAAAGCCAAAAAGGAGTCATATTGCCCAGATTAGACGTCAACATTTTCCAATAGTAGTCATTCTGTATTTATAATTGAAAAGTGTAATAAAAATCACATTTGCTTTCTATTCTAATGTTTGGGTGTCAAGTTATTCTTTTTCACCTACAAAAAGGGAACAGTTAACAAATTTAGAGAAAGTAAAAGACTGTGGTTAGAAAGTCATTAAAAGCTAATCCAATCACAAGGAAAGGTGTGACATAAACATTTCTTTTGCTGCTTAGTATAAATGGTACTGAACAATCGTAAATTAACTCATTGTTATCGGGAAATAGCTACGCCGCAACACTTCTTTTGAATGAAGGTCACAATTATATCAAATAGTAGTATTGTCAAGTATGGGTTCAGTCCTACCATTCCCTTCGCTGTCAATGTATACTAGCTCATTTGCTTGGTGACTGGTTATGTACATGTATGGTCAGTAATTGCCAGGCGCACCCGCATGTTAATTGACAAGTTACACCTGATATGTCAGTAAAAAGTAAGAGTATAGTTACAAGATTTATAGTAAAAATTTTGAAAATTGCAGCCATTTATATTCTGAATTCATTGTAAATAATTCTCAGTATTTTTTGTAACCTTTCAGGCTGCTCTTTCAGAAGGAAACAACATTAAACCTGATGTGATTTGGTGGTGACCTGACCTATTTTATCTACAAGACTGAACTTAAAATGTGTGCAGTTACTGTGCATCATCATTTATTTAAGCATCTTTAAAGATGTGATGTGTTATAAAAATTTCAATAAAATTGGTTCAGGATATCCACTGAAAAAAAGTGTTCAGCTTATCTTTATACGCCCACATTGAAATGTGGTCGTATATTGTTGTCGGTCCGGCGTCCACATTTGCTTGTGGAAGCTCTAGAGACTAAAGTTAATATCCGATTGACTTTAAATTTGTACAGTGTTTAAGGTCATTTGCTGAAGAAGCCTATTGATTTTCAGCGATTTCCGATAATTACTGCCAGAGTTATGGCCCTTGATCATTTCAAAAAATCTTGTGGACGTTCCAGAGGCTAAAGTTAGTATCCGATTGACTTTAAATTTATACCCAGTGTTTAAGGTCGTGAGACAAGACTATTCATTATCAGCGATTTTCAATAATTACTGCCAGAGTTATGGCCCAAAAAATCTTGTAAATGCTCTAGAGGCTAAAGTTAATATCCGATTGACTAAATTTATACACAGTGTTTAAGGTCATGAGATGAAGAAGTCTCTTCATTTTCAATTGCTGCCAGAGTTATGGCCCTTATCACTTCAAAAAATCTTGTAAATGCTCTAGAGGCTAAAGTTAATATCCGATTGACTTTAAATTTATACACAGTGTTTGAGGTCATGAGAAGAAGAATCGTATTGATTTTCAACGATTTCTGATAATTACTGCCAAAGTTATGGCCTTTGATCACTTTGAAAAATCTTGTGACACACTAGAGGCTAAAGTTATCATTTGTATCTGATTGACTTCAGATTGATACAGAGTTTAAGGTCTTGAGACGAACAAGTACATGTATATTGATTTTCAATGAATTTTGATAACTTGAACAGCTAAATCCATGATATTAAATGTTTCGTATACTAAATGTTAGCATGGGGCAGAACTTTATAAAAACCAAACAAATGCTAATGGTTTTCTGATAATTACTTAATAAGTTGTTACTCTTAATCAGATTTTAATGCATTATAAATGTTTTATTACCGAAAGAAAAAAAGTAAAAATATGCGACAACTCTTGTTGACTGCCTGGACAATTTAGCTGCTGTTGGCGTATGTTTCGTTGCCTGGCAACCTATCTTTAATGATGTAACTATGATGTGTTTCCTGATACTGATACATGTGATATTAGTACTTAATAATGATAACATTTCTGAAATCCAAAGAACAAGAATTTTGTTAGGATTTTTTTCATGGGAACTTGCTATCTACAGGCAGGTCCATTGTTGTCCAAATCTGAAATTAATACTTTATGAAAACTAGGTCTTGGTCCATAAACTTTATTTTAATCAAATTAATCAAAAATTGAAAAAAAAACCAACTTCAAACATAATAGTAAGCAACTATTGACAGCGCAACATTTTACACAATATCGTGTTGTGTTGAAACCTTACACTACTAAAGTTGCTTGTGATTGTTATCTGTGAAGTTGGATTTGTATCGTTTTTATACGCCCACATTTTCATGTGGACATAGATTGTTGTCGCCTCTGTCCGTCCACAATTGTTTCTGGACACTCTACAGGTCACAATTCTTATCCGATTTCAAAGAAACTGGAAATATAGGTTTATCTCCCTAAGATCTCGGTTCCCTTCGATATTGGCATGTATCTGACTGTAACTTCATAGATTATGGGCCCTGATTGTATGAAAAATCGCATTTTTAGCTTGTGGACCCTATATAGAGGTCACAATTTTTATCTGATTTTGTTGAAACTTGAAATGGAAGTTTATAACCCAAAGATCTCGGTTCCTGAATTATGGCCCCTGATTGTACGAAAAATCACGTTTTTAGCTTGTTGACCCTATAGAGGTCATAATTTTTATCCGATTTAAAAAAAAAAACGTTTAAATATATCACTTTTATACCCTAAGGATGGTTGAGTTCGAATTTCGTAAAAATCGGACCAAAACTGACAGACAAAATGGCTGACCCTCGTACTCAAATAGCGTAAAAATATGATATCAAGGTTGTGGACTCTCTAAGAGGTCACAATTTTCTTCTGATTTTGATAAAACTTGAGATGTGAGTTTATAACCCAAAGATCTTGGTTCCATTGAATATTATCGCATATCGGATCGTAACTTCCTGAATTATGGCCCCTGATTGTACGAAAAATCGCATTTTTAGCTTGTGATCCCTCTAGAGGTCACAATTTAATTATTATCCGATTTAAAAAAAACAAAACGTTCAAATATATCACCGTTACACCGTAATTTTGATTGAGTTTGGTTTAAAAACTGTTTAAATATATCACCATTCCACCATAATGAATGTTGAATCGAATTTCGGGAAAACTGAAATGAAACTGCCCGACAAAATGTCCGCAAATTGTGTAGAAGTATGCAATACGAAGTTTGTGGACCCTCTAGAGGTCATAATTTTTATCCGATTTTGATGAAACTTAAAACACTTCTTTATATCCCTTTTGATATTTGCGTATTTCAGACCATAACTTTCTGGATTATTGCCCCTGATTGTACAAAAAATCCTGTTTGTTTCTAGCTTGTTCTCTATCCATCTCTTGCAAAATGTGGGTGTATCCTGCCTGGCAGCTGCTGGTTTTCAATGTTTCAATCAGATTGATTTTATTTTAACAAATACATTTTCAAAAACCAAGTAAAAACAGAAACAACCAATTTTAAAATTTATTTCAGAAACCTCTAGTTAATACATTTTAGAAAAATAATTTATTAACTGAATTATCTGGATGATTTTATAAATTTTTTCGAAAAGATTTAACCAATAAAAACGGAATCCATTGGTAATAATGGGGAAAATATCGTTGAGAATGAGGGATTGATAACCAAGATATTAGGCTTAAAAATTAAGATGGAAAATAATGTTTTTGTTTGCATACTTTCACTTTATTTATATTCTGACACATTTCTCCCACGCTTTAATTTGTTAAGTCTTTGATCAGATCCTGCAAACTATTGAACAGGTCCCAATTACTGCTGATTACTGAGTGACATTTAGACGACTTCTGTGTCCCCAGTGGTGTTGTTCCGTTCTACTCCATCATTGTTTGAAGCCTATTTAAAAAGTCACTTAGTAAAAGGCAGTGATTGTATTCTATACAATTGTGGCATATTGATAAGGCATATTGGTCTGTTGAGATTTTTAATATAATGTACTTCAACTGAAAAAGCTGAGGAAGGCTTTTTGTGAACCAGGCCATTTCTATTTATACATACATTATGCAAGAGCTAAATCTGCCTATTGTAGGTTTTTCTTTATGCCTTAAACATACATTATGCAATAGCTAAATCTGATTATTGCAAGTCTTTATTTAGGCTTCAGATGTCATAGAAATTATAAATTAGATCTTTATTTATACAACAAGCACAAAATCAACTCTGTAGACCCACGGATGGCTTGGATTTAAACAGGATTTCATTGATTGATTAAATTTTTAAATGGCATTGTAAGCAGAGATTTACCGTTAGGTTGACGTCATACTCCCGGAAATTTTAGATTGAGGCTAAATGATAGAGTGTACGAAGCGAGGCCGCTGTTGAGCGAGCCAGCATGTCAGTCAATTTGATTGAAAGTTCGATATTACGGCCTTGATATTATGTTTAGTTGTGGTTAAAATGAGAGTTTGGATGTCGGTATTATACGATCGTTTGTCACTTGCGTTTACAGAAAAATTATGGAAATTGATAAACATCGTAGCTAACATCACCCCAGTTGAATTGCAGCCCCATTGGATCACTTTTTCCTATTAGTATTTGTCTGCTTCGGGAGTTACGTAGACCTACCAGTTACAGTACACGCAGGCTAACAAGAAGTCGGCTATAATTATGCCTCATTGATTTGGTCCATTCCTTTCAAACTTTCGCTTCTTGTCTATATATTAAAAGTCTTATTTTTGATTTGTAGTAAAAATAAATGTGATACGAACTGAATTGCAACCAATGCAACCCCGTCTCAAACCGAGTAGGCTAACGGTACCACAGCCATTGAAAACGTTACTTGATAATTGAGATTATGTATGTGGAGTTAACGCCTGTCAAACGATCGGCCATTCTCGGAGACGGTGAAGAGAGAGTTGACTCCTATTTCTAGTCAAAAATTACAATGGTGATAACTTTGATAAGAATAAAGTAATTTGACTAAAATTTTCAATATATTCTTCTTTCATCTATTTTTGAACTGTTATAGCAAGAATGGCCAACTCTCTATTAAAATCTCCCATAATGTATCTTTAAATGTGACATGACCATAATTAACTCTTCAAGTCTTGATGCCATCTGACAGGTCTGATTTTCAACAGATTTGAATCCCTATCTGCAGTTCAACAGCCATTGATGATTAAATATAAAAATGAATAATCAAGACTTTGTTTATTATCTTAACAACGGTAATGATGACAATCGATGCTACAGTGTTATTAAAATGAGGATTTCTCGCTTCAGAGTGGAGTAAATCGATTGAAATATTTAGCATATTCCCTTTCCACTATCTATTTTTTTAACTATTATAGCAAGAACTGTCAGCTCTATCTAATCTTCCATAAAGCTGCTTTACATTAAAATAGCACTGTTGAGATATGTGTTTATGATCTGGCTTGTTGTGATTTAAGGTCAATTGTTTTAATAACAAACATTAAATATTCAAAATAACATTTATTTCCATTATCAGTGATATTCTTCAGCTGAGTTTGCTATGAAAGGATTCTTGTAAATGTTTTTGCCTGCAAGTCCTTTATGTTAGTTCAAAGAAAGTCACACAAGTAAGTAGTAGTGGTCATCCACTACACTAATAGTTATCTGATACGAGATGTGGTTCCATATATTGGGAATCTTTGAGAGATTTTAACAGCTCATTACTACAAAAACCAGCTGTACATAATGTAAAATATCGGAAGGGTGGTGGAGTGTGTTTAGTTGTCTGGAATTCCCCATTTTCATCAACATCTATTTTGAGTAAATAGTTGCTATAGACAAATGTTCCATGATTAGCTATTTCCCAGATAGCATTTCCTGCATTGGTACTTACATGAGAAAGGCAAGGATAATCTGCTAAACTAGATACAGACCGACACCATCTAACAAGAGATAGATCAATTTTCTCTGGGAACATCCATTCTTCAATGACCCAGTCATATTTCCTTTTCCAACCATCAGCATCTACTATATGTAAATTATCTCCCTTGACAAGCACACGAACTGGTGATGAAAGATAACATGGCCCTGAAAATTTCTTTATTGTTGATGTAACAGAATCAAACACGTGTCCCTCCTTGATTTCTAGTAAATTTTTACCAAGACTTATAACTATGTTGGCCTTGATGACAATAACTTGCTTACTACAAGCATTAACCAAAGATGCTGGTGTGGATGAGTGTTTATGTTCTACTTCTGCTTTCAATGACCAAGTTAGATCTGATTCAAGTTGAAAATATTTCTGCTGTGCCACATATTGATCAGGACTTGTTCTATTCTCTCTGCTGGCTGGCACACAATTGGAAACCAAAACAATAAGTTTGCCATCCACAGATAGAGGTATGGCACTCTTGGCCTCCTCATTAAATGTATTCAACATATATTTAATGCAAATTTCCTTGCATATTAAAGATTTAAGACACAGAGAATAGCACAACTTTTGATACAGACTGACAAAATAAATATGATCGTTAACTGTGGCTGCCTTCCAATTGTTTTTATTATCGAATCTAGAAAAAGGTGTAAAAACCCCAACATTCAACCAATTTTTCAGTTCCATATCATATATTGCCAGCTTCATGACTTGCCTCTCCTTAGAATGCTGATGTAAATTAATTCTTTTGCCTTCTTTATATTCGTATTCTTTGTTGCATATATTTGAAATAACATCTTGACCAGGTGCCACCAGGACCAGGCAGTTTGAATGTACAGGAAAAACTTGATTACCTGATAGTTCAGTAGGGTTTTTGGTTGTTGGTACATTTTCATATAAAACTTGAGGAATGATTTCTCGTGCATGGAGGATAGCATGGATTCTATCTTGAACACTCTGTAAAAATTCATTGGTAATATCATCGCCCATTTGACTACTTAAGAAGACATTTATTTTAGTCAAGGACACACTATCTAGATGTTGAGCTATATGATGAATTAATTCCAAACTTTCAGACTTGTATGTTTCTCTATCATCTAAGTTTTGGTTAATCCATCTTAACAGAAACATAACAATCTTTGAAAGTGAGCAATATCTATGGACATTTTTCGTGAATAGAAGTTTCATCTGATTGATTGATAATATCAATATATCTTCTTGATAGATAAAATGATCATGGAAGCGTCCTTCCATAACAGTGAAACACTTTTCTTGAAGAAGTGATATGTCATAAGTTAAGGCTAATATATATGCTTGTACAATATTTTGGAGCCTGCTATATGTCATTGACAAAAGTTTATCAACTAGGCAATCTTTAAGCTGCTCGAACATAAAAAAGGATGCTAAGTGATATAAAGCAGATACATTTGAAGCTGTTACTTTACAGCACCCATCATACAAAGCACACACAAAGGTTTCTAAATGTTCAACATTTTCTACACTATGGCTCATGTCAATATCAACAACACCATTTTCAGATTCCTGAAAATTTCCAGAAAACATGGCTTCAAAGTAGGCACTTCTTGCTGCTAATACATTTCTGTGGGCTTTGATGCAAACGTCATTAACCCAAAGATTCACGTCACAAAATCTTTTATCTTTACGGAATTGACCCAAAGTTTTAACCAGATCCTGTTTAAATTGCTCCAGGTGTGCCAAATATATCACATTATCTTCCTCCATGTTCATTAAACTTAGTAACATCAACTCTTGGATGATATTCAACTGAAATTAAAATGAAAATAATTAAAAAATTAATTACCATTACGTAGCTACTTTAATATAAAAAAAAGGGCACATCAAACAAAGATTGGCCTGACAAGTTTACCATTCAATCGACATGTCAGATCTGAATTTCATACAATTTTAATTTACATTTATTCTAGTTTGAATTCTCTCTTAAACATACATTATGCAAGAGCTAAATCTTCCTTTTGTAAGTCTTTATTTAGGCTTCAGATGTTACAGAAATTATTAATTAGACCTTTATTTGCATGACAAGCTCAAAATCAACTCTGTAGGCCCCTTATGGCTAGGATACAACTTGGATTTAAAATTAAATCAATAAATGGCTGACCAAGCTAATGTTTACTGTTAGTTGCCGACATCACTACCTGAAACTGGTGATGAAAGGCCTGCCAAGCGAGATTGCCATTGAGAATGTTACTTGATAATCGAGACTATGTGGGTGGAGTTATTGTCTGTCAAACGATCGGAAATTCCTGTACATGGTGCAGACATAGTTGATGCCTATTTCTAGTCCAAACTTCCAACAGTGACAACTTTGTTCAAAATAAAGTAATTTGTTGACTGATATTTTACCTGGTAATTTTTTGGGGGGTTTTGTAATGAGAGAGAGAGATAGAGAGAAATGGGTTTATTGTCCACTTGACAATTATTTCAATAACTCATTTGCGTCTTTAGCAGTGGGAGGAAACCGGAGGACCCAGAGAGAACCCATGAGGTTGGACAGGCGACCCTACTCTTTGTTATGTATAGCTACGAGAACGTAACTAAAAACGCTGAGATCTGATGTGCTTGTTTTTAGCTACGATTGGATGCCTTTAGTTCCAAGTGGCAAACTCAATTTCTTTATTAATGTATGTATCATCTTAAAAATAAGTTAATTTTATACTATTAGTACTTATTACACATACGCAGTCCAATCTACTGAAACAACATTCATTTATCAGCAAATATTGACAATAAAGTAAATCAAGCGTTGTTTTTATCAAAATTGATTCTGACGTTCATAATTACGCCGTATTACTACTGCGCAACTCTGATCAGATGGGTACTTTGATTGGCTATTGCACACAAGGCCCCGCCTTTATGTGTTACAGACGTAAATTTTAAATGTCGGAAAAAGCAATCTACTGTCGCTTCGATTTAAAAAGCGGGGATTTGTACCCGTTTCAGGTAGGATTATATGCTTAATTGTAGTTGGGTGTGGCAGAAATATTATAAATAACAATGACAATAACCAATCGTTTTTTTGATTAAAAATATTGTCAATTTTGTTTACAAATGCAGGGTGCGAATCGCTCCAGCATGTGCTACATTGAAGGTAATGGCATCCTCTCTTATCTCGAAACATGGAGGGTTGAGAGATTAAGGTTTGTTATCGATGTTATGTACAACACGTGGAATCAAAACCACACCACTTGACTCAATGACAGACCTTATGGTTCCAGGCGCAGCGGTTGGACCAATGGACGTACCACCCAACCCCGGGTTTTGTAATGTTTTATGGCCCAAAAAGTTTTGTTAAACTTAAACTTACTTAAACTTTACGGCCTCCTGATGATTAATAATGTCATCGACATTGATCATTGATTGTCCATTGTGATTGTTGACTGGATGGCAGTTATTTAGTACATGTACTTCCTCTGCTGTTAGTGTTACCTACTACGATTGCCGTTAGAAGGGTATCGAAACATATCCATCTTTAAGAGGTTTATAAAGGAGTAACTTTTTTGAGGACAGTGATCGGCATGTGGCAGGTTGGTTTTATAAAAACCAAAACACAACCATCTTAAACTAAAGGGACCTTACTCGCACGACGGTGAATGTCGCGAATAACCAGTTGTAATATTTAGATTTGAAATCATTGCAGATGACGTCATATTATAGACGTGATTCTCTGAAATAATTATATTAATATGCACGCTTTTTAATAAAGATCTGGCTGACGTCTGTCCACAAATTGTTTGTGGGCACTCTACTGGTCACAATTTCTTTTTATCTTATCCGCTTTTGACGAAACTTGAACTATAGGTATTCCAAAGATCTGTTCCTTTCGATATTTCATGTTATGGGCCGTATACTTCATGGATATATTATATGGCCCTTGATTGTACGAAAAATCATGTTTTTACCTTGTGGACACCCCAGAGGTCACTATTTACATCCGATTTTGATGACACTTAAAATGAGTAGCGGATTATAGCGGATTGTACCAGAGGTGTCAGCCTCCGGCCCGACAAAATGGCCGCACTTTGTACGCAAATTGTGTTGAAACTTAATAAAACATATCTTTATATCCCAAAGATATCAGTCCCTTTTGATATTTGGGCATTTCATACCATAACTGTCTAGATTATTGTCCCTGATTGTACAAAAAATCCTGTTTGTTTTTAGCTTGTTCACTATCCATCTCTTGCAAAATCTGGGCGTATCCTGCCAGGCAGCCGCTGGTTATACCTGCAGTGGGTGAGATATAGATAGAATAAAATGACATACCTAAACAGAGCTAGAATAAAATGACATACCTAAATTGAGCTATTTTGGTACCTTGGAGCACTTTAAGTCGGGGGATCACGTGGCTAAGTGGGTAAGGCGCTGGCTCGCTAGCCTGGAGGTCGGGTGTTCGATCCCTGCATTGGCCGAGAAAGTTCATCTCGATTTTCCGGCGTGATTTCCCCTTGTCAGTGATGCAGAACGGAGGGCCTGACAAGGACAGCTGCCTAGTCGTTCGGATGGGACGAAAAACCAAGGTCCCGTGTACACATTGGCGTGCACGTAAAAGATCCCTTGGCAGTTGGAATTCGATATAAGAGTAGGCCGTAGCGCCGCTGCCCGGGCAAAATTTCCTTCATAGCACACTGTATGGCGTATGCCCGTCTTAAATTAGCCCAGGTTAGGTGCAGAAGAGTAGGACGTTAAACCCCATTTCATTTCATTTCTCTATAACAAATACCTCTCGATGAAAGTCCATCAAGCTTTCAGAATACTCACTAACCATATCTGCTACCCTATTTCATTAATCTACGCGCTTTTTTTGGTCTTAAATAAAATTTCAAATTGTTTCTACACCCTAAAAATGTTTCGATTAATCTAAAGTTGTGGCAGGGGGGGGGGGGTGGAGAAGTTACCCATCATTCGTAAAAAAAAAATGGTGAAAATAGCTCTCCAACCATGTGCCGGTCCCTGATGGTTCTTTCGCAAACGCATTCTTAAGTGACTATGTTAGACTATCCTTTAAATACGGACCCTGGTGTTATATGTTAGACCTTAACAAGTGCATTGTTACACCATTTTCATGTGGACGCATCATGTGGACGCATAGTGTTTGTGGACACTCTACAGGTCACAATTCTTATTCGATTTTGACGAAACTTGAAATATAGGTTTATCCCCAAACGATCTCGGTTGCTTGGCATGTATCGGTTCGACACATCATGGATTATGGCCCCTAATTGTACAAAAAATCGCATTTTAGCCTGTGGTCCCTCTAGAGGTCAATTTTAGGAGCAAAACAGTAGGAGTTGGAATTTCGTGAAAATCGGACAAAATGGCCGCCCCTTGTACGCTAATAGTGTAAAAAAATATGGTATATCAAGGTTGTGGACCGTCTAGAGGTCACAATTTTTTTCCGGTTTTGATGAAATTTGAAATGCATGTTTATAAGATCTTGGCTGTTTTCTATATTCGCGCATATCGGATCGTAACTTCCTGAATTATGGCCCCTGATTGTACGAAAAATCGCGTTTTTAGGTTGTCGTGCCTCTAGAGGTAACAATTATTATCCGATTTAAAAAAAAAAACACTTGAATATATCACCGTTACACCGTAAGGAAGGTTGAGTTCGAATTTCGTGAAAATCGGACCAAAATATCCGCACCTTGTACGCTAATAGTGTAAAAATATGCATGGTATATCAAGGTTGTGGATTCTCTAGAGGTCACAATTTTAATCAGATTTCGATGAGACTTGAAATGCATGTTTATATCACAAAGAACTTGATTTCTTTCGATAATCGCGCACATCCAAAAGTAACTGCCTGGATTATGACACCTGATTGTTTTCGAAAAATCACATTTTTAGCTTGTGGGCCCGCTATAAGTCACAATTTGTATTCAATTTTAAAAACCGTTTAAATATATCACCATTACACATCAATGAAGGTTGAGTTCCAATTTCATAAAAATGTGACCGAAGTTGTCGGACAAAATGGCCGCTCCTTGTACGCAAATAGTGTAAAAGTATGTAATACCAAGGTTGTGGACACTCTAGAAGTCACAATGTTTATCAAATTTTGATGAAACATGAAATGTATGTTTATGACCCAAATATCTTGGTTCCTTTCGATATTTGCGCAGATCAGATCGTAACTTCCTGGATTAGGGCCCCTGACTGTACGAAAAATCACGTTTGTTTTAAAAAAACGTTTAAATTTATTACCGTTACACCTTAGCGATGGTTGAGTTCGAATTTCGTGAAAATCGTACTGAAACTGCCTGACAAAATGACCGCTCCGTGTATGCAAATAGTATAAAAGTATGTAATACTTTATGTAACTTAAAATTTATATTTATGCCCGAAGATCTCCCTTCCTTTCTTATTTTTAGCTTGCGGAGCCTCCAGAGGTCACAATTTTTATCCATTTTTAAAAACTGTTGAAATATATCACTGCTACGCCATAATGTTGGTTGAATTAGAATTTTGTAAAAATCGGATCGAAACTGCGTGTCAAAACGGCCGATCCTTGTACGCAAATAGTTTTATCCATTTTTAAAAACTGTTGAAATGTATCACTGCTACGCCACAATGTTGGTTGAATTTGAATTTTGTAAAAATCGGATCGAAACTGCTTGACAAAATGGCCGCTCCTTGTACGCAAATAGTGTAAAAGTATGTAGCCCTAATACAAGGTTGTGGAATGTGGACCCTCTAGAGGTTACAATTTTGATCCGATACATGTTTATATCCCGACGATCTAGGTTCTGTAGATATTCCATATATCGGTCCGTACAACTTCCTGGATTATGTCAGACTGTAACTTCCTGGATTATGGCCCTTGATTGTACGAAAAATTGCTTCTTTTTTTAGCTTGTTCTCTGTCCATCTCTTGCAAAATGTGGGCTTATCTTGCATGGCAACCTCTTGTTCAAATATGATTTTCTTTGTTTTCTTCCCATTTGGTGCTAAATCATGTCATTGTTTTTATCAAACCTGCTCGTATGTGATTATTCAAAATTTATGATAGTAAAACTATTTTGTTATTAAGGAAATATACACAACGAGTCAGGGACGCAATATTAAGATTTTTATACTCTGATCATGGACCTTATAATAGGTATTATAAGGTCCTATTTCAAAAGGCAAAGGTCCCAAATATGTATGTTTTAAAACTATATAATGTTAACATTCTGCTTAAATTAAATGAAAGCCTACATTTTGAAATATCAACTTAGGTTTACAATCTGGGTGTGATGAAATGACATTCGTACACAATTTGCCGACAATACTTTAATAGTGTGTCCTTGCCTGACAAAAGAAGGAAGTATCTCATTTCAATTTAAGTACTGTTTGATAACAGGGAAGTACATGTGATTTATTTGCGATCGAATAAGACCGGATTTAAAATTGTAGCGCCTGGTTTAGCAAGCACCAAAACGATGAATGTGATGGATAAAAACACGAAAGGGTAATTTTATAATTTTTAATGATCCTGTTATTCTTGACTTTTCCCAATGATGCTACACTGTTAAAATTATATGTATATTTACAGTTATAATTATAGTAACCAGTGGCTGCCAGGCAGGATACGCCCACATTTTGCAAGAGATGGTTAGTTTAGACTACTTTTTTATACATTTCACCGATATGGTTACTTGTATAGTTGAATTTTACTTCATATGCTTACATTCGTATTTCGTGTCGCATATAGCAGATCATGACTCATGCTGGCATTGCACAATGGTTTCTTTGGGTTGTATTCCTGATTGTTTTCAAATTTGAGTGAAGTCACTTTTTTTGAATTGTCTGTCTGTTTGTGTTTTCCTGAGTACGATGTCTTGTCCGTGTATTTGTTTTTGTGTAAATTTTGTGTGGTGCAGCCCCCCTGCACTTACTAGAGAACATGCTAAACAAAAAGCGATTTGTCGTACAATCAGGGGCCATACGATCCTATATGCGCAAATATCGAAAGGAACCAAGATCTTTGGGTTATAAACTTACGTTTCAAGTTTCATCAAAATCAGAAGAAAATTGTCACCTGACAAAATGGCCGCCCCTCGTTCGCAAATTATAGCGTCAAAATATTGTGTATCAGGGCTGTGGACCCTCTGGAGGTCACAATTTTCATCTGATTTTGATGAAACTTGAAATGCATCTTTATAACCCACAGATCTCGGTTCCTGTAGATATTTGCGTATATCGGATCATAACTTCTTGAATTATGGCCCCTGATTGTACGAAACATCGCGTTTTTAGCGTGTGGACCCCATAGAGGTCACAATTTTTATCCGATTTAAAAAACCGTTACAATATATCACTGTTACACCATAAGTATGGTTGAGTTCGAATGTCGTAAAAATCGGACCGAAACTGACAAAATGGCCGCCCCTCGTTCGCAAATAGTGTCAAAATATTGTGTATCAGGGTTGTGGACACTCCGGAGGTCACAATTCCCATCTGATTTCGATGAAACTTGAAATACATGTTTATAACCCACAGATCTCGGTTACTTTCGATATTCGCGCATATCGGACCATAACTTCCTGAATTATGGCCCCTGCTTGTACGGAAAATCACGTTTTTAGCTTGTGGACCCCATAGAGGTCACAATTTTTATCCGATTTAAAAACCGTTACAATATATAACTGTTACACCCTAAATGTCTGAGTTCGAATTTCGTATAAAAAGGGACCGAAACTGACAAAATGGCCGCCCCTCGTTCGCAAATAGTGTCAAAATATTATGTATCAGGGTTGTGGACCCTCTGGAGGTCACAATTCTTATCTGATTTTGATGAAACTTGAAATGCATGTTTATAACCCACAGATTTCGGTTACTTTCGATATTCGCGCATATCGGACCACAACTTCCTGAATTATAGCCCCTGATTGTCACAATTTTTATCCGATTTAAAAAATCGTTTGAATATATCATCATTACACACTAAGATCTTGGTTCCTTTTGATAATATTGCGGATACCCGAACTTAACTTCCTGGATTATGGCCCCTGATTGTTCGAAAAATCGCAATTTTAGCTTGCAGATTCTCTAGAGGTCACAATTTTTTTTCCGATTTTAAATACATTACCATTCTGCCATATTGAAGGTTGAATTCGTATTTCAGGAAAATCGAAATGAAACTGCCCGACAAAATGGCCGCTCTTTGTACGCAAATTGTGTAGAAGTGTGTAATACGAAGGCTGTGGACCCTCTAGAGGTCACAATTTTTATCCGATTTTGATGAAACATAAAACATATCTTTATATCCCAAAGATCTCTGCCCCTTTTGATATTTGCACATTTCAGGCCATAGCTTTCTGGATTATTGCCCCTGATTGTACAAAAAATCCCGTTTGTTTTTAGCTTGTTCTCTATCCATCTCTTGCAAAATGTTGGCGTATCCTGCCTGGCAACCACTGGTTATACTTTCGATGCCCTATCTACACTACACCTATCTACACTACAAGATCTGACCGTTTGTATAGCGATAGGTCGCGTCAGAGTTCATACGAGATCCTAGTGTAGTAAAGACAAGTGAAACTAAATTTTGAACTATAAAAACGAAACGAAATAGGATCTGTGTTTTAATATTCGCTAGGCCGCTACAATCACTGATAAAGATGACATCAATGCGACTTAATGAGTCTCAAATATTACCTTTTTTCCACCGACAAATTAAATTCTAAAACATTTTTTTGATGTATTAGAAAAATAAATAAAGACGTTTGACGTATTTGTAAGTAAAAATTATTTCCTATTTAGTATAAATTTATGGGTATTAAAATGACTAAAAGGCAGCATTCTGCCCGAGGCAGTAACGTCTTATATAAACAATGCACGCGACATTCAGCCAATGATTGACGCCGCGTGCTGTGATGGCACGTGTTAAAGGCAGTCATCTTTTACAGAGATATTAGAAGACTCGTAATTCTCTGTGAAACAGATTGTGGCCGTACATCTTAGAACTTTCTAAATTAAGATATGGTCCCGTCTGCCATTGATTTATTCTACAATCGGCAGCTATTATTAGCATAATCTGTTGTTAAAGACAAAGACTGTGGATGTCATATAATATTGTTTAAAGATAGCAACAAATTAAGAGTTGAAATTTGATCTCATCGTAATTATGGACGTTTAAGATTAAAAAGATGAAGTTTCAAGCTCTAAAGCAAACTCCATTAAAATCAACGTAGAAGACTATCTGGACCAAAAAAAATAGAAGGCACCCAAATATAGTCAAGATGCAGACCAATGTGTGATTTGTTTTTCTTTTGATTAAGAAGACGATAGAATGGAAATGGAATCAAAGATTGATGATTTTCAAAATGAAATACATGTATTGAATTATTTGAATGTTGTTATTTCTGATTTTTGTCAGACCAACGTCCAAAACCAATGAAACTATTGCAGCGAAACGGAAATGTTGAAGCTCGACTGACAATCAGATGCGCATAATCTACCGAGTGTATATATTCAGCTGAAAGGTAATTAATTATAGTAACTGCATGTATAGTCTTCTTTAGTGAAATTTGAATATTCGACAGTAAATGCACTAGAATCGACATCCATTAACCTGCCAGTAAAGCAACCAGGGACGAACATGTCGATTTTTTTTTTGGGGGGGGGGGGGGTGTTTAGTAAAAATGAAACCGACTGATGCACAGGTCCGTAATATGAGTGGCGCACTACAGGTATGCGAGCGTTCTATGGGGGGGGGGGGGGTCCAGGGACATGCTCCTTGCAGGTCACGATAATAGATAATAGTTCATCGAAATTTATCGTTTATTACCATTTTAAGCGATCAAACTTTCTAAAATTTCAATTGTCATTTGGAAACTTCTAGAAATCATGGAAACTTCTGGAAACAGTGTTTAGAAATAATTGGAAGATTCAGGAGGGTTCTAGAAAAAGTGTGGGCGGTTGATGAAAATATGAGGACATAGTCATATCTATGCTATTATGTACATATGTCATTGTATCCACCACGACAATATATCGAAGATAAAGGTCCATGCAAATGATGTAATTATTATAACTTTCATAAGTTGTCACAGATTCACAGTAGCCTACTTTGTAATTTTATAACATGGATTCCCATGCGTAGTACTCAATTTTACTCATATTTTAAGTGTTTTCTGACCATCGGAATTCTGTAGAATCTTCCCCCAAAGTCCAGGAATTGGCATTTCAGGGACTCTAAATTAAAAAAAAATGCCCCGGACCCCTCTAGAAAGCTAGCACCCGCGCTGCTCGACTCGTATTGGGGACCTATGCATCAGTCTGTTTCATTTTTGCTCCCCCCCCCCCCCAAACAAAATCGATAAGTACGCATCCGTGTGTTTGTGTACTTTTTGCTGCTGTTACGTAATTATGGATTTCTTCCCCAGATGTATTACGAGGTACGTTGTATTACACAACATTATTGGGTCAGGTCAGGGCACACGTTTTGTGTGATGACACCGTCCTGCAACCGGTAGAAAATTTTGAGTATAACGAAACAGTGATGAAAACCGTTATGAATTTTATGTCATTTCGGGTTTCATTTAAAACTGTAAATATTTTATTTATTTCAGATTGAAGTAAGTTAGACGCTGGAGATTTGACGATTATATATAGATTAAATTTCCCAACCAAAGAGCGGTAACGTGAAACTGTAAGTATGTTGAAAATCACTGTGGTAGGACGAAGGTCACAGATACATTACGTGAGTATATTGCATGATTTTGCGTTAAGTTGCGCAGTCTGGACGGGACTGGACTAGTAGGGTATGACTGCTGACGATTTCAGGGATGGTAGATGTCTAATCACTTTTTAGTATATTACAGGTTGCCGAGCCGCTGTACGTACAGACATCAACATCAGTTTAGAATGTATTGCTGTATAGTTTTTGTTTTTAATATTTTAGACACTATAGAACCAGTAACTAATGAAAGTTTGCAGTCCAGGAACGACATTGTGTGTTCCAAGAAGTCCATTCAACTGTTGATACCAAAGACATATTTACATTCCACAGAATGGAAATTAAACGACCCAGGGTGTAGAACCAGGTTTAATGGAACCCATATCTTAAAAGAGTTTGGTTTGAATGAATGTGGTACAACCGTTGAATTCAGCAACCATTCGCTGATCTTTCGAAATGAGCTACGTGGTTAGTAAAATCCGTTACGGTAATCATCCTTTTTATTATCAGATTATGTTATCCCTAGAAGGTTTACTCTGCCGTACTTGGGAGATACAACTCTTCGTGAAAATTACCTTTGCTGTTGAAAATATGTTGAAATTCACAAAAAGCGTTTCACATAGGTCATTATTGTTTTTGCCGGATAATGTTGCAGAGTGAAACTTTCTCAACATGTTTCCTATATCACCGTAAAAGAAAGCCGGTGTTAAACTAATTCCACGTCACCTTTCTCCAACTAATACAGCCGTATACTGATTTCTGTTTCGTTATTTGTATGTTTTATTTGTTGAATTTTCAGATGCTTACGGCTCATCTGCTGATGGTACTATCTCTATCGAGTGTAATTACCCGGAAACTCAAAATCTTTCTAATTATGACTTCCCAGTACGGGACAGAGTTGTGTTGTACGAGAAGAATAAAGGTCTGCTTGGTGTTATTAGGATGAATCAATATAGGAAAGATGATTTTACTGAAGTTGTATCTGAGTATCCTGCTGAGATTCAACCAGATGGTAGCATCAACATTCAATTGGTCATTGAAGAAAACCAATCGAAAATTGGAGTACGAGCCGAAAATTGTATTGCAACAACAACTCGATCTCCAGCCAATAACGAGAATACCAAACTATATGAAAATGGGTAACCAATTGTTACTAGAACCGTCTGTTAAATCAGCCGAACGTCACTTAAATGGTTTTGAATCCCTTCAAATATTGTTAAAGTTAAATCTCTAGAAGGAATATAAGTTAAAATAAAAAATGGTTCACTCGGTTCAGTAATTACAAAAATATGATGAATTGAAAGATTTTGGTATCCTCCAAAGGTCACAATGGTTTATTTGATTTTAATTAACGTTAAAATAAATGTTAATTAAACTAAATTCGGGGACAAATTCGACTTCGGTGGAAATCGGACCATGACTTCCCGTTTAAATTGTGAGTTTTCTAGTATGGCACGGTATCGGGTTCAAAATGCGATGTAGAATAAAAGTAGAAAATCAAAAGTAGAATGTAAAAAATAGAAAATCAAAAGTAGAATGTAAAAAATAGAAAATTAAAGAAATGGGAATTTTTTTTTATCTAAAAGCATTTGTGTATGGTGAAATCTGTAACTTTATGCATTTAATCTGCAAAAACATCAAGTTTTTAACATTAAACCGTCATAATTTTCCGTTGAAGGACAGAATTTCGACTATCTACATCAACTCTCGACTTTCTGCTTTCTACTATCAACTTTGACTCTTGACATTCTACTCAGATTTTCTACCGTGGATTTTCTCCAACATATGGTGGCTGATAGTGGTGGCCATGTAATTTCGCCATTTTCGTAACTCGACAATCAGACATCAGGTATCGGGTTCAAAATGCGATCTTGGATAAAAAGTAGAAAATCAAAAATTAAAGAAAAACTTTTTATCTAAAATGGTAATTTAAAGGTCGAAACCTATAACTTTATGCATTTAATCTGCAAAAACATCAAGATTTTCAACTTTTAATCGTCCTAATTCTAATTTCAAGGACAGAATTTATACTTTCTACATCAACTATAGACTTTGTACTGTCAACTTTGACTTTCGACATTCTACTTCAGATTTTCTCCAATAGTATGGTGGCTGATAGTGGCCATGATTTCACCGTTCTCTGTTGGTCCGTCTGCTCGTCAGGGACAAAACCCATCGATAATGTGCATTCCGCGATCTTCCGTTTGGAATGGATATTCTTTCAACAGGTTGAATAAAATGTTTGAATATTTTAGGTGTGAATCAAGAGTAGTTAGAGTTAGAAAAACCAGAAGCAACGAGATCAAATTCAGCTTCAAATTATCAGCGATCCCACAAAATCAAAGTACAATAGTTTCAACAGTATACGTACACTGTGAGGTAGCAGCTTGCAGTTTTCACGAATGTGATGCAACCTGCAATAACAGACGGCGGAAACGTTCATCACATCAATCTTATGTTATTACTACTGGTCCTATCATGTTTACTACCCTAAAAAGTAAGTTTACTTATTGCTGCTCCCACACTAGACCAATGAAGATGTGGATCCAACGTCTTCGTTTTAAAGAGGGTTAAATTGCTAGCAACGGCTAAGTTAATCAGTCGACGTTAGCTCGGCCAGTTAATCGAAAGTATAGTATCAGAAAGGCGCATTAGGCTGGGAGGGGGTCGTACAGACAAGAAAAGGCATAATCAGATATTACCATGTTGTATATTACAGGCTAGTAGAGAATACCTTTGCCACAGCGGCCTGGCCTTGGCATTTTATTTCTGACATTTATGGGGTTATCTTACTTCAGTCTTTTTATGGCCACAACCATATTGACACCCTAATCATTAATTTTTTTGACATTATTTTTCAGGAGAATCAGAAGGAAGTTCATTAATAGCTATCGCATGTCTGAGCTTGTCTGCATTAGCAGTAATAATCGCACTTATGGCGCTCATAAGCCGAAAAGTCCAGGCTTAATTCTTATAATGAACATTCGATGGACTGTTAGATTAATAGTCAATTTTTAAAAACTTTCATGGATCAGATTGGGCATAAATTAATTATAGAAATTACTACAACTTGTGAAATTGCCTCCCCTGGAAAGCTGTACGGGAATTGGCCCTTACATTTTATAATGCTTAAGTCAAATTTGACAATTTTAATGCTTAAATTAATTATATCATTTAATTTTACCTATATTATATTAACCATTGCTTATTATAAATTTAATCAATAAATCTGTTAATTTTATAAACATATCATAATGATGTGAAGTTAACAAATGAAAAAAAATATTATTTCAAATTCGTTTCTTTTGTCTTTTGTTTGGGACACCGTGGCTGAGTGAGTGCACTGGTTTAATAACGCGTTAGGAACAGAGTATAGTCATTTGAATGATTCTTGACGTGAATTTTGATCCATTTAAATGGTTATTCTATCTGTCTTAAATAAAACTTAGAATATATTATAAGGATCTACTTGGGTTATGGTCTCCGCTTTTTACGCAAAAGGTGTAATTAAGTCGCAGGCTTTCTGGTGTGATGAATTGGGAACATTAGAGCATTAAACCTAGCAATTGTGATCAATCTCTGTTGGTTCGTCTGTTCGTCAGGGAAAAACCATACCGATAATCAGCAATCTCCCCCAACAGGGATGTGAAGCATCGGGACCTTACAAAATGTGGATGTATCTTGCATTGCAACCACTTACTTAATAAATGTTGTGGAATCGATTGTCTAACTAAAGAAAATTAGTGAGTAATGCAACTGGCTGACAGAATGTAAGGTCAATTTCCAGATCCCTACATTTGATCCCATCTTTCTGTCAAAAAATGAACCAATGGCTGCCAGGCAGGATACGCCCATATTTTGCAGGAGATGGATAGAGAACAAGCTAAAAACAAACGCGATTTTTTGTACGATCAGGGGCAATAATCCAGAAAGTTATGGTCTGAAATGCGCAAATATCAAAAGGGGCTGAGATCTTTGGGATATAAAGATATGTTTTAAGTTTCATCAAAATCGGATTAAAATTGTGACCTCTAGAGGGTCCACAACCTTCGTATTACATACTTTTTCACAATTTGCGTACAAAGGGCGGCAATTTTGTTAGGCAGTTTCATTTCAATTTTCCCGAAATTCGAATTCAACTTTCATTATGGTGGAATGGTGATATATTTAAACGGTATTTAAAACCGGAAATTTTTTTTTGACCTCTAGAGAATCTGCAAGCTAAAAATGCGATTTTTCGAACAATCAGGGGCCATAATCCAGAAAGTTACGTTCGGATATGCGCGATTATCAAAAGGAACCAAGATCTTAGTGTGTAACGGTGATATATTGACACGTTTTATTTTAAATCGGATAAAAATTGTGACCTCTAAATTTGGTACAATCAATGGCCGTAATTCAGGAAATATCAAAAGGAACCAAGATCTGTGGGTTATAAACATGTATTTCAAGTTTCATCAAAATGGGATCAAAATTATTGTGACCTCTAGTGGGTCCACAACTTGATATACCAGATAAACCAGAGGCTCAGTGTGCGGGGTGTCCATCAAATGGGCACAAAACCAGACCCAACTTTTCTATTATAAAAGATGCCAAGTGGTAATAAGTCCGACATTGGGGCGTTTTCGAGATATTCGGGGTCAAAGGTCAAATGAGGTCATTTGCATTGAAAGGGAATGCGCAGCCATTCTTGTATCATGAAATATGCTGAAAATGATCGAAAGTAATCACTCTTTCAATAAAAATGTAAACTTGCTAAATTCACCTTTAGTCTTAGTGACCCCGTAGGTCAAAAGGTGAAATTTTCCGTATTTGCACTAGAAAGATTTAAAGCAATAAAATGTCAGCGTAAAATATAAAAACTAAAGCGAAACCTGTACTAAATAATAGTAAGAACATTTAAAACCAATCTTTAGGTGGTCTTAGCACCGTATATTTACTTTGGAATGTCGAAAAAGAGCTTGCATAACAGAACCAACACACTTCGAAACCTGTTTTCAAAAATACGTAAAAACTGTCAAATCGAAATCTTCACGGTTTGGTTTAACAACGATTGTTATACATAATGAAACTAGTTGTCCGAAAAACAATTGTATAGTTTCATGGTTAAACTCCATGAAACTGCCGGCCGCGTGGATTTCCGGGAATCCCAATCTGGGAAAACCGACGTTAATCTTTGACCGGAAAACATGTATCTGACGACAGGTTAAAATTTTGCAATGTTTTTAAATGTTCCTATAAATTAGAACAGGTTTCGCTTTGGTTTTTATATTTTACGCTGACAGATAAAACCGACGGATGCATTTTACATAATAGCTCACGGGATATAATTGTCGTATTGGTAAATGTTACCGGGGAAATGTTTGGCAGGAGTCCAGGCATGAAACTATTCAATTGTTTTTTCAGAAAATTAGTATCATTATGTATATCATTCGTTGTAAAACTAATTCGGAGAGATTTTGATTTTGATTTGACAGTTTTTACGTATTTTTGAAACAGGTTTCGAAGTGTTTTGGTTCTGTTATGTAAGATCTTTTTCGACGTTCCAAAGTAAAAGTTCGGTACTAAGACTACCTAAAGATACATTTTAAATGTTCAGATTATTAATTAGAACAGGTTTCGCTTTAGTTTTTATATTTTACGCTGACATTTATTACTTTAAATCTTCTTAATGTTAAAACGGAAAATTTCACCTTTTGACCTCCGGGGTCACAAAGAACAAAGGTGAATTTAGCAAGTTTACATTTTTATTGAAAGGGTGATTACTTTCGATCTTTTTCAGCTTATTTTCATGATACAAGAATGACCGCGCATTCACTTTCAGTGCAAATTAACTCATTTGACCCGAATATTTCGAAAACACCCCAACAGCGGACTGATTACCACTCGGCATCGTATTCTACGCGAAATGTTACTATAGAAAAGTTGGGTCTGGTTTTGTGACCATTTGATGGACACCCCTCCGCACTGAGCCTCCAAACTAAGATGTTTGCACCATTTGTGTACGAGGGGCGGCCATTTTGTCCAGCAGTTCTGGTCCGATTTTTTGAAATATTCGAACTCGACCATCATTAAGGTGTAACGATGATATATTCAAACGGGTTTTTTTTTCTTAAATTGGATAAAAATTGTTACCTCTTTAGGGAACACAAGCTTAAAACACGATTTTTCGTACAATCAGCGGCCATAATCCATGCCAATATCGAAAGGAACCGAGATCTTAGGGCGATAAACCTATATTTCAAGTTTCGTTGAAATCGGATAAAAATTGTGGACGGATGATTGGACAGGGGTGACGACAATATACGTCCACATGAAAATGTGGGCGTATAAAAATATGCCTTTTTAACTAATCCTATGGAATTATTGCATCACAGGCAGAATACCATATAGGGCATGGCCAACAGTTTAGGGGGCTGTTGGTGAGTAAAAATAATATATGTATGTACTGTTCATGATTTTATTCAGTTTAAAAAAAAAATACATTAATGTAACACACATATTTAAGTAATAGAAATAATCTTCTTACTAAATAAATTCATTTATTAAATACCCATAGTCTAATTTTATAATACATATAAAAGCATATATTTATAACAATTAAATCATTACTGCAAAATCTTAATCGATGTTTTAAGTATACATTCCATTGTTACTCAGGCATTGAAAAACACAACAATAGTGACTGCATATGAATATCGCCTCTACAGATCATTGAATCGAAATTGACACTCTTACAAACACTATATCTTAAAATCTAATGTATTACATGTAAAGTGTCATGCGAAGGTATCTGGGATAACAGACTCTTTAAATCTAATTATGCTACAATTTGGACAAAGAGAGGGAATATCAAGGGTATACAGATGTACCAAGATTTTTTATCTTTTCTATCCATGCCTATTTATGAGTGTTTTGGATTTCGAGGATGGCCTGGGAATTCATGATTTTTAACCAAAAATAACATTTTATATAACAAAGGCAGTTTTTCTGCTACTGTGCATCCTAACTTAAGAAATTACGCAGCAACTGCAACAAAGAAATGAATATTCAAGAATACATGTACATGTAGTAATGTTTTAAAAACAAACTAGCTTACAGCTCCTCAATATTTTGCTGTAATATTGTAATTAGATTCTATATATAAATTTAAGACATTAGCAGAGGTGTCAGTGGTTTACTTTACAAAACCAAATCAAACACATATCATCAGTATCTGGTTTCCCCAAGTCAGTGTAAAAACCCTCACTATCCTGATCACATTATACCCTATTAATCATTTACCATTTCGCCCATATACACATTTGTAACTGCATATTTGATGATAATTTCCAGGTCAACAATAGCTACATATTCCCCATGTAATTACAATAGTCTTATCAATTACAGATTTCAGCTGTAACCCACTTTACTGTCCATTACTGTTTCCCTATACAAGTCACATGGACATAATCAAGTTTTTAATTTGAAAACTTTTCTTAATTACAATTAAAGTGTCAATTTCATAATTTAAATCATTAATATCATCTGTCAAGAATCTTCAGGTTTTAAAAATTTCTTAACTTTTTCTAAAGTGGAGGGTTTTGGAGGATCCGGAAATACTTTGGGAACTTTTTTCTTTGCTTCCTGAGGACCATCCCCATTCTCTTCTTTGCCAGCTTGACTGTTTCTTCCTCTTTTGTTGGTAAACTTTTTAGCTATGATACCAATAAGAGTGGAATATCTAAAACATAAATGAAAATAGATGTATATATTATCACTGTAACCATTTTAGCCACACAATCCTTTAACTATTTAAAAGCTCAAGCATAAAAATTTCCTCCTTTAAAGGATTTTCTTCAAACCAGAATAATTTTATTTTTGTATAGGCTAAGTCGTTAAAAGTAAATCAATTACATCAGCTCATCATTTCTAATGTAAGCAGCTCATATACATTTGACAAAGGAAGAAACGGTGGAATATGAGTGACAGTTGTTATACATTTCAATGTTGGAACATAATATAATCCAGCTTAAGTTTGAGAGTGATTGTAAGAATTCTGGGCAAAGGAAGAAACAGAAAGACAAGAAGGACGGTCGTACACATGTATATCTATATTGCAGTGTTGGATCATAAATAGGAACCTAATCCAGCTTACCTTTTTGCCATTTCCTGATCATTTACTTCTGTCTCTCTCTCACTTTCTCTAGCAGCTTTATATTCTTTTTCAGCATTGCTTGCTGCCATTATTTTCTTTTAAAAAATAAATAAGAAATTTAGACAATTTTTCATCTACATTTAAGAGAATGTTTAAATGGTTAATTCTGAAATACTGTCAAACTTACATTTCTTCTTTTCACTCTTAAAATTCAATTTATTTTAAAGGGGAACGAAAGTCTTATTTCCTTGACAATACCAATTTTAAATACATCTATTGGATAACATAAATTATCTAAATGATCAGGAAAGATAGCCACGCAAAGTTGGGATATACGTCCACATGGTCCTGAAAAAAGATATCCGTAGACAGCAGCTTATCCGAAAGGAAAAATCAGATGTTGATCAAATTTGATAAGAATCCTTTATGCCCTCAATAAATCTAATTGTATGGTGTTCACATGCTTTTCCCGGATACCTACCTTTAGAAAAGAAAGCTCTAGAATGCTGACCAGCAACAGGGTTCATCTCATCAAATGAAAGAGGAATCTGTCAAAAATTAGCCAGATGACAGACATTCAGATTTAACTTAATGTATGAAAAAAAGATATAATGATTTACCTCTATTTCTGGGTTACAACCTTTGAAGGACATTCTACCATAATTCAAATTCTCACAAACAACGAAACTTGGTTCAATTCTATACTTTTGCCTGAAATTTTTTTATATTATAAATTGTAGGGCCTCATAAATTCATCAAAACTTTCTTTGTAGCATTTACTATCTTATGGAATCCAAAAGGTAATGAAACATATATATGGAAAGTAGAGACACCCAATCTTACTAGAAAAATACTGGATTACTCGAAAAACGCAGAGGACAAAAATGAGAGGATGTCACTAAATGATTAAGGGCTGTATGCTCAAGTGAAGTCAAAGGTTGCACTCGTAGATTGTCTGACCTCTTTGTGTTGGGGAGCACTTGATGTATATGTTGATAAACTTAAATAAATTAGATTGAATATGTAAAAAATTATGTTTTTAGTCCAAATATATCATCAAATCCCCCAGTTTGTACATGCTAAGGTATCTTTAAATAAGGATATAAATTACAAGTAGATCTTATGGAGACTTGCTGCTAAAGTGTTAACATGCTTCTACAAACTGTGCAAGGGCAATAATTTTTCAAATCTATTCTAAACCTAACCTATGCAGGAGGCTGAGCTAGTAGTCTTTAGATGATTTGCAAGCATTTTTTTATGATGATAATTGATATAATATTTTTTCCTAAAATTCTTACTCCTTTTGCTGCAGATCAGGCACATCTAAAACCCAATGTTCATCATCAATATCTCTTTGTCTTTCTTCAGCATTTTTCTCTTCTTCTATTCTTAGAACACTTCTCTGCATAAACTATAAAAAAGGGCAAACTATTATAATCGAATTACTTGCTGCTATAACTGATGTGATTACAAGAGAGTCAGTAGTACCGTTACTGTGCTGTAAGTTTTATAGTTCTTTTGAATGAAATTAAACATACATTATGAAAGAGCTGAATCTGATTATTGCAGGTCTTTCTTTAGGCCTGAAATGTTATCTAAATTATTAGACATTAATTAACTTATCCAGACCATAATCATCTCTCGATGGCATCGCTAGCCTGCGATATTTAGTAGATTATATTCTGATTTACTGAATAACTTTCCTTCACGATTTAATTATTAAATGGATAATCGAGACTATGCTTTTTATCGTACCGACTTTAGTGGAAATTTCAATTGCTTAATTCTTGGTTCATAGTGGATCAATTTGACTGAAATTTTCAGCAAATTGCCTTTACATTATCTAGTTTTTAACGATTATAGTGAGAACTGCCAACTTGTTATCTAATCTCCCATAATGTATCTTTAATCCAGCCATGTAAATGTTTCTTTTTCAGCAAAATTAAAACTGTAGTTCAAAGTATGTTGACTCTTTCGCTTGCTTGTTAATGGCTGTTTTGATGGATGTCGGCTTGCAAAGAAACATCATGATAGAGACCATTTTTATGTCATTTTTTGAAAACATCCAAAGGTCTTGTTTGAGAATATGCATATACACACAAATTCCCTCACAAAAAAAGGAACATTGGATACACTGTCAAAGACTATCTAAAGTTACACAACTTTAGACTAGCAAGATGATTTAAAGTGGCCACCTAACCCTGTAACAACCTTCTGTAAAGTCATTAGGGGTTGATATTGACATCCAATAACCACATAGTTGGAATTTCATGTGCACAAGGTGAGCAGCGGTTCATACTTGGCGATGATCTTTATAGCTTGTCAGATTGCAACCTATTTCCAGTTAGATATTTTTATTTTGAATAACAACCTGGAAAGCGGCTTTATAAAGTGGGACGTACTATACCCCATTTCATTTCCATTAAAAGTTTAAGTAGGTCAGCGAACTTTTGGCCTATTAGTCCTTTTGACAGTGATTCATAGCACTTACTAAAGTACAAGAATGTTATAATTTAGAGTCAATGGGTGGGGGTTGGGGGGGTCAGATTAGACCATCTGTGGTAATCTAGAAAATCTATAAATAACTGTTCTTTAAAGATATAATTTATTGCCTTCATCAATGGTATTCCTTTGGCAATTATTTCCCAAAACAAGAACTAATGTACATGTATCAAACACTCCCTGGATGAAAACAGTAGTAAAAAAAACCCACCAGCTATCGAGCTATCGGAGGCCTGAGCAAGTCAAATATTTCTAAGTTATTAAGTGCTGAATAATTTTCTCTGATCTAATCATTATTATGTTTTTATAATTTTAAGATAGACCGATATTATATAAAACAGAATTTTCTGGCTGCATGTAAATCATCTCATAATGACATATCATTACTTAAACATGCATTATGCAAGAGCAAAATCTGCTTATTACAAGTATTTCTTTAGGCCTGAAATGTTATCTAAATTATCAATTAGACATTAATTAACTTATCCAGACCATAATAAACTCTCGATGTCATTGTCAAGGCTAGTCTTTGATGTTGGCTGGATTAGATTCCTATATAAAATAAAACCAAGTACGAACAATCCAAACCATAAGACAGAATTCGAAGTCCTAAAAAACGTTATAGGCAAAATAGTGTATTCAAGCAAAATAGTGTAATCACTAACGACCATTGATAATTAAATCAAAAAAAGTGCATAATCGAGACTATGCTGTTTTAAGTGTTTCTATTAATGATTTTTCTCGGCTCATAGTGGATCAATTTGACTGAAATTTTCAGGAAATTACCTTTACACTATTTAGTTTTTAACTATTATAGCGAGAACTGCCATCTCTTTATATTATCTCCCATAATGTATCTTTAATTATATCAGAGAGATTTTAAAGATAGATTTTATTACATAAAACACCCTTTTTGGGCAGCATGTAAATTATACATTACAGTCAGCATGATAAATACATTATAAAAGTGGATGAAAGACATTAAAAAAAAGTGGATGAAAAATACATAAAAAAATAGATAAAAAATATATAAAAAGTGGATGAAAATTACATAATAGTGGATGAAATGTCATGACAATATGCCAATGCTGAATATTGAAAATTACTCTTAATTCAATATTATACTCTTCAAACAAAGTAGGGGATATTCAGAAACAATACAAAACTGCAAAAACGCACTGCTGTTTTTATTAGAGGTAACCAGTGTATATTAATAACAGGCCAATTGCCTACACATTTGTCTGCGATATCACTTATGTGGAAGCAGACGTTAAACACCAAGAACTACTACTACTACTGCCTACACATGAACATAAACAGTTCATATGGGTGGCTTATCTGACAGCACCATTTCACTCGCAAAGAGATACACTGTCAAAAGTGAAAACAGACGTTTTTGTTTTATGCCTTAATGAGTAATTGCTCCACCAATCCTCAGACATACAGCAATTCATTGTGGCATGCTCCTAATCAACCGTCCAATCACGATTTGGGGCAATCTGATCCACTCCTCTTGCAGTGCCACGGCCAATTCTTGCAGTGTTGTCGGTTAATTGACGTTGACGAACACACGTCTCCCGAACAAATAAAACGTAACACTCTAACTCTAAAGCAAAGATACGCTAAATAGTAAATCTTATGTAAGAACTGATAGAAAAGCAAACATGGATAGGATAAACCAGCAAGCGGCAGTTTTCATCAACCCTTCCTTGAAGTGTCAAATTTGACAATGAGCCCCTTCCACATGTATGGCGCTATTACGTGTCGCATGTGCAGCTCAGTGGTTATGTTGGGGAGATAAGTTCTTCATCTGTGAACATACTCTCAAAGCATGTCAAGTGTCCATGACTATTTACAGAGGCCTAGCCGTGAAATATATATTTGGGGGGGGGGGGGTCCGCAAATGAAATTATGTAAAATGTTGACAATCTGTGACGCTGGAGGCACGAGGCTGCGCAGCAGCCAATGTAGCGCGATAGGGAGTGTGGGGGGGGGGGCACTCTCCCACTACGGGGGTTTGGAGGGGCCACCCCCATAAATTTTTTTTAAAGTTTCAGTGTTCTGTAAACACTGTTTTGGCATATTTTACGGAGTTAAACTAAAACATCACACCAATACAATGTTTATCATGTTTAAGTCAGGGGGTGCCGTATTCATATTTTTTTCATGAATTTTACATATTGAATGTTACGCTTGAGTTATGAACAACACGACAAAGGGAGTTTAGTAAGGGAATTTTTATGAGGAGGATCCAAATGAAACAAAACTTGATCACATAACTTTAGTTTATGAGAATGAATATTTGACAATCACCTTGTTAAAGATTGGTTCCCGCGTACAAACTCGGTGATTTAATGGTAAATATGGACCAAAAACATATTCAAACTAATTAATTTGTCATAATTATGCTTCAAATCCTTCTCAAACATTGTAGTTACGAAGGAATGCCCTGCTATTAAAAATCGATCAAACCAGGTCATGTTTACGTCACGTCTTGGGAGTCAGAGGAGAATTCATTGCATACATAAGACGATGGTGTCTTTAATCGCTTACTATTTATTACAATTATCGAATCCTAATTAAATTCTCGGATCATCCACTACCTGCGTCTTTTTCAGTCATTTTTATCTCAGAAAGTACTGTACGTTTAACTCTTCATAAAGTTTATCAACTTGTATATCAAGCGCTCAATGTTCGCTTGTGACCTTTGACATTAAGCGTGTAGAAGTTCTTAATCGTCGGGCTGTTGATATGGGGAACCCTTACATTTTTGTCCTGTATATGCTCCACGAGTGTTTTTCGGGGAATCCAGTATTTTTCTAGTAAGATTGGATATCTCTACTTTCCATATATATACCAAAATTGCCATACTTTTATTGGAAATAACCACAGAATAAATACTTTTCTGGGAACCCATCTTTAACTACAATACTATATACATATATATATATACACATTGACAGTTACAAGAAAGTTGTATAGATATTTAAAGTAATATGTACATTTTGTGTATAAATGGATTTCAAAAAGTAAACATAAGTGATTGTGTTTTAATTTGTACATTGTTTTATACAGACAGAATCTTAACTAATCCAAATAATTGTTGTAAATAAATAGGAGTTAGAGCCTACTATGTAAATATGGGGTCGGGGGTCGGTCCAATTCAGACCCCCCAGAAAAACAAGGTGTGACGCCCATGACTATTTATCATGTCCTTAATGGGCGTTTTGATGCAATAAACATATCTTATCTTATCACACACCTGCATAGATACTAAGATAGGGTGGCGCTATTGCACTTTCGTTCCTCTACCAGTTCCCGTGGTCGTAGGCACTTGAAATTTTCAGAAGATGTTAAGGGGGGCTAGCATAAAAAGTTATTGATCGATTCGGCTGAAATTTGGTGTGTGGTCATTGCTAGTCCCCCGTAACATCCTCTAATAATTTCAAGTTCCTACGACCACAGGAACTGGTAGAGGTACGAAAGTGCAATAGCGCCAGATAGGTACCGGTATTTGCATTAGGCCCTAATCAAAATATGATATTATATGCCTATCCCCCACTTTTTTTGAAGAGTCTATTATTGGATCCCCGCTTGGCGATATTTACCTTCATTTGAAGCAGATTTTTTGAGAGGTTAGCTGTCTGTCGCTTTTCAGACATGATGAATTAGTGACAGAATACAGCTTTTAACTTAATAATTCAATTAAATTCCATTTTCACAAATTCTGTTTCCAAGAAAAAAGACTCAATAATCACACATAAAAGTATTAAAACACGTGCTTCCGCTGGGATCATTTAGTTTGTAACAAGACAGAAATTATACTATTCAAAGTTATTCCACTTTCGGTTTTTTAAGAATAAAATCTGTAAACGAAAAGTTCAAATTAGATTTAATCTGAAAAAAATTCATGTAAATTGTGTTGATTAAAACTCATTTGATGGATATCGTAACTTAATTGGACTTGTACCCAATAAAGCGGGAAACTTCCGAATGGTCATGGACGAAGCGAAAACTGAGTGCAGAAAGCAGAATCATCAACCATTTATTTTTATGATGGTATGGATTTAAATAACGATAGTAAAATATAGTAAATTGTAAATGATTTGATATTAAGAAGTTCAAAGTTACTGATAACTATAAATGGTTGTCATGCGTCAATAAGTAAATGCAATGATTTTCAAGGTTTCGTTTTCACGACACTGTGACTCACTGCCTGTCTACATGTTGTACTACACACACAAGAGACAGTCACTTTGTACAGTAGGCTAGTTTGACTTCAGACTAGTTTTATGGTGCGTTACAGTAGGGTACACTTTGCAGGTTTTCAGTACGTGCCGTAGGAGTGGAAACATTAATACGTAACAGGTAGTTCAGCTCTGAACGTAGGTCTCAAATGCACTCACGTTCAGGAACTGGCATAGAGAGACTAAAAAAGGATACTAATACTATTGACTCCTTGTCAAAAAGTTTTCAGCTCCCAGTTTTACTGGACAACTTTTTACTGCTAAACGGTCGTGTGACAGTTCCTGTGAACACCTGTACAATGTAAAGGAACATTTAAGTGAGAAAATAAGACCCTGCTTACCTCACTATAGAGTCAGTATGCGACACAGCATGCTCTTAAAAATACGTCCTCCCCTACCTTAAGTTGCCTTATTTCCATGCAAACTGTGATGATGTGTGTTGAAAATTTTGCAATTGAACCTAATTTTACTTGCGCAATGCCTTGAATAGTGTAACAATTGTACTGTAGCCGTAAATTATAAGAGAATTATCACGGCTACAAATATTGCAGTTAAGGCTTATTATATGTTAAGCTATGTGCAGTACAGTTTGGAGTCGGTTTAATTGGAAATCACAGGAGTTACAGGCCAGTAACTTTTTTGTCATCAAATCATGACAAAACCTGCTCAAAGGAAGGTCTTAGAAAAATCCGCCACTGTGGCAGGAGCAAGACGAAAGACATCAGTGCCTGAGTAGAGCGAAGGTTATTGTTGTCAAATATAAAACCTTCATAATTATGTTTCTCGAGTGATGCAAAAAATGTTAAAGACCACATAAGACAAAAAATCTAAATTTCATGTACGTATAGCCAATGGTTACTATATCCAATTTACGGCAAGTTCACACCAATCTGATTAAAATTAATTCGCTTTTCAATTTTTCAATTACGACCTTAAATCGATACCGTATAATCCGGCCTTCAATCGGTGGGTGTGAAGCAAACACTTACCGATCAATTATCCGTGAGATTAAAACTGGATGGGTGTGAAGCCACGAAAGATTAACAAGCAATCACCAATCAATTATCTGTGAGATTAAAACTCGCTACCGTGGGTCGTTGTTGATTACTTTGATAATTTAATCTCTTGTACGACAGTTGTGACAAATACTCAAGAATATCCACGAATTTTTCCCCGAATTCACAGTCGTAAAAATATTCCTAGCACCTGTTGGAAACATTCGTTGCGCATGCCGATTGAACCTGAATAACCTATAAGTTTGGTCACCCAACGGATCTCTTCGAACCGTGTGACGACGACCTGGGGATGCTCGATTCACAGTCCGGAACGTCCCGAATTAACAGAATTGCAATCGAGTGACGCAGAATTCAGTCCTTTCACAGTTCTGTCAGTCCCGGCGACGGAGGTGGTGTGAGTAGAATTGTGACGTAATTAAACACGACGAACAGGTCTCGGCTGCATGGTTGGATGAGATATTTATATATCCAGTTGACGCATGCGTTGTAGCCCGAAGTACCCATTTTCACTCGATTGTCACTATTTTTGGGATTGAGAGAATTCAATTCCGGAACGTTCAATCGAGTACGCCCAATGAACACGTGATAGCAAAGACAAGAGTGCGATCAACTGAAGACGGCGAAGAAGATAAATTAACGACAGACTTGACCTATTCAATATGCCTACGCATGTTAAATGAAATAAAAATTAATGTAATAAAATTTTGAATGTACAGAAATGTTTATCATTTTTAAAGGGGAATAACATTCTGGTGATTCGAAGTTCTATGTTCGAAGCTACATTATAATAACACTTCCGGTTTTCGAAGTTACAATATTTCCGGTTTTGAGAAAACTGGGTATTCCGACACTCTGCGTAATCCGACATATTGTAATGATCCCGTACGATGTCGGATGTGACAGAGTGCACTGTACATTATCTATACAATATCTCATTGTGTGTACAATATAGCATTATTAATACACACCACCAGTTGACAGCTGTCTAGTGACGGTCCAATTACCACGTGACTGGCCTAATCATAATCACCGAATTAATGTCTTACATTGTTATAGATTACACATTTGTGATTGGAATATTTTAGATTGAATTTAAAATGCTGTATCATGCGGTAGATCAATTTAAGCTGCCTTTGTTTAAATAGGCCATGTGTCAACTGAAGACGACCCAAGCAATAAACGCATTTACGGGTAATTTGAATAACCCCGTAATACTTGATATCACAAACTATTCTCTATAAGTACAGAAATACAAATGGTGCCAGTCATTTGTCGATATATTCATTATTAGCTATATATAATAATAATAACCATTTCTATACACAAAGAACAACTTTTGAAATTCACAGCGAATATGGAATTTTCCGATGACTATGCATAACAATAGATCGCCCTCATTTCTCAGCGAATCAACAATGGAAATCTTATTACCATGTACGGTTCCATGCACTACGGGCGTAGTAAATGAATTTAAACTTTGGCGCGAAAAATGCACGGGATTTATGGACATGAATATCAAATACACTTGATCATACGTGGAGCTCCTGATGCCGTTTGGTGAGTGATTAAACTGTCAATGTAATTGTAAAATACCTTTATTATAAAAGAAGTTAAATGATGTTAAACATTATAACCTTATCTTATCACAAACGTTTATCCATCGAATAATTTATATTCAGATTTCATATCTAGTCAATTAAATCAACAAATAATACGAGGCTACTTTATTACAAAAACATCGGTGAGCAAAGCTAATTAATTAATGGGTAAATAATAATTATAAACAACTGATGAGTAAAACTTAATTATATTATACAATTAACGTGTGTACGATTAGTTCGTTCGTGGGGTATTACGCACACGTTCCACCTAGAGTGATGTCTTTGATCTGGCCAGCGTAAAAAAATATAATTACCTAATCAGCATTCTTAATTAATTTATGACTCCATGTCCGCAACTTTAGTAGGATAGATTAATGACAGATATAAACGATACTACACTTTTATCAATACACAAAGATAGTTAAATGGCTCTTCTAAATCTGTTATTCCATTTACCAACCAAATTTATTTGTACTGTTAATTCTAACGTATATTGAGATATTTTTTCGTACATCATTTGTACGATCTATTTCAGAGTAATGAAGTAATGAATCCACATGCAGAAAGACAGGGGCCGTACGATGGCTTCTGGAAAACGAGATACAGTTGGCTACTCTGATAACGGATAGTCATTTACAAATTGCGTTTCAATAATGTTTGACTATTTTGATTCGTTTTGTATGACCACATCTTTCTACTCCTGTACTCTTTTACTCGGGGAAATTAGAACCACAATACTCTTCTGACGAAAATGTATCTCAAATCGTTTGGACTGCAAACTATGGTAGAGGGACTCTATGAAAAAGTTGCTTTAAAGCACAGTATTAAAATCGCTGTCGTGAGAAAAGAGAGCGAGCGGTACATTATAAAACAAATTCTAAATTATTCCGTAGTCAGTTGTCTTATTTGATTAGGGGATTAATGAATCAGTCGGGCGTTAATGAGTACACATGCCGGCAGTATATAGGTAATTAAGGAATAAACATTCCGAATATTCATTCGGTCACTGTGACGTCACTGCCGTCTGAGGGGATTAAGAGTGTTTTCGATAATTGGCAAAGTCGTTTTAACCTGAGGTTTATTTTTGCGACTTTGAGTTAAGATAGCTGAATTAATTTCAATCAGATTGGTGTGAACTTGCCGTAAAGTGGATATAGTAACCATTGGCTACACATAGCGAAAAGTTCCCACGTCGATCTTATGTGCACTTTAAATAATATTGTTTTTCCAAACTGATTTTAATTTAGATCCAAATTGTATGAGTACCTATTGGATAAATTACCGATTAATTTAGTTTCATAAAAAGAACAAAAAATGTGGGCATTTCTTTCATTGTTGTCGTATATGTATGTCATTGATGAGACGTGTAATCTTGCTTTGTTCTATATTGAAATGGTGAAATTATAGAGGGAGAACAGCTAAACGATGATGCACTTTATTCTATTCCAGTGGTTCTCAACCTTTTTTTGCCAATATTTGAATTTTGCAAAATAAAAACATGTCAAGTCATAGACGGCATACAACCGTAGGCACAGTCTAGTCATAGACACATTGAATGACTTGAACTAAAAAAAGAAAAACGTGGCTGTGGGCTTACTTTATTGCAGTGTTTCGAATTTCATCAGTCAAATAGCTAGCTTCTTTAGTGAGAAATTTTCTTGGTGTGCCGTTCAAAATTTCGCGGCACACTAAGGAAGATTTAGCGGCACACCTGTGTGCCACGGCACACACTGGTTGAGAATATTGATAGGGTGGGACAACAGGGGCAGATAAGGATTGAAAATTTATTTTTGCAAGCGCTGAAAAATGTAATGACCTTAATTAGAGGAGAAAAATTATTTATGGGTGGGGTGTAGAAAATAATTATATTTGGGTGTGGTGGCAATTGAATAAATAATCAATTGTTATTTTGAAGAAAAATACGAGTTATTGTTCAGTTCATGTGGTGGGATTCATGATAGCTACGGCAGATAGTACTAAATACCCTCAATTATCTTGCACTGATGTTCCTCATCTACCTATGTTTTAATATTATTAAAGATACATTATTCTAAGCTAATTTATCACTGTAGTTTTGACAAGATGTGTGCATTGATTGTTAATTATCGTAATCACGGTACTGGTATATTCTAGTTTTAGACTTGCTTCTCCATTTTAAAATTAAATCATTAAATTGCCAAACCATTCTAATCTAGTTAAAAACTTCAGCATCCAATGGCATCAAGAATTGATTATGGTCTTGTCATGTTTAAATGTTAATAAATGTCTAATTAATAATTTATATAACATTTAAAGGACGGTAGCCAAGTCTTTAACTCGGTATCATCCACATTCTTCGACATTGCAAACATGACTTATTGGTCAATTTAAATCAACATTGATGTTATCTTACCGTGAAAAGATGGGTTTCTGGTACTCAATATTTAGGACACAATGAAAATTTTAAACTTGGCACATGAATCGCGTGCCAGAATGCTTTTGAGTGCCATTTGTAATGAAGCAACTGGATGAACAAGGTTAAACATATCCCACAGGGGAAGACAATTGACATAGATTGGAATAACCAGACACCATTCAGTTTGCACTTTTCGCATATTTCGTTGAACATAACTGATTAGAAATAACAGTAAAAACAGAAACAATTGAATGTAAATCAGTGCATTCATATTGCATTATTGTATGCGTTGTGACCAATTTGCGTCCATTTCTAGGTGCCAAAATATTGAGATTTTTCTCCTTTAAAGCTTAAAGAAAGACCTGCCATAGGCAAATTTAGCTCTTGAATAATATATCTTTAACTGAGTAAATGTTAGATATACATGTACCACAAAATTTTGATCCCTATATACATACAGTGCTTGGACTAGGTGGAAATTAGCCATTTTTCCTCAAATTTAGGAATGCGACCCCCACAGACAATACATTCTGTTGAAGAGAATCTTGTCATCAACTTGTCAAAGACAATGTATAATTATCTGATACAGATGATGTGGTGTTTAGGGCATACTAAGTATCATATTACACTGCTCTATAATTATTCAAATATTACATAAAGTTATACTAAGCTTTTTATATTTTAAATTTGATGTAATAGAAGAAACTTTATTGCGTAAAAAAATTACAAGATTATGTGCATATACAAATAAAAATAATAGAAAGATACATGCAGTAAGCAAAGATACATATACACGTACATAACTATACAAAGATACACTTTACAAAGACATGAACAAATTGTATACAAAAGCTCCCAAATATTTTAAAATGTCTACATTTTTATTGATCATCAGTATCTTAAATCGTTGAGAGCCACGGTTGCTAAGTGGGTAAGACACTGGCTCGCTAGCCTGGAGGTCGTATGTTCGATCCCTACATCGGTCGAGAAAGTTTGTTGGGATTTTCCAGCCTGGCTTCTCCTTGTCAGTGGTGCCGGACGGAGGGCCTGACAAGGACAGCCGTCCAGTCGTTCGGATGGTACCAAAACCGCCTGCCAGGGTATACATGCGCGTGCACGTAAAAGATCCCGTGGCAGTAGGAATTCGATATAAGAGTAAGCCATGGTGCAGCTGCCTGGGCAAAGTTTCTCTCATAGCACACTGTATGGCATTTGCCCGTTTTCATTAGATGGACAGAACAAGCTAACAAAAAGGCGTTTTTTTTGTACAATCAGTGGTCATAATCCAGCAAGTTACGGTCTGAAGTATCAACATTAGGAACCCAGATCTTTGGGATATAAATATATAACTGGATGAAAATTGTGACCTCTAAAGGATCCACAAGCTAAAACCGAGACCCGGTCCAATATCGAAAGAAACCAAGATCTTTGGGAGATATGCCCATATTTCAAGTTCTGTCAACATCGGCCGGACAAATGGACAGTGGCGACAGCAGTATACATCCACAAAAACATGTAGTCGTATAAAAATCAGGACCGGATGAAATGACCCCTCTCAAATTAAAATAACAGCTCTGGTCTGGTATCTGTGTTCTTCCTTGAATAAAAAGAATATGTTATGTATTGGGTTGGTTAGAATATTAGTTATATGACAGTCTCCATATGGATGCATACACCATTCAGACTCCTGGGGATATACAAAAAAATTAATGATCAATGTGTTTACTGGTTCTGGTTCAATCCAGCTTTTATATCTTTTGTGTTGAGTACATGTAGCATTTCAATACACATAAGATCTACTAGTACATATAATTTAAACTCAACTTACTCTTTTTCAGAATTAACTACTACCACAAGGATTTGTAAATATGGATAATTTGATAGACATAAATATTATAGAGGTGAGAACTGAATTCTATAAATTGTGAAACTATAAAATACAGATGCAGACTATAGCTTATTGTTATACGCCCACATTTTCATGTGGACGTATATTGTCGTCGCCCCTGTTTGTCCGTCGGTCCGGACGTCCGTCCACAATTTGTTTGTGGACACTCTACAGGTCACAATATTTATCCGATTTCAACGAAACTTGAAATATAGCTTTATCTCCCTAAGATCTTGGTTCCTTTCGATATAGGCATGTATCGGACCATAACTTCATGGATTATGGCCCCTGATTGTACGAAAAATTGCGTTTTTTGCTTGCGGACACTCTAGAGGTCACAATTTTGATCCGATTTTGATGAAACTTGAAATGCATGTTTATAACCCAAAGATCTTGGTTCCTTTCGATATTCGCGCATATCGGAACGTAACTTCCTGAATTATGGCCCCTGAGTGTACGAAAAATCGTGTTTTTGGCTTGTGGTCCCTGCAGAGGTCACAATTTTTATCCAATTTAAAAAAACGTTTTAGTATATCACTGTTACACCGTAATAAAGGTTGAGTTCAAATTTCGTGAAAATCGGACCAAAACTGACGGACAAAATGGCCGCCTCTTGTACGCAAATTGTGTAAAAATATGGTATATCAAGGTTGTGGACTCTGTAGAGGTCACAATTTTAATCCGATTTTGATGAAACTTGAAATGCATGTTTATAACCCAAAGATCTTGGTTCCTTTCGATATTCACGCATATCAGACCGTAACTTCCTGAATTATGACCCCTGATTGTACGAAAAATCGCGTTTTTATGCCGTCGCCCCTGTCCATCCGGACGTCCGTCCGTCCACAATTGTTTGTGGACCCTCTACAGGTCACAATTCTTATCCGATTATGACGAAACTTGAAATATAGGTTTATCTCCAAAAGATCTCGACTGCTTTTGATATTGGCATGTATCGGATCAAAACTTCATGGATTATGGCCCCTGTTTGTACGAAAAATCACGTTTTTAGCTTGTGAACACTGTAGAGGTCACAATTTTTATCCCATTTATTTTATTAAACTTGAAATGTATGATTATAACCCAAAGATCTCGGTTCCTTTCGATATTCGCGCATATCGGACCGTAACTTCCTGAATTATGGCCCCTGATTGTACGTAAAATCGGGTTTTTAGCTTGTGGACCCTATAGAGGTCATAATTTTTATCTAAGTTAAAAAAACATATCATTATATCACCGTTACACCCTAAGGACGGCTGAGTTCGAATTTCGTGAAAATCGGCCCAAAACTGATAGACAAAATGGCCGCCCTTCGTTCTCAAATAGCGTAAAAATATGGTATATCAAGGTTGTGGACACTATGGAGGTCACAATTTTAATCCGATTTTGTTGAAACTTGAAATGTAAGTTTATAACCCAAAGATCTTGGTTCCTTTCGATATTCGCGCATATCGGACCATAACTTCCTGAATTATGCCCCCTGATTGTACGAAAAATTGCATTTTTAGCTTGTGGACCCAATAGAGGTCATAATTTTTATCTAATTTTAAAAACCGTATTATTAAATCACCGTTACACCCTAAGGAGGGCTGAGTTCGAATTTCGTGAAAATCGGCCCAAAATTGATAGACAAAATGGCCGCCATTCGTTCTCAAATAGCGTAAAAATATTGTATATCAAGGTTGTGGACCCTATAGAGGTCACAATTTTTATCCCATTTTGTTGAAACTTGAAATGTTAGTTTATAACCCAACGATCTCGGTTCCTTTCGATATTCGCGCATATCGGACTGTAACTTCCTGAATTATGGCCCCTGATTGTACGAAAAATCACGTTTTTAGCTTGTGGACCCTATAGAGGTCATAATTTTTATCTGATTAAAAAAAACGTATTACTATATCACCGTTACACCCTAAGGATGGTAGAGTTCGAATTTCGTGAAAATCGGTCCAAGGCTAACAGACAAAATGACCGCCCTTCGATCTCAAATAGCGTAAAAATATGGTATATCAAGGTTGTGGACCCTATAGAGGTCACAATTTTAATCCAATTTTGTTGAAACTTGAAATGTAAGTTTATAACACAAAGATCTCGGTTCCTTTAGATATTTGCGCATAACGAATTGTAATTTCCTGAATTGTGGCCCTTGATTGTAGGAAAAATTGCGCTTTTAGCTTGTTCTCTATCCATCTCTCGAAAATGTTGGCGTATCCTGCCTGGCAGCCACTGGTAATGAAACTTAAAAAATATGTTTATATCCCAAAGATCTCTGTCCTTCCGATATTTGCTCATATCGGACTGTAACGTAACCCATAATGACGGTTAAGTTTGAATTTCGTGAAAATCGAACCGGAAATGTGGAATTCTACAGGTCACAATTCTTATCCGATTTTGACGAAACTTGAAATATACATGTAGGTTTATCTCCCAAAGATCTTGGTTCCTGTCGATATTGGCATGTATCGAATCGAAACTTCATGGATTATAGCCCATGATTGTACAAAAAATCATGTTTTTTGCTTGTGGACACTCTAGAGGTCACAATTTTCATCTGATTTTGATGAAACTTGAAATGCATGTTTATAACCCCAAGATCATGGTTCCTGTTGATATTCACGCACATTGGATCGTAACTTCCTGAATTATGGCCCTTGATTGTACAAAGAATTGCGTTTTTAGCTTGTAGTCCCTCTACAGAAGTCACAATTTTTATCCGATTTATAAAACTGTGTGAATATATCACCGTTGCACCCTAATGATGGTTGAGTTTGGACAAAATGGCTGCCCCTCATGTGCCTCATAAGCAAATAGTGTAACTTCCTGGATTATGGCCCCAGATTGTATAAATAATCTTGTTTTTTAGCTTGTGGATTCTCTAGAGGTCACAATTTTTTATCCGATTTAAATATATATCACAATTCCACCATAATGAAGGTTAAATTCTAATTTCGTGAAAATCAGACCAAAACTGCCTGACAAAATGGCCGCTCCTTGTACGCACATAGTGTAAAAGTATGTAATACCAAGGTTGTGAACTCTCTGGAAGTCACAATTTTTATCCGATTTTGATAAAACTTCAAAAATATATTTTTATATCCCAAATATCTCAGTCCATTTCGATATTCGGACATTTCAGACCATAACTTCCTGGATTATGAACCCTGATTGTATGAAAAACGCTTTGAAATGTGGTCGTATATTGTCGTCACCCCTGTCTGTCCGGACGTCCGTCTGTCTGTTCGTCGGTCAAGCGTCCGATTGACTTAAAATTTATACACAGTGTTTAAGGTCATGAGACGAAGAAGTCTTGATTTTCATCGATTCCCGATAATTACTGCCCGAGTTATTGCCCTTTATCACTTTGAAATATCTTGTGGATGCTCTAGAGGCTAAAGCTAATATCCAATTGACATTAAATTTATACACAGTGTTTGCGGTCATGAGATGAAGAAGTCTTTTGATTTTCAACAGTTTCCGATAATTACTGCCAGAGTTATGGCCCTTCATCACTTTGAAAAATCTTGTGGACGCTTTAGAGGCTAAAGCTAATGTCCGAATGACTATAAATTTATGCACAGTGTTTAAGGCCATGAGACGAAGAAGCCTGGCTCTTAATTACTTTGAAAAATCTTGATAACTTGAACAGCTAAATCCATGATGTTTCGTATACTAAATGTTAGCATGGGGCATAACTAAAAGCCATACAAATTCTAATAGTTTTCTGATAATTACTTAATGAGTTGTTACTCTTAACCAGACTTTAGTGTTTTATGAATGTTTCATTAGCGACAATAGAAAAAATATGTGACAACTCTTGTTGACTGCTCGGACGACTTAGCTGCTGTGGGTGTATGTTTTGTTGCCTGGCAACCTATCTTTTTTTTTTAGCTTGTTGTCTATCCATCTCTTGCAAAATGTGGGCGTAACTTGCCTGGTTACCGCTGGTATATTATAATTATAATAATATTATTATTGTCTGAAGGAACATAGTACATAAAAAATTAATTTTTCAGGTCAATGACCCCGGAGATTTCTTAGGTATAGAAATTCCTTCAGTGAATAAAACCTCTGCTTTTGGTATATTTCATCAAATGGTTCAGGAAATGAATGAATACTGTAATAATGATCAACTGTTTTTTAATGATAAATTTCAACCTCAACTTGTAAGTGTCATGTCGCCTTGGCAAATATCTCAATAAGTAATAATAATTAAACTTGTTATGCTTATATATTGAATGATATAAAGATAGAACTCAATGACAATTGAATACCGCTCGGGGTTATTCAATGGTTCCAGAGAGTGTATCCTTGGTCATTGAGTTCTGTTTTTATTCCATAACTACATGTAAATCTCAAAATACACTGTACTATCCAGATTACAAACTAAAAATCATCACCAATAACGTTAAAATTCATCATAAGTTCCGCCCTTTTGATCTTTCTTTTTTTTTTGGCAAAAATTGTGGTTGCTAGTGGTGATGTCATTACAGTTTGACGTAATTTTGTGCTGACATAAATTAAATATTACGCTTGGATGTATTGGAAGCGGTAAATTTGACCATCGCTGAATCTTGCACCGAACGAAAATTCTTTACTCAAATCTCGGACATAACTTAACGGGGGTGGCCTCTTAATAAAATCTTGGTGCTTTTTGTGCTGACATAAATTAAATATTACGCTTGAATGCATTGGAAGCGGTAAATTTGACCGTCGCTAAATCTTGCGCCGAACAAAAATTCTTTACTCAAATCTCAGACATAACTTCTGTAAACTTGTCATTTTGTACCAACCTTTGATACTACTGTCTACCATTGTGATGCATTCGATAATATTTATCCATTTTTGTGAAGAAAATCGATGAATTATTTTTATTTTATCAAAAAAGCACATGAACAAAAAAACATTGCTAATTTTATCACCTATTTACAGAGGGTGTAACTATGTATGTAATATTATAGGAGGCGCTAAAATGTCTGTTTAACAATAAAGTGGCAATGGAAAAGAGATACTAGATGATCGTGACAAAACTTGGTACTTTTATTTTATTCAATCAGTATCAAATAATGTGTCGTTATGCATGAAAGCAATGATTAGGTTAGTCGTTTAATAAAACAAAAGATTAATTAACAGATAATCCCGGGTTGATTGTTATTTTTACATTTCTTTTTACCTGATCAGTGGGGGTCCAGTTAATTAACTACTACTCACGGGATTAGCGGGGGTGTTACAAAGAATGACAAGATGGTATCATTCAACAATGGCCATTGAATGGGCGATGTTTTGTTGAATTTATTAGTAAAATAGTGACTTCTGGCTGCGTTAGAGGAGTGACCGTTGAATAGAGATGAAACAACAAAATTTCTACGGGAGGAATTTATCGTGACCACTTACAAGGAGATGTCGCTGAATAGGAGTGGCTGCTCATACAGATTCTACTGTATTCAATAGCTGTATGCAGTGATATTTGCTTGAATTTGCATGTAGTTATAGAATAAATGTATTAATGGGGGGTGGCTGAGTGGTCTACCACATGAACTGAACGTCATCACATTATTGCATCAAGTTTCAATATCAGGCTTTTAATACATGTATGACAAGGTATAGGGTAGCCAGCCTAAAGCCTGCTGAAAATTATTGAAGTAAATATCACTGTATTAGTGGATGTTAAACACATTTTTATACGCCCACATTTTCATGTGGACGTATATTGTTGTCCCCCCTGTCCGTCCGTCCGTCCACAATTGTTTGTGAACAGTCAACAGGTCACAAATTTTATCCGATTTCAATGAAACTTAAAATATAGGTTTATCACCCTAAGATCTTGGTTCCTTTCGATATTGGCATGTATCACGTTTTGAGCTTGTGAACACTGTAGAGGTCACAATTTTTATCCGATTTATTTGAAACTTGAAATATAAGTTTATAACCCAAAGATCTCGGTTCCTTTCAATATTTGCCCATATCGGACCGTAACTTCCTGCATTATGGCCCCTGATTGTACGAAAAATCATGTTTTTAGCTTGTGGACCCATTAGAGGTCATAATTTTTATCCGATTTAAAAAAACGTATTATTATATTACCGTTCAACCCTAAGGACAGTTGAGTTTGAATTTTGTGAAAATCGCCCCAAAATTGACAGACAAAATGGCCGCCGTTCGTTCTCAAATAGCGTAAAAATATGGTATATCAAGGTTGTGGACCCTATAGAGGTCACAATTTTTATCCGATTTTGGTTGAAACTTGAAATGTAAGTTTATAACATAAAGATCTCAGTTCCTTTCGATATATGCGCATATCGAATTGTAATTTCCTGAATTATGGCCCTTGATTGTAGGAAAAATCACTTTCTTGTTAGCTTGTTCTCTATCCATCTCTCTAAAATGTGGGCGTATCTTGCCTGGCAGCCGCTGGTTATCTGATTTTGTTGAAACTTGAAATGTATGTTTATATCCCAAAGATCTCGGGTCATTTTGATATTCACGCATATCGGACCGTAACTTCGTGAATTATGGCCCCTGATTGTACGAAAAATTGCATTTTTAGCTTGTGGACCCTATAGAGGTCATAATTTTTATCCAATTTAAAAAAACCTATTATTATATCACCGTTACACCCTAAGGACGACTGAGTTTGAATTTCGTGAAATGGCCCCTGATTGTACGAAAAATTGCATTTTTAGCTTGTGGACCCTATAGAGGTCATAATTTTTATCCGATTTAAAAAAAATATTATTATATCACCGTTACACCCTAAGGACGACTGAGTTTGAATTTCGTGAAAATCGGCCCAAAACTGACAGACAAAATGGCCGTCCCTCGTTCTCAAATAGCGTAAAAATATGGTATATCAAGGTTGTGGACCCTATAGAGGTCACAATTTTTATCCGATTTTGGTTGAAACTTGAAATGTAAGTTTATAACATAAAGATCTCAGTTCCTTTCGATATATGCGCATATCGAATTGTAATTTCCTGAATTATGGCCCTTGATTGTAGGAAAAATCACTTTCTTGTTAGCTTGTTCTCTATCCATCTCTCTAAAATGTGGGCGTATCTTGCCTGGCAGCCGCTGGTTATCTGATTTTGTTGAAACTTGAAATGTATGATTATATCCCAAAGATCTCGGGTCATTTTGATATTCACGCATATCGGACCGTAACTTCGTGAATTATGGCCCCTGATTGTACGAAAAATTGCATTTTTAGCTTGTGGACCCTATAGAGGTCATAATTTTTATCCAATTTAAAAAAACCTATTATTATATCACCGTTACACCCTAAGGACGACTGAGTTTGAATTTCGTGAAATGGCCCCTGATTGTACGAAAAATTGCATTTTTAGCTTGTGGACCCTATAGAGGTCATAATTTTTATCCGATTTAAAAAAAAATATTATTATATCACCGTTACACCCTAAGGACGACTGAGTTTGAATTTCGTGAAAATCGGCCCAAAACTGACAGACAAAATGGCCGTCCCTCGTTCTCAAATAGCGTAAAAATATGGTATATCAAGGTTGTGGACCCTATAGGTCACAATTTTTATCCAATAATTTTGAAACTTGAAATGTAAGTTTATAACCCAAAGATCATGGTTCCTCTCGATATTTGCGCATATCTCGCACATATTGGACTGTAACTTCCTGAATTATGGCCCCTGATTGTACAAAAAATTGCGTTTTTAGCTTGTGGACCCTATAGAGGTCATAATTTTTATCTGATTTAAAAAAAACGTATTATTATAACACCGTTACACCCTAAGGACAGTTGAGTTCGAATTTCGTTAAAAATATGGTATATCAAGGTTGTGGACCCTATAGAGGTCACAATTTTAATCCTATTTTGATGAAACTTGAAATGTAAGTTTATAACCCAAAGATCTCGGTTCCTTTCGATATTTGCGCATATCGGAAAGTAACTTCCTGAATTATGGCCCCTGATTGTACGAAAAATCGCGATTTTAGCTTTTGGACCCCATAGAGGTCATAATTTTTATCCGATTTAAAAAAAACGTATTATTATATCACTGTTAGACCCTAAGGACGACTGAGTTCGAAACTGACAGACAAAATGGCCGCCCTTCATTCTGAAGTAACACAATGATATGGTATATCAAGGTTGTGGACCCTATAGAGGTCACAATTTTTATCCGATTTTGTTGAAACTTGAAATGTAAGTTTATAACCCAAAGATCTCGGTTCCTTTCGATATCCATCTCTCGAAAATGTGGGCGTATCCTGCCTGGCAGCCGCTGGTTTTCTAATAATTTGTTTTGTCATGTCAGGAATATAAATAATAGTAATATAATCAAAGGGATTTAGTTACAATTCATTTTATGACATATTCAAGGTTGAAGATAATGAATGAATAATTGCGTATTTTAGGGAAAAGAGGTGTATGCAGGATTTCGAATAAAAGATAAAACATGGCATCGTGTTAAAGTAGAGAATATACTTCAAACAAGTAGAGGAAGACAGTGCATGTAAGATTTGATTATTATTAAGGGTTATAAAAAGGCCAATTTTTCTGGTGGTATATACAAGTTCTTATTCAAACTTGGCTGTAAAAATCGATAGAGATAAAAGCGCTGTCTTATTGATTTATTAGTAGTCTATAATTGAAAGTTTTAATGAAGTGTCTTTTGTGTGTAGAAGGGTCCAAGATACAATTCCAGTGTTGACTGAGAAAGTCTGTATGGAAAAGCATCTATTTGTTCAGATAGGATGAAAAATCAGAGATCCTGTATATGCAGCATGTTATAGATCCCCTGATAATTGGAAATAGAGTATGTTGTAGTTTGCTGCCCTGTTAAAATTTCCCTAGTGTGCCTGATTGGTGTGGAATTGTACTATGTTAAACCCCATTTCTTTAGGCAAAAGTGTGAAAACAAATGTAATCAGTGACCAATCAAAGTTAATGACATATAGTTTCATGTATTATTTAATACCAGTATGCATTATTCAAGGTTTGCACACACCTGAAACTCTTGGAAAAATGAAAATATGATTTCCAGTACTGGAAACTCCTGGAAAAATAAGATTACTGCTTGAAACTCCTGGAAAATTAACATTTGTTGTTTCGCTATATATTTTAAAATATAAAACTGAAGGTAGTCATAAAATGTTTCTATACAGGGACTCCTGGAATCTGGTAATCAACTCCTTGAAAACTCCTGGAATTTAAAGTGTTCTGAGTTGTTCCTACCCTGTTGATTATGTTTGTTGTTTTCTTCAGATGCTATTTAGTGGATTATGGACAAATGGAAAATATACCAGTTAACGAGTAAGTTAGATAGTACAGGTATTAGTAGTAGTAGTAGTAGTGTTATATATACACAGAAAGTAAAACAGTAATTGTGAACATAAGAACTTGATTAGATTAACTCATCCAGAATTATTATATATTAGCTATATGATCATACTGTAATTTGTCATATATAATTTCATGATTTAGAATTCGTAAAATACCTGAAGAATTTCGACACGTGCCACATCAAGTCAGAAGATATGCTTTGTATGGAATACAGGCTTTGACACTTGCTTTAGATGCTGAATTAATGGCCAAAGATACGTAAGTGAAAATCACAATACTTGACTTGGTTTCAAGATATCTCTTGGTGTAATAAAAATAATTAGTTTTTGTTTCCATGACGATCTTATAAGACCATTGTGTCTGGGATTTACCTGACCGGATTGGATTGAAACAGCTATCTTAACTATAACAAGGCTGTAATTTCCTTCCATTAAATCTGTATGTTTTCAGAATGAAAAGAAAATTTACTATGTTGCAGTAACTGTCATAATTAAATTAATTATTGCAATTAACCCAGCTGAAAGTAAACAATGAAAAATTAATCTTTTAAACAATCACTACCATAGGACATGCTATGATACACACAGATATTATTGCTATTGTGATAATAAGATTTACATCATAGCTTAAAATGGTGTAATATTCAAAGGTTTTATCAAGTCCTAATAAAATCTTAATTTATATGATCTTGATTTGATATTATTTAAATTTCAGCCCTTGTGTAGTGTGGGATCTTTCTGCTAAAGAATATTTAAAGGATTTGAATAAAGGTAAATATAGCTGTATGATTCTGATTTTTAAGCCTGGAACACACTGGTTTAGAGTAAGGACAGGCAAGGAAAACTGTCAAGTTGTACGAAAACCACACATGACAAAATCTTTGTTTAGGAATTCGATCTGCACCAATCTGAATGTTTAGTTTGCTAGAATTTATGTGTGGTGAGCTGGATACGGGTCGACCAGAAGTTTCTGTAGTCTGGTCTGTAGTCTGGTCTTTAGTGTATGTAGATTTTGATTTGCGACTACTACAAGACTATTGGTAGTAAATGCTTAAATAGGCTGGTTGACTGGAATATAGAGAATGTTTTTTTTTTTTCATTGCTTGTAAGAGGTTTTAAGAGAAATGATTGTGCCACATATCAACTGGTTAATATCAATGTTTCTCATGTCAGTTCATTTGCACATACAGTGGACTCTGTCACATCCGACATCGTACGGGATCGTTACAATAATTCGGATCACACAGCGTTTCGGAATACCGAGCTTTCTCCAAAACCGGAAATACTGTAACTTCGAAAACCGGAAGTATTTTTATATTGTAGCTTCGAATCACCAGAATGCTATTCCCTTTATAAATGATAAACTTTTCTGTACTTTCAAAATTTTATTACATTAAATAATTAACAATAACAATGCATGCGTACAATATATTCATAAAATCATTTACATGTAATATCAATGCATGCGTACAATATATTTATAAATATCAATGCATGTAATCGTTTAAAGTAGTTTGCTTAAGATTACCGGAATCATATCGTAACATCTTCTAACAAATGAATTGTTGCGATCATCTTTTCGTCCTTAATCTGTGCGAAGTGTTTAATGTCGTTGAGCATGCGTAGGCATTTTGAATAGGTCAAGTCTGTCGTTAATGTATATTGAGTTTTTCAAGCCAATCAGAGTAAATGGCACCTGTCATCCAAGCTTTGCGATTGGCCGACCAATTGACTGGCAGGTTGATCTTGTCCACTCCCTTAAAACATCTCCTGTTCTCTGCTTTACCGATCACAATGTGTCATTGTGTTGACGTCTTCAAATTTTGAGTTGGTGTAAAATCGTTTCTTACTGCAGTTTAAATTATCGGCAAACTTCTGTTAAAATTCATCTTTACGCTTTAATATGTTTGACACTGTAGCTCGGCCAATTGAATACTTAACGGATAAATCCTTCTGCGCAGGTCGTGGAACTTTCTCGAAATCTGCTATAAGTTGCCGCTTTACATCTAATGTAAAATCTGTTCGGGCACGCTTTGCAGGATGTTCAGACATTTTGAATACAATAATGTATAATGATTCTTCAATCGCAGCAATTTTTATATAATGTCGCGGTATTTGACATGAGTAACTAAAATCAAATACCAAGCGCACTCTTACAAGAGAATATAAATTGTAAAATAATCAACAAAGAATTTATAACATTATCAAAGTAATCAACACAGACCGGCGCTTGCGAGTTTTAATCTCACCGATAATTGATTGGTGATTGCTTGTTAATCTTTTCTGGCTTCACACCCATTGAGTTTTAATCTCACCGATAATTGGATGCTTCACACCCACCGTTTGAAGTACGGATTATACGGTGTCGATTCAATGGAAATTATGTGACGGGACGGCTGATTGATGTCGGAATCCGGAACATACAGAATTTGGATTTACCAGCGATTTTTTGGCTGAAGTAATAAGGAAATAAATCGGGACATGAAAATCATGTCGGATGTCACAGCAATCCGGAGTGATCAGAGATCGGATGTGACAGAGTCCACTGTATAGCTGTAAGCCCAAGTCGTTCACAGCTAGAGATCAATTTTCATTATGTTACAAATTTTGAATCTGGATGTGATGGAATTCTGCCCTAATTTTTCAGAATCAACTAAATCTCAGGTAGAGATAAAGTATGTAAATACAGCAGGTGTAAAATATGTTCGATTGTATCTCAACACACCTTCAGGTAGAATTTGTGTTAATGATGATCTTGTGAAGAAAAAGTATGCTACTGTTTCACCTGTTTATCAACTAGATAATAAAAGCAAGTATATTTCCTAGCCGCTCTGCACAAAGAATTGTTTATATTTTTGCTAAGGTCTTGTTCTCCACTTTGATTAAGGTTAACATATTGACATTCCCATACCCCACTTTAAGGTTAGCAAATTGACATTCCCAATGTGCATGTGTACATATTTCACCAGCATACTATTGTCTTAAAAGGGCAATTAATTAAAGCTAAATCTGCCTATTACAGGTCTTTCTTTAGACCTTAGATCGTCGATCGGGCATCAAAACCGCGTAACTCGTTTTTTTTGCGATTTTCATGTTTTTGCTTAAATCAACTATTTCCGCCGTGATAAATACTGTCTAAAAAACCTGTACGTCTACACCAATAAAATTTGGTGTAAAAGTCACATGAACAAAACCTTGTATTTCGATTGGTTAGAAATGATGCACGCCAAAACCACGTACCTCGCATTCGACCACGTGTACACTGTTAGCCTGAGGAAGCCTAAATGTCTAAATAGAGTTAAATGGTGTAATTAGGTAAGTTTTTGTACTATATGCTTGATATTTTCAAGATAAACTAAGATAAATATTACTTCTGAAGTGATATGGATTGGTTTTCGAATTAATCTTTTCCCCTATTTTGTTTAATGAGGACAATTGTCAGATTTTTGAATTTTCAAATTTGGCATATTGTATGACTGATAGAAGTAAATTGTGTCTTATAGAATGTGCTATATGAGAGCAATCTAATAGAAAACGCCTTGACAACGTCCTATTTTGAGCCTAAATTGGAGTTACGTGTTTATGCATTCTCCTAATTTGTTTTAATTATATCGACTTGCGTGGTTTTGCATAGATCTATCGGCAAATCAAACGAATAAATGAAAGAAAGAAATTGGGTTTAACGTCCTACTTTTCCGCTCCAACCGGGCTAATGAAGACGGGCATACACCATGCAATGTGCTACGAGGAAAATGTTGCCCGGGCATCAATAGCATTCCAACTGTAAAGGGTTCTTTTATGTGCCCACCAATTTATACACGAGGTCTCTGTATTTCGTCCCATCCTTACGACTAGGCCATCGAACCTCAGGCCTCTTAGTTAGTGAGACTGAGCCACCTTGGCAGCCGTAAATCAAATGAAAGAATAGATCATGACAATTCACATCATATTTTTTTTTAATTTCAGAATCACAATGATCTCAAATAAATTCAGCAACTGGACATGTGTTCGAATGGCTCTACAACAGTCTATTACAACAAAAAAAACAATCTGCCCCGATTTTTCAATCACAGAGTGGGACATCTAATCTTTATTCATCGGCCAGCGAACCGAAAAACTTAGCTAATCCCTTGACAAGTAAACGTCGCTGTTTTACTATCAATCATAGTCCGAACAACTCTGGTGATTCTGAAGATATTTCTGATGCTGAAGACCTGGAATAGGTTCGAGAAGCCAAATCACCTAAATGGACCCTCCCATTCGAAATAATCCCTGCGCAATCACCAATTACTGAGATAACCTGTTTAGAGAATGCTTCTGATCTTGATTCCTCTACTGAAAATCCTGCGAATGTCTACAATTCAAGTACAAAACTTCGCCAAAGACGAATAAATTATTTAGCAAGGATGCAGGGTCAGTTGTATAAGGGTATAAAGAAAACCGTAGAGGGAAAACGCACTTATTCTACAATCAAACAACCCAAGGCTATTTTACCTCGTGGTTGTAAGCCATCCTGCAAAAAGAACAAACAGACGCGGTGTGATGAATTCACAGACAAAGACCGACAGATTATTTTTGATGGTGTTTGGAAAATGGATTGGAACCAAAAAAGAATTTTTATTTTCAGTAATGTTGATGCCGATAAACCTGCAAAAAAAACGACAATGGCAGAACAGTCCAGACGAAAACGAACCCTCACATACCATCTCAAAAGAGAAGACACAATTAGAGGTCACAATTTTTACACACTAAGATCTTGGTTCCTTTTGATAATCGTGCATATCCAAACTTAACTTAATGGATTATGGCCCCTGATTGTTCGAAAAATCGCATTTTTAGCTTGCAGATTCTCTAGAGGTCACAATTTTTTTTCCTATTTTAAAAACCGTTTAAATATATTACCATTCCACCATAAAGAAGGTTGAATTCGAATTTCGTGAAAATTGAAATGAAACTGTCCAACAAAATGGCCGGTCTTTGTACGCAAATTGTGTAAAAGTATGTAATACGAAGGTTGTGGATCCTCTAGAGGTCACAATTTTTATCTGATTTTGATGAAACTTGAAATGTATGTTTGTAACCCAAAGATCTCGGTTCTTTTTCGATATCTTCCTGGATTATTGCCCCTGATTGTACAAAAAAATCACATTATTTTTTTTAAGCCCGTTACTCTGTCCATCTCTTGCAATTTGTGGGTGTATCTTGTATTGCAACCGCTTGTTGTCATTTCTGTCAAAATTTGAATAAAAGAGTTTTATTTTCAGTAAAATAATAGTTATTATATGCCTGTTGTAGTGTCCATTACCAGTGACCCATACTTAAAAAGATTCACATTAGTCTATTTGTAACAGCTACTGGAGCAAAAAAAGCTTAAAGACCCCATAAGATAAAAAATATAAATTTCATGTACGTATAGCCAATGCTTACTATATCCACTTTACGACAAGTTCAAGCCAATCTGATTAAAATTAAAAACGACTTTGCCAATTATCGAAAACACTCTTAATCCCCCAAATGCATATTCGGAATGTTTTTTCCTTAATTACCTATATACAGCCGGCGTGCGTATTCATTAATAAATAACCAATTGACTACGGAATAATTTGTTTTGTAATTTAAGATCCAATTTAAAATTTGTCTTATAATGTCCCGCCCTCTCTTCTAACGACAGCGATTTTAAAACTTTTTTAAAGTGACTTTTTGTTAGAGTTCCTCTACCATTGTTTGCAGTCCAAATGATTTGAGATACTTTTCTATCGGAAGAGTATTGTGGTTTTAATTTCCCTGAGTAAAAGAGTACAGGAGTAAAAAGATGTGGTCATGCAAAATGTATCATAAAAGTCAAACATGATTGAAACGCGATTTGTAAATGACTATCCGTTATCAAAGTAGTCAACTGTATCGCGTTTTCCTGTAGCCATCGTACAGAGCCTTTCTTTCTGCATGTGGATTTGACTTCATTACTCTGAAATAGACCGTAAAAATGAAATACGAAAAAATATCTCAATATACGTTAGTACAGTACAAATAAATTTTTTGTTAACCATCTAAATCGAATAACAGATTGAGAAGGGTCATCTAACTATCTTTGTGTATTTATAATAATATGGCAAGTGTAGTGTCGTTAATATCTGTCATTAATCAATCTGACTAAAGTTGCACAGACATGGGGTCATAAATTACTTTACACCTCGATGTGGGATTAAGAATGATGATTATGTAATTACTTTTTTATGCTGGCCAGATCAAAGACATTATGGTGGAACGTGTGCGTAATACCCCACGAACAAACGAAAAAAGTTACGGGGGAACTTTTCTACAAACATTTCTCCTCACGACAACTAATCGTAGAATCATACACACATTAATTGTATAAAATAATTATGTTTTACTCATCAGTTGTTGTTTATAATTATTATTTACCCAACAATCAATTAGCTTTGTTTACCGATGTTTTTGTAATAAAGTAGCCTCGTATTATTTGTTGATTGGCGTTTAAGCAACATTTAATTGACTGGATATGAAATCTGAATATAAATTATTCGATGGATAAACGGTTGTGATAAGATTAGGTTATAATGTCTAACATCGTTTAACTTCTTTATAATAAAGGTATTTTACAATTACATTGACAGTTTAAACACTCACCAAACGGCACCAGAAACTCCACGTATGATCACATGTATTTGATATTCATGTCCATGAATCCCATGCAATTTTCTCGCCAAAATTTAACCTCAGTTACTACGCCCGTAGGGTGCATGGAACCGTACATGGTAATAAGATTCCCAGCATTGATTAGCTGAGAAATGAGGGCAATCTATTGTTATGCATGGTCATCAGAGAAATCTATATTCGCTGTGAATTTCAAATGAGTATGATAAAAGTTGTTCTTTGTGTATAGAAATGGTTGTTATTATTATATATAGCTAATAATGAATATATCGACAAGTGACTGGCACCATTTGTATTTCTGCACTTATAGAAAATAGTTTGGGATATCAAGTATTACGGGGTTATCCAAATTACTGGTAAATGCGCTAATTGCTTGTGTCGTCTGCAGTTGCCATGTGGCCTGTTTGATCAAAGGCAGATCAAATGGATCTACGGCATAATACAACATTTTAAATTCACTCTAAAATATTCCAATCACAAATGTCTAATCTATAACAATGCAAGACGATAATTCGGTGATTATGATTAGGCCAATCACATGTTATTTGGACCGTCTATAGACACTTGTCAACTGGTGGTGTGTATAGACAGTGATATATTCTATAGATAATTTATATTCTGTGTGTAGTCCCTGTGACGTCACCAGCCAATCAACCAGATTAAGGTCGTAATTGAAAAAAACGAAAAGCATTTTGGCGTGTCGGATACTTAAACGTTAATAGCCGAATTAATTTTAATCAGATTGGTGTTAACTTGCCGTAAAGTGGAGATAGTAACCATTGGCTATACGTACATGAAATTTAGATTTTTCATCTTATGTGGTGTTTAAATTTTACTGACCAAAATATTGAACTATTGATAATTAGAATTGCAAGCCACTGCAAGAAAAAAAATTTTTTCTGTGTTTTAGCCGTATGCTTTCATTTTCTGCCATAATAATGAAGGCACATAATTTTGGAGGAATATTACTGGCATGGGATTGAAGCAGTTACAGGTCGCTACACTTTCATTCTCTCGTATTACAAAAACACATATTTTTTTGCATTCAGAACACATGCTATACAACATGAAAATATTTGTATTTGAAGTCTATTAGAGGGAATGGAAGCTTATTGATGTTGTGTCCTAATTCTGACCTCTATATTAACTTGAACTAAAAATGTCTGATGAGCAAAATTATGGTAGCCCTGATGTTCATGCACTAGGAGGAAAATTTTGTGCAGACTTTCACATTCCCACCTAATCTTCTTCAGTTATTCCATTTATCAAGTTTTATTTTAGATGCAGACTAATATTAAAGCTTGTACCATGTCCAACTACAGACTAGTGGAAATTAATGCCGGGCTAGTGTCTGACAGTAGACGACTAGCCCTGGGCTAGTTGAGTTCGAATTTTGTGAAAATCAGACAGAAATTGCCCGACTAAATTAGTATGCAGTTAGTGTAAAAATAAGGGGCCACGGTGGCTAGTTGGTTGAGACGCTGGCTCGCTAGCCTGGAGGTCGGGTGTTCGATCCCTGCATTGGCCGAGAAAGTTCATCTGGATTTTCCGACATGGTTTCCCCTTGTCAGTGGTGCAGAACAGAGGGCCGGACAAGGACAGCTGTCTAGTCCTTCGGATGATACGAAAAACCGAGGTCCTGTGTATACATTGGAATGCACGTAAAAGATCCCTTGGCAGTTGGAATTCGATATAAAAGTAAGCGATAGTGCCGCTGCCGGGCAAAATTTCCCTCATAGCACACTGTATGGCGTATGCCCGTCTTCATTAGCCCAGTATAGGGGCAGAACAGTAGGACGTTAAACCCCAATTCATTTCATTTCATTTCATGTAAAAATATCTAATACCAAGGTTATGGACCCTCTAAAGGTCACAATTTTTATCCGAGTTTCCAAATATGTTTATATCCCAAAGATCTGGGTTCCTTTTGATACTTGCACTTCCTGGATTTACATGGTGCCTTCTTGTTGTCAAAATGGCTTTTTCTTAGCTTGTTTGCTGTCCATCTCTTGCAAAATGTGGGCATATCTTGCATGACAACTGCTTGGTTAACTGTGTAGTGAGAATTGTCAGCTCATTATCTAAATCTTAAATAATTTATCTTTAATTAAATATTTATTTATTTAAATTCGTGCTAGAATTTGCCATCCAACGGTCTGTAATTCTTGCTGAGAAAAGCACATTAGAAATGTAGGGCCTACACATAATTATTAATTTTTATAATTTTAGATGTAAATAATGCAGACTCTACTCAGATTGTACCATGTCGAAACCTGTCTGAAACTAAAGCCGATATTAATAACTTCATTAAATTGATCAGTAACACTTCGAAGCCCCAAAATAATGCCAAGGCTCAAAAATACTTAACAGAAGTTAGTTCATCGGATGAAGTGAATACAGTATCAAATGATATGAGAAGAAATGCTGTATCAGACAGCGAAACTGTTACTCAAAAATTGAAAATAGAAAAACCCAAAGTAGTTGTTCAACAGAGTATGAATAAACTTGAAGAACTGTTAAAATGTTTGCCTTCTGCTAATTATAAAAGTGATCATACCCCTGATCCAGATATGCCTATTCCCTTTCAAAGAGCACGCTTGCCAAAGATTGCCTTACAAAAAGCGAAGCCTACCAGTGAGGCTGAACATACCAGTTTGCCGCAGCCATCCATTCCAAAGTCTCCTGTGTAAGTTTTCTCTTTATATTAAAACATATTTTCTTCATTTACATTTATCTTGTCGCCAGCCCTTGTTGCCACTTTGTAGGCTGCAATTATTAACCTATCTTTCTGAATTAACGTTTTTTGTCTGTACTATTCAAAGGAAGAAAGTATCCCATTCATTTTCAATAATAACTTTGTTATAAATCTTGTTAGCACGTTAGAGACTTTAACTGTTATATTTTTTAAATTATTGTTCAGCTTGTCACAGTTTGGCGCAAAGCTTCTGATGGTCATACAGTGTGTTTTGTTGCCTGGCAACCCATGCGATGTGTGGTGTTAAATAAACATTATTCATTGTGAATTTAGCTCGCTTAGTAGGATCGGATAAATCAACCTGTAAAGCTTTTTGAAGCAATTACTATGGAAATTTGACAAGTTTGGCATTTGTGACCTCTAGAGGGGTCACAACCTTGATATACCATATTTTTACACTGTTTGCGTTTGAGGGGCGAAAATATGGTATATCAAGGTTGTGGACCCTCTAGAGGTCACAATTTTCTTCTGATTACGATGAAACTTGACATGTTAGTTTATAACCCAAAGATCTCGGTTCATTTCGATATTCGCGCATATCGGACAATAACTTGTTGAATTATGGCTCCTGATTGTACGAAAAATCACGTTTTTAGCTTGTGGACCCTATAGAGGTCATAATTTTTATCCGATTAAAAAAAACGTTTGACTAAATCACCTTTATACCCTAAGTATGGTAGAATTCGAATTTCATAAAAATCGGACGAAAACTGACGGACAAAATGGCCGCCCATCATACTCAAATAGCGTAAAAATATGGTATATCAATGTTGTGGACCCTCTAGAGGTCACAATTTTCTTCTGATTCTGATAAAACTTGAAATGTAAGTTTATAACCCAAAGATCTTGGTTCCTGTCGATATTCACGCATATCTGATTGTACCTTCCTGAATTATGGCCCTTGATGTTACGAAAAATCGCTTTTTCTGTAGCTTGTTCTCTATCCATCTCTTGCAAAATGTAGGCATATCCTGCCTGGCAGCCGCTGGGATATTTTCGTAATGCAAACTCTTTATACTGCTTGAATATTTTAATGAATTATTTTGTTTACATAAGTATTGAATTACAGTTACCGCACATGTCAATATTATTTTATTACCAAACTTAGAATTAGATAAGTAATTAAAAGGATTTGTCCATTTATCAAATGTGTCGATTATTAATAGTTATGAAATTGTAATTATTTTAATGAATGTGAGCCTAATTACCAAAGAATATGCATATCGAAGTCATTATAGACTTTTTGACAAGTGTTAAATTATTGTTTTGATCTGTATCTTATGTCTTTTCATTGTATTCTCCATTTCAGGAAAACAGTCATATCACCCGTTAAGACGACACCTTTGGAAATTCCTAGTCCGTCCATTATAAAAAAGTCTCTAGTGCGACGTTTATCGGATACTTCTGTCGTAAATAAGACTAATAATGGGTACCGTTAGCTTTACTATTTAGTTAATACTGGTGATTCCAAGAATTCTTAAACTTAATTATATATTTTTTATACGCCCACATTTTCATGTGGACGTATATATTGCCATCGCCCCTGTCCGTCTGTCCACAATTGTTTGTGGACACTCTACAGGTCACAATTTTTATCCAATTGCAACGAAACTTGAAAAATAGGTTTATCTCCGTAAGATCTTGGTTCCTTTCGATATTGGCATGTATCAGACCGTAAGTTCATGGCCCCCTGATTGTATGAAAAATCACGTTTTTAGCTTGTGGACCCAATAGAGGTCAAATGTTTTATCTGATTTCGTTGAAATTTGAAATGTAAATTTATAACATGAAAGATCTTGGTTCATTTCGATATTCGTGCATATTGGACCGTAACTTCCTGAATTATGGTCCCTGATTGTACGAAAAATCATGTTTTTTAGCTTGTGGACCCTGTGGAGCTCACAATTTTATTCCGATTTAAAAAAAACTTTTAAATATATCACCGTTGCACCTTAATGATGGTTGAGTTTGAATTTCATGAAAATCGCACCAAAACTGCTGGACGAAATGGCCACCCTTCGTTTGCAAACAGTGTAAAAATATGGTATATCGATTGATCCGATTTTGATGAAACGTGAAATACATGATTATAACCCAAAGATCTTGGGTCCCTTTGATATTTGCGCATATTTGATCGTAACTTCCTGAATTATGGCCTTTGACTGTACGAAAAATCACGTTTTTAGCATGTGGTCCCTCTAGAGGTCACAATATTATCATCTGATTGAAAAAAAAAAACATGTGAATATATCACCTTTGCACCGTAAGGATGGTTGGGTCCAAATTTCGTGAAAATCGGACCAAAACTGCCAGACAAAATGGCTGCCCCGCCCGTTCTCAAATAATGTAAACATCTGGTATATCAAGGTTGTGGACCCTCTATAGGTCACAATTTTGATCTGATTTTGATGAAACTTGAAATATATGTTTATAACCCACAGATCTTGGTTCCTTTTGATATTTGCGGATATCGAACTGTAACTTCCGGAATTATGTCCCCTGATTGTACGAAAAATCGTGATTTTAGCTTGTGGTCCCTCTAGAGGTCACAATTATTATTTGATTTACAAAAACGTTGGAATATATCACTGTTACACCATAATGTTGGATGAGTTCGAATTTCGTGAAAATCAGACCAAAACTGTCAGACAAAATGGCCACCCCTCATACGCAAATAGTGTAAACATCTGGTATATCAAGGTTGTAGGCCCTCTAGAGGTCACACTTTGTACGGAAATTGTGTAAAAGTATGTAATACGAAGGTTGTGGACCCTCTAGAGGTCACAATTTTTATCTGATTTTGATTAAACTTGAAATATATGTTCATAACCCAAAGATCTCGGTTCCTTTCGATATTCGTGCATATCGGAGCATATCTTCCTGGATTATGGACCCTGATTGTACAAAAAATCACATTATTTTTTTTAGCTCGTTCTCTGTCCATCTCTTTCAAAATGTGGGTGTAACTTGCATAGCAACCGCTTGTTAGCAAATACTTATGTTTATCACAGTTACTGTTATATATTTTTCATGTTTTGTTACTGTTTTCTTTATTAGATATTTGATCTTAAATTGAATGTCAAAGATTAAGATTTCAATGAGCAATATCAGTATTATACATGTATGTATGGGTTGGTTCTCAGGTACTGTGACACATACAAGTGGCTTCAAGGCCATCTTTCGTTCAAAGTAACAAAAATGTATATTAGATTACCAAATTACGACCATTATGTTTTTAAATAATATGTAGTAAAGATTGTATCATGGGTCATGCTCACCTTTCTATTGAGATGTTAATATTTAGTGAGGAGTCTATAGCTAGTCATTATATTTGAAAACCCCTTGCTATGTAGTTCATAAGAATTAGTGACATAGACTCTCTCAAACAGAATGTTTATTTTTTCAAGGCTGTGGTTTGTAAATATAAACATTTCATAATACATTTTTGTCTCCATTTACTTTTAGATACAAAGTGTAATCCAATTCTCAACTGGAATATAAATGACCTGAGAACCATCCTTTTATATGTTTATGTAATTTCAAGGGATTCATTTTGATGTTAATTTAATGTATTTTGTTACTGAATTAAATATTTTGAAATTTACAATGTGTTTTATGTGGTTCTCAGGCTGTTTTTTTCCACTTAAAATTTGTTAAAAAGATATTTTATGATACATCATAAAAGACCGACGATTATTACTTCTATCCTGCTGCCTCCCCTATAGACAATGTTGTGCTTTATTCAACTTTCAGGTTTTCAGAAGGTTCTAGTGAAGATGTAGATTGTATGAAACCACTAGACGATGAACAAGAGAGGATAAAAACTAAATTTTTAGGACAATCTGCTGGTAAAAGGTATAGATTTTCCATTAGATAATTGATGTATGTGACATTTATGTTATACATATTATTATGGAATTGTAACATATTGTAATTTTCCTATTTTTGTACCCTGCCTTTCAATGGAATATTGTAATGGTTTTGTCCATCTGTCACAGCTTTTCAAACACAATAACTGCTTCTGATTAAAGATACATTATGTAAGATTTAGATAAAGAGTTGAATATATTGATAATTTCATTCAAATTACTTTATTCTGAGTGAAGATATTAACCTTTGAAAGTTTGACAAGATGTGTGCTCTGATTGTAACCACCATACTGGTTGTTCGAGTCTAAGCCTCACTTCACCATTTTTATACGCCCACATTTTCATGTGGACGTATATTGCCTGTCCGTCCGTCCACAATTGTTTGTGGACACTCTACAGGTCACAATTCTTATCTGATTTTGACAAAACTTGAAATATAGGTTTATCTCCAAAAGATCTCGGTTGCTTTCGATATTGGCATGTATCGGACCGAAACTTCATGGATAATGGGCCCTGATTGTACGAAAAATCACGTTTTTAGCTTGAGGACCCTATAGAGGTCACAATTTTTATCCGATTTTGTTGAAACTTGAAATGTATGTTTATAACCCAAAGATCTCGGATTGTAACTTCCTGAATTATGGTCCCTGATTTTTACAAAAAAAATTGTTTTTAGCTTGTGGACCCTATAGATAATTTTTGAGGTCACAATTTTTATCCGATTTTGTTGAAACTTGAAATGTAAGTTTATAACACAAAGATCTTGGTTCCTTTCAATATTTGCCCATATCGGACCGTAACTTCCTGAATTATGACCCCTGATTGTACGAAAAATCATGTTTTTAGCTTGTGGACCCATTAGAGGTCATAATTTTTATCCGATTTAAAAAACCGTATTATTATATTACCGTTCCACCCTAAGGACAGTTGAGTTTGAATTTTGTGAAAATCGCCCAAAAATTGACAGACAAAATGGCCGCCGTTCGTTCTCAATTAGCGTAAAAATATTGTATATCAATGTTGTGAAACTTGAAATTTAAGTTTATAACCCAAAGATCTCGGTTCCTTTCGATATTCGCGCATATCAGACCGTAACTTCCTGAATTATGGCCCTTGATTGTAGGAAAAATCACTTTCTTGTTAGTTTGTGCTCTATCCATCTCTCAAAAATGTGGGCGTATCCTGCCTGGCAGCCGCTGGTTATCCAATTTTGTTGAAACTTGAAATATAAGTTTATAACACAAAGATCTCGGTTCCTTTCGATATTTGCGCATATCGAATTGTAATTTTCTGAATTATGACCCTTGATTGTAGGAAAAATCACTTTCTTTTTAGCTTGTTCTCTATCCATCTCTCGAAAATGTGGGCGTATCCTGCCTGGCAGCCGCTGGTTAGCTTGTGGACCCTATAGAGGTCAAATTTTTATCCGATTTAAAAAAACGTATTATTATATCACCATTACACCCTAAGGACGGCTGAGTTCGAATATCGTGAAAATCGGCCCAAAACTGACAGACAAAATGGCCGTCCCTCGTTCTCAAATAGCGTAAAAATATAGTATATCAAGGTTGTGGACCCTCTAGAGCTCACAATTTTCTTCTGATTTTGATGAAACTTGAAATATAAGTTTATAACCAAAAGATCTTGGTTCCCTTCGATATTTGCACATATTGGATCGTAACTTCCTGAATTGTGGCCCCTGATTGTATGAAAAATCGCTTTTTGTTTAGCTTGTTCTCTATCTATCTCTTGCAAAATGTGGGCGTATGGATCCTGCCTGGCAGCCGCTGGTTACAGTAAATCATTAAATGGCTGAACTGTTCTAATCTGCTTAAAATTGGAGCCATCTGATGGTATTGAGAGTTGATTATGGTTTTGTCAATGTCTAATTAATAGTTTTATATAACATTTAAGGCCCAAAGAAAGACCTGCAATAGGCAGAATTAGCTCTTGCATAATGCCTGATTAAGTAATTGTCTTGACTGGGTGCGCTAAGCAGAAATCAGCAATCAAATATCACCCAGAGTAGACTTGGCACTGGAATTTAATATGAAACTTATTTCTTCCAAGATTTTATAGAAATCTGACAATTAGTACAAGTGTTTATCAGAGTATACTATGATATGCATCAGTATAGTTCCCATTGAACATGTCTAAGAAGACTGTCGCAGTATGCCAATAAAAATATGTCTCCTTATAAGAATTTTGACGCAGAAATACCATATGTATTTTGTTTTATCAAGGTTGTTAGAGAGGTTAATACCACCAACTAGAAAATATAATAGTGTGATTGCCAAAGATATGTGTGTAAGTTATTTGTCATATATACGTTTTGGAATATTGTAGCAACTATTAAAACTGATACTTCAAATATCTGTTTATATTTTGAACTAGAACCGGTTTTGGTTGAGGAAGAAAACTGATAGTAAACAACATAACAATTATGTAATTCTATCCAAAATTTAAGAGAATATTTATTTGCCCATTCTATGATCCAATTTTATTCAACAGTTGCAGAAAGAGAAATGGGGTTTAATGTCCACTCAACATTAACTAGGTTGTTTTTGGATCATATACTTTTATTTGCATGCGTAATCTTTAACTCACGATTTTAGGTGTGCACCCTACTTTGATTAGCATAATTAACAGATCTTATGATCTACAGTACATACCTGAGACCACTCGGTCACCAAACCCCTCTGTTTTTAATGTAATAAAACAAACTAATGATTTTTTCAACCACAGAAAAGTTTACCAGAGTTAGTACATGGTGTACAAAAACCAAAACCATTCCTAGATATAGAAGAATTACCATTTGCAGAATCGGTGAAAGAGGTAAAATAAACATGATCAATAGCAGTTGTTATTTGTTTATATTGTATTTATTATATTATACCAAGATCATTTCTATAATGCACAATCTGGAATACAAATCATTTCGACTTTCATGGATGGTCCGTACAGGAGGTTGGTCATTAGAGTTGTGGATGTTGATTAAGCTTAACTTCCTAAACTCCAGCTATGAGGGTATGATGTTGAACATCATTTATGTGATAGGTTGAACATGAAAATACCAGCAGTATTATCGGTATTGTTGCCATGCACAACAATATAAAACATTCACACAATTACATGTTCTTAAACTTCTTGTGAAGTTTGTTTGGCGATTTTTAAACTGGTTTATGTAATTACAGTATATACAAGCATGTAACATTGCATCTATGATGACAGTACAAGCGTATACTTGGCCAGCTATATTACAAGGACGCCATGTGGTTGGTATATCACCATCTAAAACTGGTAAAACTCTTTCTTATCTTGCTCCTGTTATCACTCAATTATACCATTCATCAATATATCTACCGCTACCAGAGGGAAGTGGGGTAAGACTTATTAGCTTATTATTATATTATCATTGATAATAAATCCATCTAAACATCTTACATTAAAATACTTTATGTAATAGTTATTGCCTTTGTTTTAATTTCTCTGTTATCAGCAAACATTAGTTTACATTTTCTGACATTGTTATTCAATGCGGCCCCATATTACTGTCAGTCAGTCGCCCACAATATCCTTTAAAAAATCTGTACCTTTTCAAGACTTTGGAACATAATAACTTTAATTCTAATTTAGTGAGAATAATGAAACTTTGTATATAGTTTCATTACATCAATACCATGACTAAGTTTGATAATGAGCATTATCTGATTAATCAATTCTATATTAAGAGATAAACGTGCAAGTAATAATGAGTGTCATCTATTTTGGGGACGATTGAAGTGACGTACATCCTCCTAGCTGGTCACTTTTTTGAAAAATATTTTTTATGAAACTTGGTATGTGAGAAGTACCTTTAATATCCATGAAATGTAAAAAGTTGTTAATATGAGTTCTTCATACAATCTTTTATTGTTATACATCTTAATAATTTAGAATTATGAAAGATGATTTGTAATCTATTGTAGCCAATAGTATTGATATTGGTATCATCATGGAAGAAAGCACAGACAGTATATGAAACGTGTAGATTAATTGTACAAGGTAGAAAAGATACACATATTTTAGTTTTATATGCTGGTGGATCAGAAGACAATCAAACAGTAAGTTCCACGTTCTCATTTTATTTTTTTTTATAATCTAACATTTAGACACAACAAATGTTAACTATACTTCAAGGTAAAGATGTTCATAATACTTGCAATTTCTAGTTGCTCCTGATTAGTTTACTAAGAACAATGTGTTGTTTGTAGAATGAAAGTTCTAGTATATTATTTCATATCAAAATATTGATTATATATTTATGATCTGTTTTCTGTATACTGAAACATGCAATTTTTGATTGAAATCCTATATTAATGAAATTTGCCGACATATCATATAGTGTACAGTTATTTCCAGTAAAATTTAATGAATATATACTGTTAAGAGTGAAATCCAATATAATCTGATTAATTTCAGTATAATTTAATTAAATGAAATTTGCCTTCAGAGTCAAATCGTATACAACTATACTGAAGTCCAAAAGAAAGTATACACTGTTCATTTCGTCCTGTTTCAAACAAAGTCGTTTTTCCATTGTATGCGGTATTTGGGTACAATGTCCATTTGTTTAGCCGTTTATTTGCTTAGAAATATTGAGTTTGGACGCACGAGACGTGTTCAGTGT